GATCAGGAAAGTTTCTGGGGCAGTAATTGTACATATCCTGACTGCGCTGGGTAATTATTAAGAAATTGTGCAAAGCTATTGTAGCCTTGACAACGTTCCTCACTGTGTCAACGCTGGCAATTATGGGCCTTCTGTATACTCAAAACCTGGTTGCCATGATTCCAAACGTGTTTTCAATTACTCTCCGTGCTCTGCATACTCTGTAGTTGTAGATTCTCTGTGATAATTCTGAGATGCCACCAGGATAGGGCTTAAGCATGTATGTTTTTAATGAAAACGCATCGTCCATTGTTGAACCAGAGTTTTCTATAATGTCCGGAGTTGGAATATCAAGAAGATTTTTGTCAATAGCATACCCGATCTTGCTGTTCGTGTAAACACCACCATCGCTCTGTCGACCATTGTCACCAACATCTATTAAGATAAATTCATAGTTCGCATTGCATACTGCTAGCAATACAATACTATGTGTTTTTTTATAGTTAAAATACTCTGACCCACACCGTGGTGGAGCTTGGATAACGACGTGCTTTCCGTCAATAGCCCCAAGGCAGTTAGGAAAATTCCATTTTTGATGAAATTCGTTGGCAATCTCCAACCAACTCTGGCGGTGGGTTGGTGCCTCTATAAATTTTCGTTTTTGCAAATTATCCCAAATAACTTCGCTTGTATGTTTAATCACTCTACTCACAACTGATGGACTCATACGGTAGCACGTTGCCAGAGTGGTTTGGGAATCACCAGTGGAAAGGTAACTCAAGGTGACACATAATCTTTCTTCTGGAGATGCTACAGAACGTCTAAGCGAAGATTTAACTAAAGATGGAGCAACCCACGACAACAGAAGCTCAAATTTTTCTGGACTCATACAAAAAGTTTAAAAAAGTACTCTTGATCAAAAATCGCAAGTTCTCGAACAAGTATGTAGTATTCGCTCCTGTCTCTCCTGAAAAATCTTTCTGACCCAAAAACTTTTCTTGTATTTCATTCTCTTTTTTCTCAACCGCGAATGCAATTGTAAAATAAACAACAGTAGTTTTCTTTTATTAAGCCACCTACGAAATGCAATCCTTCTGTTGATGGCAGTCATTTTTGTTACTACCAAAATTCGCGCACGCTTATATGTTTTTATACAAGAATGGAAATTAAACTAAATAGTCGATCACAAAAAGTGCTCGCAAAAAGTCGATCGTGCGACATTTTGCACTGAATGGAAATCCGCCTTAACGCGATTTGAGAAGCGAGACACTCAATATTCGCTCGAATGTTTCTCGCTCGAACGCGAAACACACTCGATACTCAATGTATAGTTTCCGTTGGATGGTACTGTAAGTCAAGAAAAATTTCACTTTTCAGGTTTTTTCGTATGTTAGGTCTGGTTAAATAGCAAGTTCTGCACAGTTAATATGTAAGTTTACATATATTTGGAGTGATTATAGAATACCCTGTCATCAGGCCCACTTTAAATAGTTTGTTTAAAACATGACGAAACATAGGAATATTTTCAAAATAGTTTAATTAACAGTGAAATTGTAAAAATATCTCATGTTTTTATCACATTTAACACATACTTTTAAAAGACAAGGAAGTTATAAATCACATATTTTGAGGAAATTGTTAATTCTTACTTGTTGCTATTGTTAGTTTGAAATAGGATAATAATAATAAAATGGTTTATTTAACACATTATCACACCAGCATGGTGAATTGCAACATGTATACATATTTAGGATATTAAAGTCTTATATATACATACATATAAAAATTTATGTTCAGATTAAAATTCATTATTTACAAGCCAGTATCACTATTACTATTAAATTTGATATCACATGCAAGCTATTGTTTTGAAACGTTTAAACACATAGCTGGAATAAAATTATTCTTATAGCAATCTGTCCAACATTTAGGTACACTAGCTATAGTCTATGCTATTCCATAGGCAATGTCCATGCATGTCTTCTCGTGTCGGTGGTAATAGACCATAAAATTGGGAACAAGGTTCTTGGATCTTTTTAAATGTTTTATGGCACATAATTTGTCGTCTATCTTCTAAATGAAAGCATTGTGCATCACTCCAGGCTTCATTGCAGTTATGTGCAGGATAGATGATGTGAACATGATCAACCTTATCGGAGAGGTACTGTGATATGTTAGTATGCCCAACAGGGCAAGCATACTCAAGGATTGATCTCTCCAGAGAGAAGTAGATGACAGGAAGATTGGCCGAAGAAATGCCACAACAACTTAACACGCATAAGATATATAAGCGTTTAGATGCTTTTTTCGTCATAATTTCCACATTCTCTTCCCATTTACGTTTGTTGTTTATTGTTAGGTCCAGGGCTTTAAACAAATGGACCAATCAAGCGGTAGCCCATCGATACACAAACGAGGAGCATCAGGTTGATTTTTGAGAAAGCTGATTATAATTTATTTACAGGTTACACTTCTTTCCATTAAGTTTCATATCATTTTGTGCTGCCCAATAATGGATTGCATCCAGTTCAGATTGAAGTTTTGAAAGCTCATTTATAGAAAGTGACTCAGAAATTGTAATGTCATCAACATATTTTCAGTGATTTATATTAGCATTCTTTTGCATTATATTAGCATTATAACTCTTTGTTTAAAAACAATTTCCTTATTTACACGTATACATACTATTTTACGTCATATATATATACAGCATATTTCTGTCTCTGTATATTTAGTTCTTTTCAATTAGTTTTCTTTATCTTTGCTTTACTATAATAGGACATATACCACCCTCACCAGTATAACTACTTATTATTTAAATCAAGTTAATATTTGAGAGGAGCCCAAAGCATTAATAAGCCATTTGGTTTCTATTTGGGCTTCTCGTCACTTGTGTGTATTGTATGTAGATATATATGTATGTATGGTTCCTTGTGACAAATTATCAAATGTATATCAGTTCCAAGTCATTGATCATTCCTAGAAACAGGACGGGTCCTAATTTAGTGCCCTGCGGTATACCACCATAAACAGAAACCCAGACTGACTGGAAACCATCGATTTTTACAGATAGATGGTGATTGGAAAAAACCCTGCAGATACAAGGGATAATACAGTTAGGAATACCATCTGGTCCGTGAGAAAGCACTGATCGTCAACATTTTGAGCAGGTCTCTTCAAGTACAGGGTGGGGTGCTGGAAGTTAAGCTGGTAATGAGGGAAGGTCCAAGCAAGGAAGATCTGCACTATCAAGTTTCTATAGAAGATGCTGTTTGAAACAAAGTTTCTATTAGAAAATGCCTTCAGGCAAATTAGCATTAGCTGTCTGTGTGACATTAGGCAGCACATGTCATTATTAAACTGATTGTCATGTGGTAAAGATTACATATTTTTTGTCAAAGATCTATTGGATTCGACCTTGTAATTATATCATCAGCTATTGGAGAACAAGTGTAAACCAAAGTATGTAAGATGATAGTGTTAATTGTTATATTTTATCATTTAGTTAATTTTTGTTAATGACATTGTTAGTTGTTGCATGCCTTTAAGTAATTTAGTTAAGTAGTTTATTTTATTGTTGCATTTCAGTTCAAACCTACAATAGCATTGTTCACAATTGACGTCACAAAAATTTGACCACCCGCCAATCATACACACCTTGTGCTTTTCGCTTTACCTGAAGTGCCAGTGCAAAATATTTTCGTTTTGGAAGTAGAAATATAAACTTTTTCATCACCTTAGTATCGACTATTATGTCACTTCTGTTAATAGGCGGTGACTACTGTATTAATATGTTGTTGATTTCATGTTAATAAGTTTGGTCACTTTAACTCATTGTCATCCGGTTCATATTTGCACTGTTGACTTTGGATTGGGGGAGGTTAAAATATCTCTCCAAGTATTTACCCCCCCCCCCCCTTTAGAATGAAAACCACCATTGAAATCCTCATAAAATAACCTTTTGAACCATGGGGGGTCAAATGCCATTATAACTTGACAAAACAATCATATATTTACTTGCTGCTTGGCCAAACAGTCTCTATTTCATATTGAGAAAAACTTGAATATCTTCTTGCAGTAAAATACTCCTTGTATTCAAGCGATTTTATGTTGACAGTTTCATTTGAATATGACGAGTAGAAATATTTAATTTTTCAAAATATTGGGCTTTTACTGCAGATACAAGCTTGAAAATAACACTCTAAATAGTGTTGAAAGGGGCTGAAGTTATATTCGGCGAAAGGTATGGCTTAACGATACATTGGTCGAGTATATTGTATATAGGTATGGTATGGCTAGTTTATATTTTATGGCTATTGTGCATTGTTTGAGTTTTTGGTATCTTTCGTATTTCTACTGCAAATAATCGCGGAGTTTCTTTAATATTTAATCTTCCTGTCATATGTGTTGGAAATCTGAGAGTGGACGGCATTGAGTTAAAACCATTGTTGTTGACTAAGTGTCGATTATTTGGCTCTTTTGGTGTGTTATATACAGTGGCCCACAAAACAAAATCCCACCACACAAAACTCAATTCATACTTCACAAAACAAAATTTCACTACAGAAAAGAAAATTCCACCACACAAAACTCAATTCACGATACACAAAACTCAATTCTCACACTACAAAAATTTTCTTATTGTGCCATTTTGTGCTGTCACAACAAACCTTGATATTACCAAAGGTCGCTTCCAAACGTTTTGGGAAATAAAACGACAATTATGAAGATTAATTGCAAGAATTGTGATTCAGAAGTGTCAGAGGGTTTTCAATTTTGTCGAAAATGCAGACAAAACGTGTACCAATGCATCCAAACCCTGACATGCTTGCAATACATTCAAAAAGTTCAAAGCCAAAAAAAACTTCGCAACGTGCAACGAATTTGAATTTAATAAATTTGTCACAAAGCAATTAGATATTTACTTATCAATTACATGAGCAACAGGAGGAAGAAACATGACTCAATGTCGCAATTGAAATCTACCTCCTATATAAATATATACATAATTGTTCACACCAATTTTAGAAGTTAAAATACTCCAGGAAGGGAGTAATCAGTAAGTTTACTCTTATAGTAAACCTGTAGTTTATTTTTAAGGGGCCATTCACAAAATACGTGACGCTCAAGGGGGCGGGGGGGGGGTGTGTTAGCAAAAGAGTCACATAATCACACATGGGGGTGGGGGGGGTTATTACAGCAGCGTCACGTGACAAGAGCTTAATGACACTCGGCAATGTTAACATATGTATTAAAAATTAAATTCAATGACTTGGTTTCAAATAAATTGGTATTTGTAAATATCAAAAACGTTTCAAAAACAAAAAGTGAGTCAAAGAAATACAATTGTGAATATAACATGAAGTATTTCATTGATACTACCTCTTGCAGGCTCAAAATTACATCAATCAAGCGGGAAAATAAATAGAAGCAAAGCATTAAAGGCTTAAAGCATGAACTATAATACTGCCCAATAAAAATGAGCGATGCATTTAAGTTACACCAGTCACTGATACGCGGTTATGAAAAAGCTTTTTTGCACAAGAATGGCCAAGCCGTTCAGCAAGAGGTAGCGAAAGTCTGGAGGGAAATAAAAACGAATTGCAAAACAAGAACAGAGTTAACTGTGGCAACCGAAAAACAACTTGCCGAATGGAAACAAATTGAGTTGAAGAAAAAAGGATCACTACTTTCGTTTTGGTCGAAGGTAATTTTTTATATAACTGTATATGAATTTTAAAAACGTTTTTATTAGGTGCCTGATAATCTTGTATAAAAATTATTACAGCAAAATTACACCAGAATAGCTGATTGAACAAATTTACATTATTTTAAAACAGGTTCCTACTCAGTCAACCAACAAAGTTGCTCTCCCAGAAAATGCAGGAACGGAAACGTCCTCAGATAAAAATAATGCACCGGTGATTGAAGTGATACAACAGCCAGATATTTCAGTTGATAAGCCTATGCCAACAGCAAGCTTGAAAGACGTCCCAGCACCAAAACAACAAGAGTTGCACAAAGAGCTTAGCCAGCTTAAGAGTGATCTGGTTGTGCTATATGGCAAACGTGACATGAACATGATGACACCTGACGATTACAAAGAAATATCGAAGAAAAAACAAATGCTGAAAAACATGAAAAGAAGCTAACAGCGAGAAAAAATGCGACGGAAAGGCAAAGGAAACTTAGACTAGAAAGAAAAAGAGCAATGGACGAGATTGAGCCTGAAATTAGAAAAAAGCTTTGCGGAAAGGAAGAGGGTATTCGTGGTCGACCTAGAAAACCAAACTCCACAGGCACAGCAGAAGACGAACTACTGAAAACCATCACTGCAATTGCTATTACGGGCTCTGCATCTGATGATCGTCGTCGTACGGAAATGATTCGTACTGTCAAGACGCTAGACGACCTAACCGATGAACTACAGAAACGTGGGTATCAACTTTCGCGTAGCGCAGTTTATCTACGTCTTTTACCTCGCAAATCCTTGAGCATCGAAGGAAAAAGGCATGTAAAAACTGCGCCAGTAAGGTTAATCAGAGCACAGAATACTCAGCATAGGAACCATCCAGACACAAAATTTGCAAGATCGTCAATACAGAGCCTGGAAGAGATTGCTTCATTACTTGGCCCCGAAGAAGTTACTTTCCACAGCCAGGTTATAATATTTAGTACAAAAATACAATTCTGTTTTATGGTAACTTTTCTTTGAAATTAAGCAAAAAATTTCATGTTATACGTTTTCAAATTCTATTTTTAATAGGATGATAAAGCTCGTGTCCCCATAGGTCTAACAGCAGCGAACAAGCAAAGCCCGATGATGATGCATATGCAATATCGTGTTCAGCTATCAGATCACGACTTTGTCGTGGCAAAATCTCATAAGCTAATTCCGTCCGTTATAGCAGCTATGAAAGTGAAAGAAAACTGTATAGGAGAACAGGTAGATCTATTCGCCATCAAGAGAATTATTTTTTCAAGTTGCATTGACCAGTTTAAAATACATTAAATTATACACAATTCTAATTCAATGAATTTGTGTTCTTCTTACATCTCTTAAGGGTGTTACATATTCTGGACCAACCTACGTAGGAATTCGCAGCGCAAAACACACGTCGTCATCAGCGTATGCATATTTAAAGGATATGAACAGAGTATGTGAGTTGTCAGAATTTAAGGAAAGTCTTTTTACGAGTGATGGTATTAGCAAACCGATCATGATGGTAACTGTAGATGGTGGCCCAGACGAAAATCCGAGGTAGTATAATTTTGTTTTTGAAGAATGCAGGTCAATAAATGCAGTAACGAATAATGAGATATTTCTCTTTCCTGTGTTTTATAGATACAAGAAAACCATCAAGTGCTCTATAAGCTACTTTTTGCAGCATGATCTGGATGCATTTTACCTAGCTACAAATGCTCCTGGTCGAAGCGCATTTAATCGAGTTGAACGACGCATGGCCCCTCTTAGCCATGATTTGGCTGGAGTAGTTTTACCTCACGATACCTATGGAACTCATCTCAGTGCGAGGAACGAGACGGTTGACAAAGAATTAGAGGTAAAAAATTTTGCCAAAGCTGGTGAGACACTGGCTGAAATTTGGGGCAAGACTGTGATCGATGGGTATGATATACTGTTGCTGAGTACATTTCTCCGGAATATGAAACGCCCATATTGACTGAAAAAGATCAGGAGTGGCATGCAAAACATGTTCGTGAGAGCCAAGAATGGCCTTGAGTACGGAGAGAATAAAGAAAACAGCAAATTCGTTTCACTGTTTACAAATCTTGCCATCAACAAGAATATTTTTCCACCAAGAGTTGCTGTTAAGTTTCCAAAAGGCACCCCATACGACTTTGCATGTCCTAACGTTGAAAAGGATTTACCAAGAAAGGTTTGTGCCAAATGTGGTCTGTGCTTTGCCACAATCAAATATAATGCAGCGCATAAAGCATGGTGCAGTGCAAGGTTAGTTTCAGTAAAATAATATTAAATATATAAAATTATATTGTTTATTTGTTTGTTAAATTTTCTGGGCAATTTTTCTGTTTTTAAGAACTCCAATTTCTTGCTCAGTTGAACGGATTCGTCCTCAAAGAATTGCTGCACGCCGTCAAAGGGAGCTCATGTGTGTTTTAGTTGAAGAAGAAAGCGCTATGGAGGAGTTGGAGTGGCATGAAGAGCAGTATGTGGACACAACAGGCCTAAATATTTCCCAGCTGGAAAATTATGTTGAGAATGGAACACCTGTATATACGCTGGAGGACAGAGCACCAGCTTGGAAAAATGTTGAAGATTAAATAGTTAACTAAATTCTGTTTATCAACTTGAACGTTTCAAATTTTTGCTTTCTTATCTTTAATTGAAGGGAGGGGGGGGGGCGGGTATTTGATCAGGAGTCACATAATTTTTTAGGGGGTATTTTGGCAATCGTCACACAACGTCACATAGGGGTAGGGGGGTCTGAAAAATTGGCTAAAATAGCGTCACATATTTTGTGAATGGCCCCAAACAAGCTACCCATAGTCAATATGATTATGCACTGCTTAACAACACATTATGCACTGCTAATGACCATTATGCATTGCTAATACCACATAATGTTTATTTTACACAATGGTTGAGAATTTCAAAGTTGAGAAATGAGGCACAGTCCCAAACATTTTGACGAAAGAACATCTTTATTTTCGGTAAACTGTCCGTTTGGCAAAGTGTTTCTCGGCAAAATTTCCGGGTACCCAACTTACATTGGTATGTGGAAGGACAATGTTGTACAAGTTATAGAAATAACTAACATATTTACTTATGATAACTAGTATTTACTTATGTTACCAGGACTGGTCGATTCTGATAGTGAAGAGGATTTTTACATTAAATTCGCATCATTGGAGAATGTTTGGAATGAATGCAAGAAGCCTTTCCTGAGTGCTAGCCAAGAACCTGTCTTCTTTACATACATAACTGACAAGGTAATATTAACAAAACATGGAACTGAACAGTTCTAACATTGTACAATTTTTGAACCCATGTAATGACAATAGTGATAGCAGTTTTCAAATCAGTTTAACTATATTTTTGAATTTTTTGCTTTTAACTAGGCCTGTATGATAGTTGACAATATGTTAGCCAATACATGTACGAATGCTGGTTTGGGAAATCCACCGCTTCCATTTTGCACAAACGTCCTTGAGTCAGGAAACAGCATCATCAAACGGGCAGTGAACTTCAAAGAAAGTGAAATGGCCAACTTTACTTTGAAGATGGCACAGCTAATTAAACGCCAAACAGAAGACGTACAAGGAGCATTATTAAACAGTGGGCCGTTACAAGTTAGATTCAGATTACCTCAATTTCCAACTAACAATGGAAAAGTGGTTATCTATGTCAACCACACAATGCAATGCATACGAAAAACAATTTTATGATGTTCAAGTTCAATTTATTCACACTATTTGGCATATATATTACATTAGGAGAGATATTCATGATGTATATTCAGTATAAGTACATTAAAAAGTTTTAAATTATGATGTTAAAATTGTGCACGGTGACCAAAGTAGCAAAAGCTTTCGAGTTGGCCACCGTCTACTTTTGATTTATTAGGTAAATTTTTGAGCTAATTACATATATCTCATTATTTACTATTTGGATTTCACGTAAGTCAATAAATTGACCTCTTGGTCAAAAGAGAAAGTTAGCATAATACACTAAATTAAAGCCGCTATTTTTTTATTAACTTAATCATTAATTATGTAGTTAGTTCATTTGTTTAACCAATCCATTGCGGTATAAAATAAATGAAGTAATACATTCCCAGTTTAACTAAGGGTTATTAATTTGGTTTGACAGTAAATCTACTTTATACTGTCTTTTAAAATTACTGGTCGTTGGTAATTTTTTTAAGGAAACTGTAATGCTCTCCCATAACACTGACGCAGAGTACTTGAAAGTAAATTTTCCAAAATTTGTTCTTATTTTTGGCCGATAGAAGTTGCATCATATTTTTCACAGGCATTAAAAAGTTATGAAATAGTGAGGGGACACTTGAAGGGTTGACAAACAATTTATGTGTTAATATAGCAGTTTTTAATTTAACAATATTTTCAAATTTTAATATTTCAAGTAATTGATAATAAGGTGACGCAGATTGTCTATTTTTTACAAAAAAGATACTATGAACACAATTATTTTGTTTCACAGTTAGTTTTTTTAAATTACTTGAGTAATTACTACCCCAACTCATAGATCCGTAGCTTAAGTATGGATAAATGAGGGTATAATACAATTGTTTTAGCATGTGAACATTTAAATAATTATGTAACTTATAAAATATACCTAAATTTTTAGATATTTTGCTATTTACGTGGGTTATTTGGCTTTTCCAATTCAAGTGCTCAACCATATATATACCTAAGTATTTAATGCACTTTTTTTGTTCAATATTTAATATTTTTATGTTTGAAGGAAGTCATTTTTGGGGGGAGCAAATTAACATAAAATTAGTCTTTTGCATATTTATAGACAATTTATTAGCATTACCATATTTCAAAATGTTTTGGAATTCCTCATTCATAACTGTTTCGATTTCCTTAAGGTTCTTACTAGCATAGAATATATTAGCATCATCAGCAAATAATCGAAAAGAAAGCTTTGCTGACAAATTAGGTAAATCATTAATATATAAGAGAAATAATAGTAGCCCTAAAGTGGATCCCTGAGGAATTCCACATACAACATTTAGAGGCTCGGATTCTATATTCCCAATTTTGACGTACTGTAACCTATTTTGAAGATAGCTTTTAAACCAATCCAATACTACACCACAAACTCCATATTTGTTTAATTTATTTAGTAATATACTATGGTTAACTGTATCGGATGCCTTAGAGAAATCTAAAAAGAGGCCACATGTAATAAGTTTATTATCAATTGAGGTTCTGAGATTATCACTCATCTCTAAAATGGCCAACTCTGTAGAATATCCTTTCCTGAAGCCAAACTGATATGGAAATAAAATTTCATGCTTTTCAATAAATGAAGTGAGTTGATCCGATATAATCTTTTCAAGTATTTTACTGAAAGGTGACAATAATGTGATAGGCCTATAATTTGTTGGGTCTGTTGTTAAGCCATTCTTATACACAGGTGTTACCCTAGAGACCTTTAATATGTTGGGGACAACGCCTTGCATAATCGATTGATTATAAATATAGGAGAAGGGTTTCGATAGTTCTGAGCTAGCATTATTTTATTAATTTATTTGGAATATCTAACGAAGCTTTCCTTATGTCCAGATTAGAAAAAAGATATGCTATGTAGTTTTCATCAATTGGTGAGAAAAAGAAACTATCAGTTGGGCTATTACTTATATACTTAAGTGGGTCACTATCATCGTCTGTACTGTCAATCATGCTAGCTAAATTTGGACCAACATTTATAAAATGATGATTAAACTGCTCAGCAACATTGTTTGGCTTTGTGTAAAGTTTATTATTTATCATCAGTCTAGTTGGAGAATTAGGTTGACCTTTTGTTTTCCTTTTAATTAAAGTGCCAATAAGCTCCTATGTTTCTTTAAGGTTACTTTGGTACAGTTGAAAATGTTGATTATAATAATCATTTTTTCATTTAGTTTTTAACTGGTTAAGTAGATTGGAATACTGTTTATACTTCTGCACTTTTTCTGGATCTTTACTGAAAAAATTTGATTTATATAATTTTTGTTCGACTTTTATCGAAGTATGTAAGCCTTTAGAGATCCAAGGTTTGGCAAGTTGTTTCATTTTAGACAAAGACGCTTTTTTAGTGGCGAGTGTTTATTAATAACCTTATTAATAGATTGTATGTAATCAGATGTTAAATCATGGAGATCATTTGCACCATTGTAGATGGTTTCCCAATCGATTGCCTGCATGTCAGCCAGATACAACACTTTATTGAACGAACTATAGTCTCTAAAATAAATCTTCTGTTTCGTTTTGATAACTGATGCATTACAAATACAAAAAACAGGCAAATGATCAGATAAATCAACCAAGGCAATACCTGAAACAGTGTCATGAATGGGAGCATTAGTATAAATGTGATCGATCAAAGTGGCAGTGTGGTTAGTTATTCTCGTTGGCTTGGTTATCAAAGGAACTAAATTATTGGAATACAGCATATCTAAGTATTCCTCAGTTTTAGGGTGATCATTATATTTTAAAAAGTCAATATTTATATCCCCTATTATGTAAATGTGTTGATTCTTTTTACTAATGTTCTTAATGTTCTGATAAATTAGCAGTTGGATGCTTATAAATACAGCCAACAATAATATTAGGCTTGTTTTTTCCACAAATAATCTCACACCGGCAAGACTCAACAAGCGACATTTTAAATTTTATATCAGGCCTACATAAAGCTTGCAGGTTATTCGATACATAGAGGCCTGCGCCACCAGCAGCAGTCTCTGAATCGGTATGGAAAAATTGATGTCGTGAAATGTCAATATTAATTACGGTTTTGCTATTTAGTTTTGTTTCGGATACTGCGAGAATATCAGGCTTTACATCTAGAGAGCAGATAAAGTCTTCTAATAGACATAATTTTTTTGGCAAACTTCTAATATTACAATGAAATACTTGTACTCCGATTAGTTAAAGTATTTAACAACGTATTAAGTTTGTTGAAAGAGAAGTATTGAGAACAAGGTGAATTCAACATGGCATCAGGGTCTCTTTCATCAAACTTATCAGGATTAGGGACAATGTCAAAGAGGTCTATATTACGACCTGAAAGGTCAAAATTCCATGCTGCGGTTATAGCTTTGAATTCAGAGTCTGTTAGACCTGCATAGGGAAGTTCCATAAGATATCGGGAGTTTGTTTCAGACATTACGTACAAATTTATAATTATTATTAAGTAATATATAACTTAACTGAGAATTAAGCTTTAATGCTGTACAAGAATCGTTGAAAGTCTTCCATCGTTGTAAAATGTGAGACAGCTGAAGCTTCTGATTTTCGAAGATGGATTGTCCCATTAGTTGTCCAAATGAATTTATAATTATTTGCATTTTTAAATGCATTTATTTTCCAAAATAATCTTCTCCTATAAGCGTTAACGATTCATTTATATAGATCTTGGCAGTTGCACCAATAGTTCCTTCTTGTATTTCAGCATTAACTGTTGGTAAACAGCGTGTGGTTTTGCCATTAAGCTTTGAGCGTTGTTTGTACACTTCGTCGCGCTTGTTACGCTTGACAAATTTCACAATTATTCTGTCCTTTGTGTTCTTCCTAGGCTGAAGTCTATGAGCAACTGAAATGTCGTTTTCATCTAGCCCAACGTTTAGAATCTCGCAGACTTCAGCTACGAGGTTGCAAGGGTCATCTAACGGTACAACTGGTATACCAGTAATCTCTAGGCAATCGCGTCTTAGGTACTGCTGCATTTCATCAACCGACGCCATATTGTTATAGACCTCGTCTTCAATATTATTAACCCTTTCTTCTGACTCCCTCAATCGATTTTGCATCGTTTTTAGTTCTCCATAACGCTATCGTATTTATCCGATATGAATTTTTGCGCTGACTCGATAGTTTTAAGTTGATTTCTCACTTCGTGTATTTGAGATTCAAATCGCTCAGCAACATATTGCATTTCTTTGCTAATTTCTCGCTTCAATTCGTTTAATATATCTTTCTTAAACTCTGGGATAAGCTCTTTTGACCAGAGCTCTTTAATGATTTATTCGTTAAAGCCATATTGATCTAAAATTTCTAAATATGGGAGCTCAATTATCTTCAGCTCAGCGCCAACTATCAAAGAACTATGAAAGTGCGGAGTTTCTAACATATATGGTTAACTCACTTGGCCTGGATCCTCTCTTGGCTGATGAGTTCAAACCAAATGAGGAGATTCAGGATGAAACTAAAAAAGATTGATTGTTCTTTGTCCGTTAGACCAGAAGACTCAAATTTGAGTTTTCTGCCTCCTGAAATGGTAAAAAATATATAAAAGAGCCATTTTTTCCATCTCCTGGGAATAATACAATGACTTTCACAGTGGAGTTTCTCTTCAAAACACCCAAGAAACGTCTATGTGGAGAAAATTGGAAAAGTTGCATGGGAGAACTGCGCAGGATGGGCTTCGTCCAATTTGTGCACGCATGCTGTTGCAGTTGGAGAAAAACTGGAAACACCTACTGAGTACTTGGATTGATTTCGACATCGCCACAAGCCCATGAAGTGGACAACGATGGTCACTTTTGATTCTAACAAAGGTCTGGGTCGAATGGGTAACAAAGCCTCCACATCTCAGCGGAAAGGTGGACAAAGAACAAAAGTACCCACATAATTGTCGACAAACTAAAACAGCAGCAACACAATGACAACGGCAATGGACAACAACAGCAACACCTGCAACAACAACACCACCTTCAACATGAACAACGACAACAACTGTTTTCAGACATCAACATTCCCATTCCTCCTATGCATCCAGGTTACCCTGACCTGTTCTTTGGCTCGTACATTTTGTATCTTCTGCAATTTTGTCCACTACAAGTAAATAAGTGTTTTGGGTGTTTTGACCTCTAAAGCCTGTAGGTCAAATCGGAGAGCAACCTTGGGACCTGGTAATTGTGTCAAATGCCAACAGAAAGTATTACGATGCAGCTGGCGCAGCGAGAGAAACGCCAGGAAATGTTTACTTCCATGTAAACACAGGATGGATGTTTGAAAAAAAAAAGCTTATTTCTTAGCCTCGCTAGTGCAAATCCTTCAGGAAATTAGACCTTTCTTCACATCAGTGCATATGACATATTTAAGGAACAATGGGTTTATGACTTTAAATTCCAATTATACAAGGGCTGATAAGCCTGATAGTATAATTGGGGTTATATATGAGTGAACAAAGGGAGACATACATGAGACTACAAGTGGTATGACTTCATCTTTACCATGCTTCGGACCACATTTTAACACTAGGGTACCCCCTATTAAAAAAGGTCAAATCTAGCGCTGTCAACAGTTGTCATAGGAACACTCTTCCCATGATGCTCCAATGACTTTTTTGACACCAAACATAACACACAAATTAGGGAGGGCAAATACCTTAGGGTTAGTGTTGGGTGGGAATTGTATATTTCTCCCTTCATTCACTCATATAACCCAATTATACTATCAGGCTTGGAATTATATTTCATGGTCTCGGGAGTGGAAATATATACGAGACTACAAGCAGTATATTTTAAAACAAGAAAGCCATAATCAACAGTAAACTTTATTGTCAGGCTTGACAGAGTACAAATGTTAACATGAACCAAATAAATTATTTATGTTTATGTGCAAGCACTGCACGACCAAAGTTTGTGTTCACCACTAGTCAATAGTAGAATGTCTGGAATGTTGATGCAGTGGACCAATCAGCCATCTTCAATATTTCTTCAATAGGCACTGAGGCATTTGCTGCTGCAGAGGTTGAAGCAACTCGCACTGAATGTGCTTTAAAAATAGAGGTGTCAACACCAGCTTCAGCCAGCATCTCTGAATCCATCTGGCTATGGTTGGAGAAACTGGATGATGAGATTTGATGTACAAGATAAATAAGCTTTTAGGTTCACTCTCCAGTGTTGTCCGGAATGTAGCTGTAGATGTTATGTAATAACAGGTCTGTGTATGAGGGATCCAGTCGGTTAGTTTTAGTTTTAAATAATGTAAACATGAGAACTTCTGTTGCCAGCCGACAATGGTTCAGGTGTGTCAGAGAGAAACTCACGTAGGGCATGTAATTGCAAAAATAATAGCTAATTTCCAAGAAAGATGTTTTATAGAAAGTTCAGAGTTATTCCCCATTTCCACCAAGTGGGAGGTCACCATAGAGACATCCCAAGTCTGGGGATATCTGGGTTTTGGGGGGTGTTGGTTGAGAATCCCTCTCAATAAATTTACTACATAGGTATGCTGCCCCACTGGATAACCATCAATCTTGGGGTGGGTAACAGAAAGTGTAGACCTTAGGACATTGATAGAGCAATACTGAAGGCCATTATCAAAAGAGTCTGATAAAAAGGTAAGAATGTCCCTTAAGGATGCCGAAACAGGATCAGTAAACATGAACAACACCAGCTGCACCAAGTGCTTCCAGCTTCATGCATAGGTCTTAGGTGTGGAGGATCTAGTGGCTGATGAGTAAGTTGGCAACGCCTGAATATGCCCAGATAGAGATGTGGGTACATTAGGTGAACTGCCTGTGGATCCGAGGGATCTATGAGAATGTGTTGAGACTGGCAGGAGAAAAAAAAAGCTTATTTCTAGCTTATTACTAGCAATTGAAGGAGTAGAGGCCACCAAGGGTGGGCTTGCCAAACTGGGGCTATCAGTACAATTTCTGTTTGGTCAGTCACTAATTTGTTGAGCAGCCCCGGTATCAGATTGAACAGTGGAAAAACATACTCCTTTACCCCGTTCCATTTCAGGCTGAAAGCATCTGAGTGGAGAGCTTTAGGATCTGGCCTCCAGCTGATGTAGGTTGGGAGCGGGTGAGTTAGTCTTGTGGCAAAAAGATCTGTTTGACAATGCCTTAGAAAGGATCTTATAAGGCAGGGATCCAGCATCCAATCGGTGTTTTCCACAAATAGCCGAGATTCCCATGGAATCTTGCCTGGAACATGGTGTGCTACTACAAATATGTCTTTCTGGATGCACCGGTTCCAAAGATCTAGAGCAAGTTGGACTATGTGAGGAGAATGTGTCCCCCACCTTTGTGGTTGATGTAGGCCACAGCCATGGAATTGTCCATATTGAGAGACATCGTTGAGGATTTGTTTCCTGAGAGGGCTTGTAATGCCAGAAACACACCTTTCAATTCTAGAATATTGATATGAAGAAGTTTCTCTGCAGCAAACCATTTCCATTCGTTTTCTGATGGTTGCAAACTGCCCCCAACCATGCTTGGATGCATCTGTAAAAATTGTTAAATCTGGAGGAGGTCACAATCGGGCTGCCATTGCACACCTCGATGTTGTGAGTCCACCATTGCCTTGGGATATGTGTAAACTTTGAGTCAGTTGTGCTTGTAACATGCAAATGTAGAGAGGGGCTAGTCATATATGGCTGGCCGATATGAATCGAGCATGCCCAAGATTTGAGCCATCGATCGGAGAGTCACTGTGGGTTTGGCCAGCATCAGATGACACTGTGAGCGCACATTGTTCACTTTGTTGCGAGGCAAGGTTATAGTCATATGGTGACTGAGTTGATTGTGAAACCCAAAAGGTTATTATCTGGGTTGGGTTGAGGTTCGATTTCTCTTTGTTGATGATGAACCCTAAGGATTCTAGAAGAGACATTGTCATCTCTGTGAATCTGTGTGTCTCCTCCACTGAGGATCCGATCAGGAGGATGTCATCTAAGTAGATTACTAGGGGAACTCCTCTTTTCCTCAGAAAAGCTGCCACTGGTTTTAACAACTCTGTGAACATGCGAGGGCCGATATTCAAACCGAAGGGGAGAGCTTGAAACTGTTAAGCTTTGTTTTCCCAAATAAAGCATAGGAACTTTTGAGATTCTGGGTGGACTACCACTGAAAGATAAGCATCTTTTAAGTCTAGTTTGGTCATGAAGTGACCGGGTTTTAAGAATCTTTATTGCTGAAAGATGGATTAAGTGTTGGGGCCACAACTAAGGGAACTGATTGAGTTTCTAAAATTTCACCAACCTGATCATAAGTAAGTTTCAGCAAAAATTTTTCTTAAGAAATGAGGTAAATGTTTCTGAAGGTGACCATGCGATGGCTAGGTCATCAGGGTTGTACAAATGTGAGTTATGATGCTCGTTAGCGGGATCCACAAGTTTTGGATCAGTTTCTGACCTGATCATAAGTAAGTTTCAGCAAAAATTTTTCTTAAGAAATGAGGTAAATGTTTCTGAAGGTGACCATGCGATGGCTAGGTCATCAGGGTTGTACAAATGTGAGTTATGATGCTCGTTAGCGGGATCCACAAGTTTTGGATCAGTTTCTGTTGCAAGTATATCCATATCTGGTGACTCATGAGTCATTTCTGGTGACTTAATAGTCGAATCTGGTGGCCAAATTTGGTGGCGTAGTAGCCATATTTTCCAATTGAGAACAATTGTGGCATCCTCATGTTCGGCATCAACACAAAAATGGGAGCCTGATTGAGAGACTGTTTCACTGGAGTGAGCTTCAAGAGCAGTAATCCTGGAGTTGCAGACCGACATGTCTGCCTTTAAATCCATAACAGATTGTAGAATTTGATGAAGAATATGATCGCTTTTGTCTATATCGTTGTTGGCCTTACTCTTGGGCCGTTTGGACAACTTGCTTGTTGATGCATGATGCGATTTTTCTCATGAATGTGAACGTTTACAAGAGCGATAGCTGGACATATTCAAACTCGTATTATAAGGCACTGTTTAAGCTAAAGGTAAAAGGTAAAAGGTAAAGGTAAAAAAGATACAATTGTACAGTGAAAAACCACTTGATCTTAATATTATATAAAACATAATCCGAAGATTAGTATTTTGAAATTAAGGACATGGATTAATTAAAAACAATATGACTAGGAGTTACTATCGCAAGCAAAATGCTGCCGATATGTACATGCAGGATGTACTACAACCAAAAAGTGTATTTTTCACTGTATCTATGATTTAATGTCTTACACATGTTCTACATCAATTACCTTCTACAATTGTATCCAGGGATGCCGGAACAATGTGAAAGCAAGGGGGGCAGATTTTCGTGAAAGGGCACTTTTGAATTGATATGTACTAAGAGATGTTAATTTGCAAAACATCGGGAGTTGAACTTCGCCTAATCATGTTTTCTATTGATTGGATGATAGGGGTGTGAGGGGGTTCTCCGCAGGCGCTTGTGCTATTCTTGAAGCTCGATGACTGCAATTCTTGCGTTTTCTGAAGCAAAATTCGTAAAAGAATTCCACTAACATTTCTGACAATTCGCTATTTTGCCAAGGCAATCCTTTAAATTGAAAGGACACCTTTGCCCCCCTTGCCCCTCCTGGTAAAGGGCAACGGGGGCGGCTGCCCTTCCTGCCCCCCAGTTCCGGCGTCCCTGATTGTATCTTACATCTCATCTTATAAAAAGTGCACTAAAAAGTACAGTACAAACTTGGTGATCACATGTGTGAGCTTGCCACTGAATACAGAAGAATGTTTATATAAAAATACTATAAAGTCGGTTTTTGTTCCAATTATCGTTTTACATTATGCCACCTTCATGGCTTCCCCTATCACAGACCAACCGAACAATCTGCCGATGGGTAGACAAAATGTATTTGTTGACATTTCTGTTTAATATGCTTCAGATGACACCATTCATTGACATGATTAAGATTGTACTCAGTCAGAATTGAAAAAATATATAATAAAGAAATTGTGAGCATTGTCGTAGTGACACGGCCATATGTAGGCCACTAGAATTATTTCATATTATGCTAACAATGGACATATCTCAGATCTTATACAAAAGTCAGTTAAAATGTTAGTAATATTACATGTAATTGCTGGTAAGTCAATATATGTGCAGACAATAATCCACACTAGGCTGCTCTAGGAATCTTTAATATTAAACCTGATTTAGCAACATTCCACATTTGTTTAAAGCTATAAACATCTAGAAATGAAACACTATAAACTCATCGCCTTTGCACATAATGGCAGATCACTGATAGTTGGTGCTCAATAGGCTCCACCACAATGGGCAGAGCAGTTTGTAGGGTCGGCCATAGGGTTTTGTGTATATAGGATCTAATGGTATTTAATTCGAGTATACTGTATATTTACTTTAAATGTTATGACTAATTTTGGGTATTAGGTCTGGTATACAGCTTCTGATTGCTTTAGGTATTATGTAACATTTTGACCATAATAATAGGTATTTTGATCCATATTTATCAGCTATTTAGGATACCACGACCCCCCCTGGCTGACCCCTAGTCTGATAGTTGGTGCCTCAATGGGCTCCATCGCAATGGGAAGATCGCTGATAGTTGGTGCCTCAATGGGCTCTAGATACCACAATGGACAGATCTATAGTTTTTGCCTCAATGGGCTGTACCACATTGGCACAATGGGCAGATCTATAGTATTTGCCTTGAATGGGCTCTACCACAATGGGCAGATCAATGATATTTTTTGCCTCAATAGATACCACAATGGACAGATCTATAGTTTTTGTCTTAATGGGCTCTACCACATTGGCACAATGGGCAGATCTATAGTTTTTGCCTTGAATGGGCTCGACCACAATGGGCAGATCAATGATATTTTTTGCCTCAATGGACTCTACTACAATGGGTATAGAATGCTATTATTTTGTCCTACCACCATGGGCAGACTGTTTATAGTATCATTATTTTGTGTATCAAAAGGATTCACAGGTGTTGTAGTTGTTTTTGCATGCACTACATGTGGTATATTACTTGTGTCGATCACAGAATCACATATCTTGTAAGAAACATGTTTGTACACAACTTGAAACACTGACAAGTTTAGGTAAATTATCGACAGATAAGAATTCGACAGCAGGTTCTAAGACAACAAAGCCATCATTCAGAGCTTGCAAGTACATTTTGTCTCCTTGTAACTAAGACAACAAAGCCATTATTTATAAATGTTGTTTTTGACCAATCGATCAGTGGTATATTTTGGGCAGTTTTAAGACAACAAAGCCATTATTAAATGTTGTTTTTGACCAATCGATCAGTGCCCATATGCACAATTTTATGTTAAAAATTACACCCCCCCCCCCCTACACCATCTTATATTTTGGGCAGTTTTAAGACAACAAAGCCATTATCCAGAGCTTGCAACTACATTTTGTCTCCTTGTAATAAGGCGATTAAATGTTGTTTTTGACCAATCGATCAGTGCATATGCACAATTTTATGTTAAAAATTACACCCCCCCCCCCTACACCATCTTCACCAGACACAATATTCACCACCTCACAACAGCTGAAACCATCCTACACCACACTACAAGCAGCTGACAAACAAAGCATCTGACACCATCTTACACCATCTTCACCACCTGACAACCGATGGCTATAATGGACATATATGTCTCTTGCATGGCCTTTCTAGCAACAAAGCCACTGGTGTTGATAAGATATCTAGTAAAATTATTAAAATAGCTGCACCTGCTATTTCAGATTCACTCACATACATTTTCAATCAGGCTGTTACCCTATCCCTTTTCCCTCGCAAATGGAAAACGGCTAGAGTAATACCTATTAAAAAAATGGCCAACAAAACCTGCCAGGAAATTACTGACCAATTTCAGTTTTGCCTGTCATTAGCAAAATTATGGAGCGAATTCTATATGATCAACTATACAATTATTTAACCAAATTTGGACTTCTGAGTGATTGTCAATTCGGTTATCGTAAATTTCACTCTACAACTACAGCATTACTGGACTGTACAAATGATTGGTATATGAATTTAGACCGCAAAATGTTTAACCTAGTAGTCTTAATTGACTTGAAAAAAGCATTTGATACTGTTGATCATCAAATATTATTGACAAAATTAGAGCTCTATACACCTTATTCCAAAATGGTGCCCGCGAACATGAAAACGATAAAGTTGATATATTTGATTATTTGTGCTGGGAGTTCGCCGGAGTTGTAGAATACTGTGTACATAGTGTGTTTTTGGATCAGTTTGATCTGTGTTTATCTTTCCAAAATCACATAATGGATACTGTGTTTTGTGGACCACGCTTGTTGTCAGAAGAGGATATTCCTGGCAGCGCGCTTTCTGGTCGAAAGCCTTCTGCTCTGAAGAATTCCGAGCTTAAGTTCTGGCTGCAATGTCGCGGTGATTCTTGCAAAGGGTTGAAGACGAAGGCGCTGCTTGTCAAAAGGCAAGTAAATAAAATGGTTTTTAATAACGCTAAAATTTGATCAAATACATAAGTTTTTATTGATTTTCAACATACATGTTTATGGTGTTTACTTTTACCTTTAGGGTAGATGAGTATGTAAGCAGAGGCTTGGAGGGGAATATTGTTGATCCTGACGAGTCAATGATGTATGGCCAGCACAACCACATCTGCTAGTATGCCCAGTACAAGCTTGGGTGCCTCGATGCAAACAAAGCACACACCGAAGTTTCCTACAGATGGCTGGGGCACATCACTTTCAAAGGCACCATTCTTTAGTCGAGTGGAGATAGACAAGCACATTAAAGAATCTGGGAAAAATGTGGGTGGTGGGAGTTATCACACGCTGCCTACAGGGCTTATGAGAGCCAAAGCCTAGTTGCAAGATGAATATTTACATGGTATTCAGACAACATATGACCAACGCTATTTCTTCTATCGTGCCAAATGCTTTCATAGCTTTAAAAAGAATGAAAGTCCTCATTAATTGAAACTTGCCTTGTGTGTGGTTTTGGGTGATGTTATTCATGCGTACTGTGGTCCTACATGTGCAGCAGGAAAGTCTGGGTTTTGCAACCATATTTTGGCACTAATGCTGAAGGCTTGCAAATTCAGTCTATTTAGCTGCCAGAAGGTAACTGACCTGAAAGACGAGGACGATGAAAATCCTTCTTCAGCATGCACTTCATCCCTACAGCAATGGCACCAACCAAGAGTTGAAGGAATCGCACCACAACCAGTAATGGAAGTTGTTGTGATGAAAACCCATACAGAGGAAAAGAAAACGGATGGTGTGAAGTGCAAGCTGTATGAAGCAAGGAAACAACAACAGTCAAATGTTGCTAAATTTCTAGAAACTGTTAAAGAAATTGATGCAACATTTGGCTTAGTTCAGACTTGCGAAGTGAATGAAAGTTCATCACAAGTACCAACAAAATTTGGTCGCAGTCCAGCTGGTTCATTTGGCTCCTATCAACTCTCATTCCAGGAGTCTAACTTTGATGTTACATCTTCATTCGAAATAAGTTCATCAACAAGCCATACCCATACAGTCATCCCAAATTATCTATCCTTCCCACTGGATGATTTGAATTGGAGTTTTGTATTGCATGTGCCAGAAGGTTTGGATAATGCACAGAAAAAACTTTTAGTTAAGTTTAACAGTATCACTACTAGATGCCAACAAACTAGAACGGGAAACAAGGGAACAGTCCAGCTGTGATGAGTGGGTAGAAGCTCGAAAGCTGTGATTTACAACCTCAAGATTTGGTAAGGTGGCAAGAAGAAAAAAGAACTTTGAAAAGTTTTGTTCTGATCAAATCACTGCAAAACCTTTTAAATCTCGAAGCACTGAACATGGCATATACTATGAGCCAATTGCCAAAAGGGAATACCAGAAATACATGGAGAAGATTGGTCATCCAGTTAGTGTAAAACAATCTGGTTTTTTTGTCTCCCCCAAACTTTACATTCTTGAATGTTCACCTGATGGAAAAGTAATTGATATAAATGCTGGTAGCAATGGAGATGAGTTTGGACTACTAGAAATTAAATGTCCAAGCTCCAAATTTACTGTGACTCCAACAGATGCATGCAGTGATAAAAACTTTTGTCTTGAGATTCAAGGAGATATACCAAAACTTAAGAAAAACCATGAATATTATGATCAGGTGCAAGGACAGATGGGGCTGACTGGAACTAAATGGTGTGATTTTGTGGTGTACACCAAAGTAGGCATGAATGTTGAGAGAATAACATTTGACCAAGACCACTGGCAACAGCTCCGTGAAAAACTTTGCTCTGTGTACTTAACACACTTTTTACCTGTTGCGGCAAAATCGAGCTGATAAACAAATTGACTTTAACCTATGGAGTGGCAGCACTCTCCCCCCGACAAGTAAAATCATCTGGCGTTAGACATAGTAAGTTGATAAAGTAGGGCGCATTGCCACGTAAAGGGTAAAATTGGGAAATTGAATTGAGAATTAACAAATTGAGCTTGTAAACAAATTAACATGGGGGAAATTGCCATGGATCCTAAGTTTGTCTAACTAAGGCCAGATGATTTTACTTGTCAAAGGATAAATGTTAGGTTAGTAATGGGTTAATATTTATTATTAGTCTTAATATTTCAATGAGATAACAAAGAATGAAGTCATCATGCAATTCAATATAATGAATTTAATAAACTTTAATTACTCATATTTTTAATTAATACATATTTTGAATTTCTAGGTGACTTTATACTATGGAATATATCGTCACTTGCAACTAAGGATGAACAGTCACAGATAAAAACATTGTCTATAGTGATTGGTTGATCAGTTTTAAACTCACATGCTCTTGACAAACATTGAAGATTCTTGGTGAAAACATTGAACTTTGTCATGAGAATAGACAAAGTTCAATGTTTAGTTGCAAGCGATGGTATTTCTGTGAGAACAAAAAAACTGTTTCATTTGAGGACTAGAATAATTGTATATACTTTCAGAAATATTAAATTAAAAATAAGGGTGTACATACAAATTATTATAACTAGTTATGTTAATTACCTGATCATTAAAACCATTTGAGTTTGGAAAAAAGTCATGTTTGAGTGATTATATTTTGTACAATATGAATACATACTTCAAATAATTTCAGGACTTTTTCAAGTAGGTGATTTGCCCATATAGTCATATACACAATACTGTCACTTAAACAAATTACACCATTTTGTAAAGTAATCAGTCTTGGCTATACAGCCTTGTTTCTGTGATTGAGGTATCATATAAAGGTCTGTCAGGTTATCTATTCTAACCCAATGGTTTTGTAAACATGTCACCTGCAACAAGATAAAAGGTCCTAAACCCAATATCTTGATCACAAAAACGAGGCTGTATTGAGTGAGTTCCTTAATTCAAATACTAATTATTGGTTTCTGAATATTACACAGCACGGCACATACTGTCCACATCTGATTGACGACACCAAACAAGTTCAATGGAACAATACCATTCCATATTTTAAAGTTCTTAATTTTGTTGATTGCTCGCTCAACATGCACGCTTAGGGAAGCAATACTTTGGGTTTTGACTACATCTTCAGCACTCATTTGGCCTTGCATTCCCAGGAATGGAGGTATATTCAACCCTACCCCAGGTGGTAATAAGTCATCTATGGTGAATCCCTTGTCAGCAGGGACGTCGCTACTGGGGGGTGTGGGTGGGTGTTACACCCCCCCCCCCAACAATTTTGAGTGGGAAAAGTTGGTCAAAACTGGACAAACTGGGAAAATTCTGGTCAAAATTATTGGTCACTTATAAGCTGAAAGTGCGAAAGTGTATAGTCAAAAGCCAAAATAGTTATTGACCAACAGCTGGAAGTGAATTAGCAGCGAATTGACATCCGGTTTAACAATCAGCATGTTTTGTTTTGCGCTTAAATACGAAAATACCTCATCTTGATAATTCTTGATCCACTATATCCTCGCAAGATGAAGTGCTTATCAGTCAATTATAAATTGGCTTATTGTCTAGCGCGATTTTATATTCAATCGTAGTTGTTTTTGTAATTATTTATATAACTGAAACGGGAAAGTTACATTGTTGGAAGACCAGGTAAATTTATATTATTTGTAACTTGCAAGATGAGGACTTTTATATATTGTATTTTTAATTAATTAATTAAGTTATTCGTTTGTTTGTTTGTTTTGTTTATTGTTATAAATAAAATGAATATCAGTAAAAGACAGCATAATTGTTAACCAATGTATGTCGAGTACTGTACTGTACCGTTACATCATAAATTAAGAAACTTTGTTCGTTGTTAAATTTTTTTTTTGCTGGAGAGGAGAGTTTGCATTATCAATATCTTAATGTTAATCCAGAGATGGGGAAAGAAAAGCAAGAAATGCGAGCTCACAAAAGTCGACGGAAAGTATCATGCGTAAATTGTGACAAGACCATGAGCTGGGAATATTTCCGCAATCACCACGTACCCACAGTTCACAATGGCAAAAAAGTACCCGTTAAAATTATTTCTAATGCAAAAGCCCCAGGATCTTCTTCTGATATCAGAAACCTTTTTGCGTCGTCTCTAACTGCTGAGTATATAAATTTTAATTGAACAATCAAGTAGCAGTAGCCAGTAAACAGTATACCAAGGGGTGCATGCATTTCATTTACTCAGGCAGGTGCCGTACAGGATGAAATGGATAAAACCCGTACAGATAATGAAGCAGGAAATTCAAAAGATGCTACTGTGGTTGAGCCAGAAGTAAATGTAAGTTGTGTGTGAGTTTAAGTGGCTGTCTCACTAAGAACCATGCAGAGCGTTTCAGGTTGAAAATTAGATTTGTTTTATATTTTTACCATGAACTACCTTTGTCCTAAAAGGTATTAAACTAATTTTAGAATTTCTAAATTTTTCTTTTTTTTTGAGTTATGACGAATTTTTGTCTGCACGTCAGCGACACTGAAATTTGACCCCGAAAACAGCGGTCAAATGTGTGTTAAATTATGCGTCATAACTCGGAAAGTTTCGCGTCAAATCAAAAACTTTTTTCAGCGTATTGAGACATATTCTTCTTCTTTTAGAATGTTGAAAGAATTTGATTGTACATCTTATGTTAAGCCTACTAGTCTCCATCCAAGGAAGTCGATATTTTCGTTCGCCGAACAACTAATGATTAGGTACAAAATTCAAACTAAAAGTTCTCAAATGTGCAACCTACCTGGTGTCTAAAACACTTTTAGGGTTAAAGTAGAATGCTTAAAGTTATGTTATTCGTAATAAAACTTGTCGGCAAAAGGAATATGAAGGAATGCAAAATTCATAAATTATGGCTATAAATAGCTCTATTGTTTACCTTTGTGATAACCGGAAACACGTTCAAGGTTGCTCGCGGAGTTTTTATAGCGACTAATATATTGCACAATCATTGTATTTATAAACTCAGAAAAGTTTAATTCGATCGATGAAATGCGACGGATCTTTGAGGTCTAAAACGGTCAGAAGAAATAAAGTCGTCTAGGATTTGTATCCCTCATGACCGGACAGGTACAATGCCAATGTCGAAAATGTGTGTTGGCGTATCGTCGCATCGAATTAATAAATCCATGAACTTGTTATTATATTCTGTTAAAAGTTTTCCGCATTGCCCATTTGGCAGAATTTTTGGCAGAAATGCAAACCATTCACCTCATCGTATAAAACGATCTTAGTTGCATTGACATTGACTAGCTTCGACGTATACTGAGATCTGTCCTTTATCTTTAATCTATACAGCAATAATAATAATTTTACAGTAGTTTGCAGCTAAATTCGCCATTCTGTGAATAACTTTCAACTTCAATTGGCATTTTTCGGCAAAATTTGATTTGTCTCATAATAGTAGTATAAATTATAGCAATAAAAAATACATAACATCGTAGTTTGCATGCGGCGTTTTTAGTACTTGATTTGGGTTAACGATACTGCTCCAGGCTCACACATGCACTCGCGGACCAAGAACAATAGGGATTTTACGCATGTAAGGCGGCAACGTCAGGACGACGGCTATCAATACAATATCATTAATCCTATAGTACAAAAGAAATGAATAATTAGAAGTATATCTGGAGTTTCAGACATCGTCCATGCTCTGTTGACGACGGCAAAATGCATATTTTCACGTCTTGTAAAGTACGCTAGCATTTCAAGCCGTGGCAGGCGATTTTTCTAACAGCGTTGATCAAAATTGCTCTGAAGGTTAAAGCCCTGTTTTACTCGTTCTAAACTGTATTAAATTCACAAGAAAGTAAATACAGGACAACATTTTCATACATTCATTTATTTCAAAACGTTTGTTTAGCCGTCGTCCTGACGCGGCCGTTGTACATGCGTGACTCCCTAATGACATTTCTCGACATGTCCAAGTTAGTCCAGTATACGTCAATCTCAGCAAGCATTTTCCACAATTTGTCCACAAGCATTTCTCTTTGTTCTTTCGCCTCAAAATGAAGAACACGTAAACTTACGCATTCTCCTTCATGAAGAACACGTAAACTTACGATAGTTATTTCCAGTTTCCCTTGCGTCATTAAAGTACTAATTACAACACTTGAAGAAGTAAAAGTAGTGTAATACTTACGAGATCCTATTTGAATTAATTTCCCATAAAGAGAAAAAACTGTTTTTGATAATGACACATTGAAAACATCTCTTCCTGTACACTTACGAACAGGACCCGAATGGAGGGAATACTGGCACGGTCTTAGCGGCATCCAAAATCGTCCCAAATTATGACGGTGGGACGGACAAATAAACATCATCTTAAACTGGTCTTCGGTAAGATTGAACATTCCCGCGCGAATAGCAATTAACTCGTTCTCTCTCAAGTTCGAGTTAGAAAGATGACAGTTTGATAGTTGACCACTCATATCTTCCTTAGGCCTACAATCAAATACGCAACTAATCTAGTGTAATCCACGACTGTCACCACAAGTAATTCCACCAACGCCAACAAATGAACAACTTTTCTCCATAATCAAAACTAAACTAGTAAGCTTCTAGAAATATCTAAAAACGGCACTTCTTTGCGTTAATTTTCTGTTAAACAAAACAGGTGTGGAAATTACAAAGGACCACTGTCATTGATATTATTTAAGAAGTAAGTTTAAAAAATACTCCAATAATTATTTTTAACAATGGCGCATTGAAGAACAAAAACAGCTTGTATACATTGCGTCTGCTATTATTTTCTGCTATTATTTTCGTGGTTTATTATTATTATTTTATAAATTAGAGAAACTTAAAAATTGGCTACAAACGTAATCCCCTTGGCATACAGACTACAGACTGTAACACAATTTACTAACCTCGAAATTTTTTCGACAACTCCCGAACGTTTGATTAAAGATTAAATTTGCGAGATTAAATTGTTTGTTGAAGAATTAACACGCGAAAAATAAGTATCCAGATATAGCAAATTAACTATTAAAGTTTAGTATATTGTTGCTTTCGTAATATAGCGTGCATTCTATTTATGGCACACTCATCAGTATACATATTAAACAACGATAATAGATTGTACATTTATATGTTGGCGTGCAACTATTTAGTAAATTTAATCAAGTTTAAAACGATCAATTGAAAAGGCTTTCCGAAAGCTTAAAAAATTACAAGGCGGTGTTTATATTCAAATATAAGAACTTATAAACACTATTTTATATTTAAAGTAATTGCTGATATAAATTTATAAAACCTCCGCGAGTAACGCTGAACGTGTTTCCGGTTATCACAAAGGTAAACAATAGAGCTATTTATAGCCATAATTTATGAATTTTGCACTCCTTCATATTCCTTTTGCCGACAAGTTTTATTACGAATAACATAACTTTAAGTATTCTACTTTAACCCTAAAACTGTTTTAGACACCAGGTAGGTTGCACTTTTGAGAATTTTTAGTTTGAATTTTGTACCTAATCATTAGTTGTTCGGCGAACGAAAATACCGACTTCCTTGGATGGAGACTAGTAGGCACAAAATAAGATGTACATTCAAATTCTTTCAACATTCTAAAAGAAGAAGAATATGTCTCAATACGCTGAAAAAAAATTTTAATTTGACGCGAAACTTCCCGAGTTATGATGCACAATTTAACACATATTTGACCGCCGTTTTCGGGGTCAAATTTCAGTGTCGCTGACGTCCGGACAAAAATTCGTCATAACTCATAAAAAAAGAAAAATTTAGAAATTCTAATATTAGGTTAATACCTTTTAGGACAAAGGTAGTTCATGGTAAAAATATAAAGCAAATCTAATTTTCAACCTGAAACGCTCTGCATGGTTCTTAGTGAGACAGCCACTTAAGTCTTTAACGAATCCCCAATGTCATTATGGCACATTACTTATAAATTTATTAATTATATTTATTATATACAGTGTATAGTAGATACACATTATTAGATTGCTTCTATTATTTTTTCAGGAAAATTTAGACATTTCGTTTATGAATGAGGGTGAGGAACTAGGAGATAGTTGTAATAACAACCAACCTCAAGATGGTGCTGAAGTATGTTTCGAATTAAGGACTAATATTACATAATTATGTACAGTATGGTATTTTGTGCTATGAATTACTAAAAAGACTTAATTTAATATACGTCTATATACTGTACCGTTACATCATAAATTAAGAAACTTTGTTCGTTGTTATATAGATAGCACAGGAAACACATTTGCTAGCCTTAACTACCGTATCAGATGAAAAAAACGTGGAAGATGGTCAACACGTTAACACCATATCAGACGAAGAAAGCGTGGAAGATGTCCAAACCATTAACACTGTATCAGATGAAGAAGACGTAGGCGAAGGGGAAAACGTTTACCAACCTACTGAGGATGCTCAAAAATACTCCCCAGAATTTTTATTGTGCGCTGCTGGCAATCTAGAGTATGTAGCTGTACAGGTTGCAAACTTTGGGACACGCTTGCGAGAGGCTCCTTTTCTTGACATAGATGCGTGTTTGAGTGAGATAATATCTTCCTGCAAAAGTATTGTTGATTCTGTTCAACATGTGCAAAAAGTAGCCGAGAAATATATTGTGCAACATAGTAACCACAACGACAGTTTGGACCAAATACATATTTTTGAAAACCCCTCCACACAGCATGATCCTGAAAAGCGACCAATAATACTTTCTGATGCCAACAAAAGGTATCTTATCAATCTTGGTCCTTGTCAGCCGAAGTTAAGTAACTTTCCAAAAAATTCTAACATCAGAAAGTCGGTACAAAATCGGTTTTCATCATCTTGGTACAGACAGTACCGGTTTTTGGAGTATAGTATCTCGAACGACTCTGCTCATTGTTTTGTGTGTTCTCTATTTCCATCTGGCATTGATCGTCCCAAAGCTGAAGATGCCTGGATAAAAGGCACAAGAAGTTGGAATAAAATTAAGGGCAGTCAAGGAAAAGGCATACAAGGAAAATTGAACAAGCACTTTAGCAGTAAATCCCATAAGGCTTCATTGCAAGATTTTGTTAATTTTTTGCCAAGGAGACTGTCATATTGAAGTGTTATGGGACAAGGAAGTCCGTTCGCAGATGGTTGATGATAAGAAGCTCCTGCAAGACCAGAGAGAAGTGATATCTATTTTACTAGACATTTCAAGAACACTTGCCCGACAAGGACTTGCGTTCCGGGGAAATGAAAATGAAGATGATGGAAACTTTTGCCAAATAGTTGGATTGATGAGTCGGCACGTTCCTCGCTTAAAGGATGGTTAGACTCGCGAGCAAAACGGAAGTATAAAACAACTTTCATGAGTCCTGAGAGCCAAAATGAATTTATCAAGATGTTAGTCGATGAATACAGAGAAATGATAGATGCAGAGATAAGCAAGGCTCCTTTTACAGCTGTAATTGCAGACACCACCCCAGATGTGTCAAATGATGACCAAATGGCTTTTGCTGTTCGATTTGTTAATGACGAGGGAAAACCATGCGAACGTTTACTCGAGACAAAGATAGTAATCGATAAGACGGGCGCAGGCCTTGCTAAAGCTATTTTGCAAGCAGCACAAGAAAGAAATGTAGACACCACCAACATCAGGTATCAAACGTACGACAGCGCATCATCGATGTCTGGAAAATACAAAGGGGCACAACAGATTTTTTCAGAATTATTAGAGCGACCAATTATTTATACGGCTTGTCTACCTCATGGCTCGAATTTAGTTATTGAACATGCGTTCGATGCAAGCCCTATCATCAGTAATATGTATGTCAACTTAGAAGCACTGTATGTTTTCTTCGCTGCAAGCACGAAACGTACTTTCAACCTAAATGAAGTGATGAAAACGTCTTCAGACTGTCTGAAATTGACTAACTTGTCAAAAACAAGATGGACTGCGCGGCCAGATGCAATAAAAGCTGTTTGGGTAGATTACGACGAGATCTGCCAAAGCTTGCAAGAGATATCTCAAGATAGAAAATTTGACCAAGAGAGCAGAACCAAAGCATTAGGGTTGCTGAGCAAAATAAAAAGCTTTGACTTTATTTTTGCTATTATGTTCATGAAGAACATAATGTTTAAAATGAAGATGATGGTTGACCTTCTGCAGACGGAAGAGTTGGATGTTAGCGGTGCTTTGTTGGCGATGCAAGAGACAAAAGACAGTCTCAATAGAATTCGAAGAACCGAAAACGCCATTAATAACGAAGTCCAGGCAGCATGCCTATTCGATAGTCAATTCAACGTTGACGCAGAAGCTGAATTTCAAAGGATTCATCGAAAACGTGTCCCACCAAGATGTCTGGATGCAAATCCTGAAACCCAGACCAATATGTCTATGGCAACGTTTTATAGAAAAGAGGTTTTCCTTTTTCTCGACACAATGGTGGAGGGTGTTATCAGCAAAGATAAATGGCCTGGAGTACTCATTTAGGCTATTTATAGATGTTCTTGACCCAAACATAATTCCAACGATCAACAAAGTGGTAAAACTAGCGAATCAGTTTCCAAGTGACATTCCTGACCCAGAAGCATTTCTAGCTGAACTGGAGATTTTCAACGGGTATTACAACAGAGTGAAAGTAGAGAGGTGCGAAACAAAATTTACAATTCGCGATGCAGTGGAATTAGCAATGAAATGCAACCGAGAAAAGATGCTTTTTCCACAAGTTGCCAAAATTTACTGCTTGTTTCTAACATCTCCCCCTTCTGTGTGCAAGAGTGAAACGACATTTAGCCGCTTAAAACTTCTCAAAAATTAGTTACGAAGTACCATGACACAAGAACGACTTGACAACCTGATGGTTCTTTTTTGCGAAAGAGATATTGCTGACAAGGTTTCCATAAAAAAGTTGATCGACAAATGGACAAAAATCAGACGTCGGAGAATTGCGCTTTCATAGCTCATATAGTCGTATGGTCGTCTTGGCGACTTTCCCCCCTACTGTAACTGTCTCCGAGGCATAGTTTGAACTTTGAAGGCGTTAGCTGTCTAATATTTCATTGAAAGCCTATAATTTGAATATGTTTATTCACTCACATTGATCAAATTTGTTTTTATAAGCTGAGTTCAAATAATCTCTAACAACTGTGCAGTAATTAGTTTGGGGTAAAGATGTTAAAATCATTGAAATATTATTTTCTTAAAAATGCTGTTTGCAATTTTACAGGAATTTTACCAGAATCTCCCACAAGCATTCAGTTTCTTCTTCGCGAAAGTGACGTTGTTCAAACTCAAAACTTGGTCAAAATGTTCCCCAAAAAGTTGGTCAAAATTTGAGGACACCCCCCAATGTTCATGCCTTCGCGACGTCCCTGCTTGTCAGCCATGACCGAGTCTCCATTATTGAACTGCTGGTCCAAGAAACCACTTCGCATGACAATTTCTCGGTCAGAGATGTGCCCGGTGTATAGTTGTGCCCGGTGTATAGTGCTCCACCAGGAGTTATGCCAACCAGACACTTAAGGGTAGCGTTGTTCTTGTAGGAACTAAATAGTTCACTGTTCAAAAGAAGGCTGCTTGGCATCTGGCATTTGATCTCGGTGCAATCAATAATCACTCTAGTCGAGGGAAATTTTTCTTTAAATTGCTCTGGCATATATTTATCCACCAACTCCCGAGAAGGCCACATTGGTACATCATCCTTAAGTTTCAAATAAAGAAAATTCACCCAAGTAACAATAATTTTGCTAGTGGTGCTCTGAGACACCCCATACAAATGTGCAAGGTGTTCTTCAGGGAAACCTTGCCTCGTTCTACACAATGTTATAAATAGTTCCTCCTTGGGATGAAGTATTCTTGGCCTGCCCTGTTTTGTTGAAGAATCACTAGAAGTAGAACCTTCACTTGTAGTCACAGAATGCCAGTAAGAAATATTTTCACCATGTTCTCCAGGATTACAAAACTTATACAGAGCATCAAATAGTTTCACATCTGGAAAGCCAGTATAGAATTGAAAACTGTTGTTGTCATTGTAAAATCGGCTGAAACAAAACACTTTACGCTCACTGTTTGTGCACCTCTCCGTCAAGTCCTCGACTCTGGTCTTCAGTTCGTTGAGTTCAGTTTCAAACGCGTTTGTTTCCTCGTTTCTGGCCCCGTAACGTCTTCCTCTAAATGGCTAGATGATTGACCAGCCAGTTCATCACTGTCAGAGTCTGGATCTATAAATTGAATGTTAGATCTTGATTTTGCTGGTGACTTTCTCTTCTTGGGAGAAGCTGTTTTCCATTCTAATCTCGACGGCACTGCCCCGTCTCGAAGCGTACGTCTGCCAGTTAGTGAAACTTCAAAGTCCCCATCTTTTAAAATGCCTTGAGCAAACATGAGTATAAATCTCGCGATTATAGCACAGCAGGATGTCGTAAGGCACAAATTTTGCCATAAATTTCATCTTTAGCGGTATCGAATTGTCCATATACGAAGGAAATATTTTTTTGGCAAAAAAGTCTACAATAAATATATAATAAATCTATAATAAATCCGCAAATATGGCCCCCTTTGCCTCGCTTTCATGCTCACGGGTGGGCGCCATTTTGGAATAAGGTGTATGGAATAAAAGGGCAAGCTCTATCTTTTCTAGAATCGTATCTCTCAAATAGAAACCAAAAATGCCAAATACAAGGGTCATTTTCATCAGAGAAATTGGTCAAATGTGGCGTACCACAAAGCTCTATTTTAGGGCCACTATTTTTTCTGTTATATATTAACGATTTGCCTCAGTGCCTGGATAAAACAAAACCTTGGTTGTTTGCTGACGACACTTACTTGACAGTTTCTGGAAACTCTATTACTGAACTCTATTACTTGAAACTGCAGTGAATTCTGATTTGGAAAAACTTAGGAAATGGCTAATTGCTAATAAACTTAGTCTAAATATTGCTAAGACTGAGTTTATGTTAATTGTTAAAAAAATGATTAAAAGTATTCAAATTTACAACTCAATGAAATTGCTTGTACAAGTGTAATAGCAGCAGTGGCAATAAGTCACTATTAAAAAATAGTCAGTACTGTGCTTCTTCTAGCCTTAATTTTTCTATTGAAAAACATTTCGGCAGAAAATCACGACAACGCAAATACACACATACTGTGTAACAAAGGTGTATACATGTGTTCCACTAGTTGCATTGCTGGACTTAGAAGACAGTGTCATTATGTTGTTTATGAACCACCTTCCCCTATTAATTTCCAATGTTCAATGAGTAAAATCTTCTAGCATTAGAATTTAAAGTAAAATAAAATATGGTGTATAAAGATTAAAGGTACTTTGTGCTTTACTGGGTAAATATATGCAACTCTGTCTTATGCTGCTAATCTTACTCTGCATGGACAGTGTGGTTGGCATCAGCTGGTCAATTTCATTTGCCCCTAGGCTAGCTGCCTTTGAGATGAACTGCATGGTGAATAGCCCACACTCTGAATACTGAGAATATTGCCTTGTGGCGAGGAAACCAGTTTAAAACTAACACACAACAAACACTGGGTTTAAAATTATATAAATATATAACTAGGTACACACACAATCACACGTTTTAAATCAATAGAGACTGTGTGTAAATTAATTTAATGAAGCTATCTTAATTGGAAATTGTTAAATAAACCAATACCAAACAGTACAATGATAAACATGACATAATTTAATCATATGTCTTCTATTTGTCCCCTTTTGCCTGCCTTTCAACTAATATTAATACAGTACTCCTTTAAGAAAGGCTACACAGTAGTATTGATGAATATTTCATTTTCCCTATGTTATTTATATAAATGCATATTTTGTCAAATATATCCATACACTTATCAATAGTAATCGTAATCCTCAGGGTGACATGCTGGCTATCCAAAACATATTACTGGGATAATTAGCATTACAAATATGTAATTCAATTATTATTTTTATTTAAATATATTTTCCAAACTATCCCACTTTTGTGAACAAATTTCATAATTATAACTTGTATACACCAGTTTCAGTATATACAGTATTAATACCATCCATCATTTTATCATTGATTCTAAGATTAAATCTGTCAGGAGAATGTCATATGATATATACAGCTCATATCAAGTTATATTTACACAGACAAAGCATATAAACACTCAACTATGGTAGGCGAGCAAACCCAGGTAATAATCTTTGTTTGCAAAATATCCAGCTAGTGTACAGTAATTACCCAATAACTCAGGCAATGCAAAGAAAGACCCTGTCACAAGGCATGCCAGCTCATTTCCATATAAAATGAAAATGAAATGAAACAGGAGATACCACTGGAAGTTGAACTTGAAACAATTACATTTCATGTAAACTCCCCCTTAGTCTTCTAACCAATGTTGCATTACTATTAGAAATTCATTAACCTGCAATTATGCTCTGTAATTACATACAGAGGCTGATGCAAGTCTTGATCCATTCAGAGTTACTTTCCACCAACACTATAGTTTTATTTTTGGTATCCAATCAAAATGTGCCAGAAGAAATGTCAATTTCACATAATAACAACAAGCTAAATATAGTTACAATCACTAAATATATCATTATTTAATTATAGCATTAACTAATTATCAAAACAATACATTAAATATGGACTTTGCCTCAGTAAAGCAAGCTGTCAAGTTTTGTATTGGAGCTAGTTTGCCTCCAGACAAGCAAACCTCTGTAAAATGTCAAACTCCCCCATCCTCCCCTCAACCACTAACATCTTTCTGGTCTTTCTGGAATATAGAGCAACAACAGTATTTAAATAGACACAAACTGTAATAATTATTTTGTTATTACATACAAATCTATATTAATTGTGGACCCCATTTTCCACATTACACACTTCTTGAACTGAACAATTTAGTAATTTACTACCATTTGTAAAAATATAGAGAAATTTAACTTACTTTGATAGAGCCCTCAGTTCGATCGAGTTTCACGTTGTGGGCATAAGATCCCTTCCATTTCTCCACTTGGTAGTAATTGGTTCGACTGTAAACTATTTGTTCTCCGTCAATTTTGAGGGTTTCTCTTCGCATTATTTGCCATTTGCATATAGTGTTTGCATATCCAAATTGATCAAATATCCTTGCCGCCATGACTTGAATCGAATGCCAGTGATGCCTCGTTACGTCACAGTAGATTTGATATTGCAATTTGCATCAGTGCACCGATGCGAGCGCCCGCAATCTGCATGCGATGCATCGCTCAGCGGCCAAATCTAACGTGACGTAGAGTCTAAAACAATAGATTTGATGATGTCACGTTAGATTTCATGCGGAAAAGGACTCGGGTCCGATGCATTCACTGATGCAAAATGGATGCCAATCGAGTCTAACGTGACGTAGGTGATGCATTTTGTGCATTTTACTTCAACTGTGACGTCAAGGATGCGGTAAAAAATAACATATTTTGTCGCGAAAATATTGACGCTTAAGTGTCGAACAATAACAGAAAGTACACATTTGCGATCGCAACGTCGTATGTTGGACTTATTTTGACAATTTCGACTGTTATTGAGACTATTTAATTTGGATTTCATCCTAAATAGTGTATTCCTGACATGGAGTCAATTTTAAACAAATATTTGTGGGTTGATAGGAGATATTTTATTACGGAGTGCTTTGAATATTGGCGACATTATATATCTATATATTTCAAGCAACATGAATCATGATTTCTCAATTTTGACCGATGCATTCGCATCGCTGGCATCGGTCTGGATCCGCCCCTGGAAGTATGGATTAGAGAAACACAATCAAAAAGACTCGAAAAACTACCAAACAGAGCTGCTCGAATTATCCCCGAGTCGACGGCGCAAAGCGCTGTGCGAGGGTACTAATTCCACACAGCTATTTACACCCGGGTGTTTGAAAACATAGCGAAGTGCAAAGTTGTCCTCCATTATGTGATGGACGGTCTTCGACGTTATGGCTGTCAACCGTGGCTGTCAACCGTGAAACAAAGTGTGAAAGGCATGTATAGTTTACAAATTTTGTCAAAGACGAACCAGATGTGTTTTTAAAAGTAAATTTAATCATTGTCTTGGCTATGTTTGGGACTTGTGTAAGTGTTTACTTGATTTGTGTTTTCGATTTCATTCATATATCTGCGAAATTTTTATGCCATCCTTAACTCTAATAATATGTTTTGGTATGCAAGCTGGTATTTTATATATGAAATTGTATAAATGTAGTGATTAATAATGTTGTTTATTTGGGGCAATTAATACGGCATATTGTGTTTTTATATGTGTTTCTTTATGGTCGTTTACGTAAACTATAATCTATACTTAAACCTATAACTCAAAAATTAGCTTCTGCCTATAAAGCAAATATATTTTGCCGTATTTTCGAGCAAACTACTGTTTGTTACTTTTCCGTTTCCCCTGCAGTTTCATGACGACAAAGTTTCAAAATGTTTGACTGTTACATTTTACATTAAATTTTAAGCCTATTGAAAGCCACATAACATAAAACTATCGATACATCCAAAATATGACAATCAATGATTCTTTAGTTAAAAATTACCTCGTATTACAATCACGTTACCATAGCGACTACTATTATTTTAAACGTGGAATGGAGTACTTCATTATTTGATTTTGATTTCATGTGGAATTTCTGTATTTCATCTGTTAAAAAAAGGCAAGGGGTTGCTGCATGCATGTATTTCTAGTTATGAATATGAGCAATGACATAAATCAGTCTGTTGCATTGCAAGCATTGGGTTGGAAGCCAAGTAAGACAGAAAGGAAGAAAAGTAAAGCAAAAATCATGTGCAAATTATTGAACAAAATGGGACCGAAATCACTCACTAATCTCTTCACATATAAAAGTGAGGTGACAAACTACAAACTTACATAATATGAAAAACAGTTTCATGTATGACGGAGCACACCTTTGGAATTCTATTCCTATAGAAATTAGAGAGAGCAAATCCTTTTGTTCCTTTCGAAAGAAAATTGCTACTCACATTAACTAAAATTATTTCTCAGATTGATAGCTAATTGAAAATATATTAGTCTATATACCTGTAAATGGATTATTACTTATAGTTAATTTTGCTAGTTCATATAATACTATATATCTTATATAATTTTGTAAATAGTTTTTAAATGGAAATCAGCTTCGGTTGACGGGGTTAGCATGATTAAAGAAAGTTTTACTAGTCTAGTCTAGTCTAGTTGACATATAAACAGTTCATATATAATAAATTTTGTAAAATTGTAAATTATAGCTACAACTTTGCTACTCTATAATCCTCACTCGAATAAGATCAAAATAATAAGGCTAGTCAAGTTTCGATCTGATAAAACTTTCAATTTATTTTAAAACTCACATGATTATGTTGTTCTCACACTATAAGGCCAGTTAGGCGAAACCCCTATCTGCCAGAACCAAATCACCTGATATAAAGTTGTCCAGAAAGCCACAGTTCTCAGTCAGAACTTATCTGAAGTCCTCCCTCCCCAAGCTTCACTGACAAAGCAAATTGTACCTTGTGGTGTAATTCCAATTAACACTTTAACAGTGTTGTGATGCTTGTAACTTGAAAACGTCTGTGCCCTTGCTAGGAGATTAGTTTGTCTATCAATAAAAGTCAGCATAACATGGTTTGCACAGAAATTAAAACTCGGATTGAGGCATAGAATTATGACACTCTTGTCTGAATGCCAACTTGTTGTTTGTGGTTGAAATGTCTGTATGTGTTATGGCTGGCGTTTCTCAAGTTTTCTGTGGCAAATTTTCTGCTATGTCTTCGATATCGTACATAGTCATAGGATCAAATAAACATTTAACAACCACGCCAGGTTCGTTTACTCTCTGTAACTTCTCTTTGACCATTTCTTCTGTATTCTCATGCATATCAGCACGTACGTTTCATTCGTTCAGCGACTCCAATTTAATATGGCCAACAGCCATCTTCGCCTGCATTCGGTTCACAAAATTTCCATTTCCTCGCCGTGATTTTTAATAACTTTCGGCACCTGCCAGCCAAGAAAGATCTGTACGTTTAGATTTGTCATTTGAACAGTTTAAAACTACACAAAAACCGGCATATTGAGGAATATTTCTTTTTTTTTATACTTTTTTTTATTTAGCTTTGCCAACTAGGGCAGGGTCACCACAACAGCATATGCCAATTACTGTGGGCCCATTTTACCTAACCCACCCTGTCAACTTTCCCTGTGGGAGGAAACCGGACTACCCGGGGAAAACCCACGGCTTTCGGCAGAGCGTTGACTTTTACTCTTTTCACATGGGGACTGGGTTCGAGTCACATTGAGAAGGTACTTAGTGAGACTTGAACCTGCAGCCTCAGAGGTGAAAGGCAAGTGCGCTAACCACTTGGCCACCGAAGCCCCGAATCTAACAGATTTGGCACAGCTATAAGTAAACACTAGTGAGTTATTTGCATGTGACATGTTTTACTATACCAACATGGCGGATGCTAAATTTTAGTGATGTCACAGCGGCTCGTGTGAAAACACACTATACTTTGTCACTCTGCAGAAAGCTGCCACCTTTGTTTTACAGCCTGTTTGCGGGTGTACAGCTCTAATTAATCGACCTAAGTGTTTAACACACACACAGACACAACTCGATAGCACAGACACACAACTCGATAGAAAAACTATTGCACACTACACCAAGTTATTCCCATAACATTTGCAAATGACCTTGATAAAATTTAGGCTATTTGCACATATTTGACACTGTTTCTTACCTCCTTTAATTGGTGAACCACAGTAAACACAGATTTTTGCTAGTTTTTGGGAAGCATTCTTGAACATACATGTAAAGCCTGGTTTCCATTTGGTCAGTAGTCAGTAGCATCTGCAATCAGTAAAGACTGATTTGCATACAACACAAAAAATACAAGATAAACATCTACCACTTGTTGTGGTAGCAACTGGTAAACACCAAATGGAAACTAGTGTAACTAAGTGTAATTATGCAGTTTACACTCTAAACACCCCCAATTTTGTAATGATTGTCTTAAGACATATTTATTTGTGGAATAATGTACAATAAAAGTCTACATATTTATTTGTGGAAACAATAACTCAAAATAGAACTCTGTAAACTCTGGTAACATTGTTTTTTGCCAAAGTTCCTTGTCACCATAAATTCTTTCAATATGCAAGTCTTTTTGCATATAAACAACAAAATCTGCCTGCTGAAGCTCAAGTGTGGCCAAACATCCTTGAACTTGATAATAATAATTATAATTTCTTTTCAACAGAATTTTACCATCAACTTTAAAGCTATAATTATATTGTGTTTCATTGAGATCCAGCTTTCAGACAGATACACATAACCATAGCATTCTAATGTCAATTCTTCCACTAGCCTGCGAACAGGCTCACTGGGAGAAAGGTGAGCCTGCACGGAACCATGCGTTTTATTCATTCATCCCCTTTTCGCATCTGCTAAACGCTAACCAATCAGCGTCGACTGCGATAAATAAACTGTCAACTGTCAAATTGACGCAAGGCGTGTACATTGTGCAACATCACAACATGAACAATAATACAAAGCATTAGCGGGCCGCACAATATATTACTCGGAAAAATATAGAATTCTTCAAATATTAAATAGATATCAATACACATACAAATATAAAGCCGAATAAACTACCATTGGCTTTGAATGTACAGTAATACTTGTACTATGTGCGACTGAAAGAACAATGTTCTGAATATTTTGAAGCTATTACTAAAATACGGTCAGATAGATTGGGATTTGGAATACCGAATACGTTTAAAATTTTACTAACTGTGGTCTAAATAAATGATAAATGAGCATGTATTTATTAATTTCTTCGAAATCACGAGTGTGCCAATAGTGGAAGCCGTATCGACGACGAAATTGTCAGCAGTTAATATACAGTAAATAGTACATAACGTTTAATGTACGATATATATTTATCTAAATGACATGCCAGCGAGGATCAACAATATAATTATTCGTACATATTTGGGTATCTTTTGTATGCCTTCGCTTGCTGACTTGCTCACTAATGAGAATAATCCGTGAAGCCACGACGACCTCAAAATGTACTATACTATGGTCTGATGTCAATCCGAAGTCGAAGTTCAGAATACTGTTATAGTTTCGTATATTGGATTTAAGCGATAGATTCAAGTCATTTATGATAGACTTTTTTGCTGTGATGCTTTGCTATTGCTTTTGGTTTCCACTTCTAGTTTTATTTGTTCGATAGTCCTATAATATATAATATTAAAATGAATAAAGTTCAAATTCTTCAAAATGCTGTTGTTGACATTTGCTATTTTTAGTAATTTTGTCAAGGAGTGTAAGCCAATCAGAAGCCTGCGTTTCTATACGAACGCCACTACCAAGAAAACCTATCATCCGTGCAGGCCCTCTATTCTTCGCGCCGCCCGCAACCCAGGGCCTGTTCGCAGGCTATTCTTCCACATGCCAGAATTTGTGACTAGACATCACATCTAGTAAACAATCTTGATATTTATCCTTTAAGAAATGTTGAACTGAACATTCTTTTATCAAAGGTGTGTTACCTTGAAATATTAAAGGAATACCGAATGGTTTTCCGTGCAGGATTGCATGATCCATGAACGAGGGATGTCGCGAGACTTTCAGAAAGTGTAAAATACTCGAGCCGCAGGCGAGTGTATTTTTACGCTTTCCGAAAGTCGACCAACATCCCAAGTGCATGGATTATGCTATCCTGCTTGGAAAACCATTTGGTAATTGTTTTATAAAATAACTACAGTGAAACAATGACATTTTGAGAATCCCGTAAAAATCCCGAGAAGGCATTTTAATTCCTCGTGCAGGATAGCCTGATCCTGCATGGCTATTGACCAATCAAATTGTGTGTTTCACTGTAGTTATTATATAATTCCTCTTCTTCCCTCCTTTCTTTAGTGAAAGTTCTCTGTTACCAAATTTTAGAACATAGAAAATTCGCATTCTTACAAATAGTTTACACAAGTAGTCACTCGGGAATTCCTTACACTCTGACACTTGGAGTTTTGGTAGAGCATCCACAGGGCTTTTTCCAACACCAGTTTGGGAAACCTGTTATAAATTGGTCTTCTATATTGGTTATATATTGATCAAGACTGGTTGCGGGAATTGTAAGTCCACCATATAGGCCTTTTATGTTGTCATACGCTTTGAAATAACAAAAACGTTTGTCAGAACTGTCAAGTTTGTTTTGATTACTGAGGACTTTGGAGCGAACCTGGCAATTGTGCTTCTGCAGACATTTCCTCAACAAATAACCTGTCACAAATGTGATGGCATTGGCCCTCATAAGGTTTTGTTCAACCAATGGTAGTTGATAGTCCACTTCTTCAATCTGAAACAGAACTGTTGTAGCAATTTCATTATTGGCAGCAGGCTCTGTTGTCTTTCTGGTGTTTTTGCATCCAGCATGGCATCTAAATCAGCAGCACAGTTTGTATTGGATGGTGACAGGTAGTGGTCATAAACCAGCTTTCTGAAAGCTCTAGTAAACTGAATTGTGGTTGGAGCTTCAACATGCAGTCCTATATTTTCCAAAAGATTGATGATTTGCTCCATTGACAAGAAAGTAAGCCAAAGGCTGCTTCCAGTTGTGCACCACAGCACGAGCCATAAAAACAATAGCAGAAGTTGCCAAGCAGTTGGTTTTGCCCCCTTCACCATAATCTTCTCCAATCAGCTCATCGGTATTCTCTTGTTAGGCCAAATTTGATTTCAAATCAATTTTGTTGAATGCACAGCTTTCAACAAACTTGGAAACCCACTTCAGTAAAGCTGACTTTGAAGGCAAACAGAAAAGCTTTGAGACTAGTTTAAGCCTTCCCACTGAGATGGAAAAGGGTAAATCCAAATGCTTTAATTGGTTTTGTTACTGTATCTCCGGCCATGTTTTGAACTCTTTGTTCTGTGGCTTGATTTTAGTTGTTCTAAAATAGAAATTACTTTAGTAACGTTGTGTTATTTAATTAACGTGTGCAGAGTTTTTTCTCAATGTTCATACACAGTATGCTAACTGGTTGTACAGTGTGTATATTACCTTCGTTCATAGTGGATTGTTGATTCATTGACCCAAGTCATTTCCTGATCCTGATTGTGCTGTCTTCTTTATTTTTTTAAAATTAATATTTTATTTCAGGAAGCTTTCTTACAAAGTGATTTTCAGAAAGGTCCTGAACTAAATAAACTATTATACAAGGAAGACTTGCATATACTACATAACTATGAAAAATATTAAATTATACGAGGGAAAGTTCAAAGATTGATAAAAAAGTTTCTCTTAAATGTAGAAATACTAGTAGATAGTTTTATCTTATACAAGAAAAAAACATACTCCGAAGAGGGTGTAGGTAAAACATGGCCCTAGGCCATGGCCCAGGCCATGGCCCAGTGTATGGCCCTACCCTTGGCCCACCTGTTTTTTGTTTAATTTTAATTATTTCCTCAGTCAGCAAAAATTTTCGGATATGCTAATCACCAGATATTTTGTCCGTTTTGAGGTTTGAACAAAAATACTTTGAATAAGTTGCTGCGCGTATAGTATATAGCAAGAGCATCATGCATGGATGACTTTACTGTTGCCGAATTATTCAAGTGTGTTTCTATTTCAATGGCATGAACGCAATGGTGTAGCGGAGAGAGGAGCGGGCTCGGATAAGAAACCTTGCTAAGATTTCCTTCTATTTATTTTTTTTTTTGGGGGGGGGGGCTGTGCCCCCTTCAAAATTTTTGGCGAGACAGGAATAGTCTTTGGAAATATAAAAAAGTCACTAACAATTAAAACACACCTACTGTTCCAATTTATTTCTATTTTAAGGTTACACCAGTAATGCTACTTTTTCTTATATCCAGGATGTATTTTCTTGTTGCAATATGATAAAAACATCACTTAAAATGGCGAAAATCGTTTTTAGGAGATCCTAGAATAAAAACATTTATGCAGGTGGTTTATTCCTAAAGGCCTTCCTAGTTGAACCGCCCTTGTTAAAATATTATTTTAGAACTACACCACTGCACGTTGTATACATATAGACCGCAAAACCAATATGAGATACTCGCAAAGCATTCTGGTAGTCGTAGTCAATTACCGCAATAAGCTTGCCAATAGGTGAATAATGCTGAAAAAAGTTGTGCTATCAGTAGCATTCAAAAAGGAGAGATAACCAAGTTCATAATCAAGTGACAAGTGAACTTATTAAGTAATATAATTGTAGCAAAATATAAAACATTACAGTAACTCTAAGAGTAAATGTTTAGAGATCAGATCTCAAGTGTCATTCAACTGTAATAAAACGCAACTTAAATAGAGTTATAACGTGAATTACACCAATAAGGCAATATTAACAATAATTTGCAATAAGTGCAAGCTAACAACGTAAAGGACCTTTTAACTCGTACATAATAGTCATCTGCCTTGACATTAGCGAGCTTAAGCAAGCGACGTTTTTGTCAACACGACATCATCAGATTGCCGAGGGGGAAGGGCTGGATTCAAAACTGTGTTTGTATCAGTTTGTGGTAATCTTCAACGCGTGACAAAACATGAGATTTTTAAAGTTTTTTGCTTGCTTACACGAGCGTCGATGCAAAATGCCGCCCAAATTAGTTATACCAATTTTCGGATGATGTCCGTGTTGACAAAAACGTTCGATCTTAAAATTTGAAATGTGGCGAGTAAGTTTGTAATCGTACACGAGTAATCGTATAGTTATGTCTTAACAGGATACAATTAGTCATGTACGATTATCGTAGGCAGAATAGTCACGTTTTACAATTTGTCATCAGATTAGCAAAAACTTTTTCTATTTTCCGTAATTAGCTACACCATTCGATCAATGACTTTATATACTACATAACAGGGAGAAAACCCAGATTACTCAATGGGTTCTTTCCAACGTTGCTTCACGATTACAATACATTTTTTATCTAACGAAGATATTATTGGGGGTTTTTTCTCTTGCTTTTAGTAACGTGACAACGTACACAGGTGTACGCCAGTTGATATGGCAGTTCAGTGCGCACTACGACTACTGTCCTATGCTTCCATTCTCTCTTTCAAAAAAGCGATTTCGTCACCACTAAGGGTATGATTAAGAGCAATCTGAACACTGCAGCTATCAAACGCTGGGTTGCGGCCTTTAACGCAGTTAAGAAAAACGTGATGTTTGTTTTCGAACGTTTTCTTCCAATGGTGATAAGAAGTAATAAATACAAAATCGTGCTCCTTGTGTCTAATACAAAGTTTTTTGTCCATGTCGTGACGAGAAAAATCATCAGGCCCTTCTTTTAGGTCTCTTCGGCAGCCTGCACACTTCCTTATCCTGCCCGTTATGTCAATTAGCTGAAACGGAGTAGACATTGTCAGTGCCACAGCTGGCTTGTCTGGTCTAGACCGTCTGATTGTAATTTTAAGGGGATCATTTGATGGTTCAGCTTGGTAATGGAAAAGCTCGCCAACCGTCCCTGGTTTTGGTCCAGGTTGTTGATTTGTTTCATTCCTGTTCATAGAGCTAACTGGATCTGGGGATGTTTTACGTTTCGCTCTCGAAACAGGGCGCTTCCTTCCAGCACTTTTGTTCACACCACATGTTGTAACAGTGGTCAAATTTAACCCATGCTTTTTGTTCTCTTTCTTGTAGACTTGAAGAAAACTTGTCAACTTATTTTCGCTGTGGGCTACTGAAATTACATGAGAACAAATCTTTCTTGTATTGAAACCAATACAAGCTTTGTCGCAAATGTACTTGCCACTGGCCAAATGCTTCACGTAATGAGGAGTACATGACGACGAGGATCTAACAAGAAAGCTCTGACTTTCAAATCCTTTGCGGATTGAATTATCTTCTATTAATTGCTCAGCTTTGCTTGATAGAGCATTCAGATCTTTAGCTGAGAACATGCTTCCTAGTTCTTTACTGCAAATAGTTCTCAGATCACAAAATTCGCTACTGCACGCAGATCTGGAAGTACTGGGATCAGCTATAATAAAACATAACAACATTAATATTTACAACAGCGTACTAACGGATAATAATTATAATAAATAAATAATAATAAACTATATGTAAATGCTTAAAAAGCATCTTAATTCATACTAAAACACCCGACTATTTCATTCGAAACTGACGAAACCTCGTTTCTTAAGGCCTTCTCACTTTAAGATATTCTTTTTCAGTATAACAGTTTAGCCGATCACCATTGTGATTATCTTACTTCACTGATAATATTAAGTTTTGTATGTTATGCTTTATATCACCGTCGGACTGTGCAGTACTTACCACTATCTTCATCAACAAAACAAAGGGAATGGCTGTTAGTGGACGAACCAGCATGGACGTCAACGTTTTCAAGCTCGTCCTCGTCATCAAGTATAAGCACTCTTTTCGGGCCGTTGTTTGCAGCACCGTCTGTCTTGTGTACGCCATCATTTGTACGTTGAATGTGTGCCACTGGTGGGGCATGTCGGTACTGATAGACTTCCTTGTATCTTGTTGGATCGACCAGAGCTATCTCACTGAATTTACGCTTACCAGGGCTATCCTCGAAAAATTCAGATGGCGACTTCTCATATCTCTGGTACTCTGGACGTACGACGTACGGACTCTCTAAACCAAGGAATGCTCTTCTCACATCACTTTTCTGTTTATCAATGAGCTCTTTCACATCATCAATGAAGGTACTCATATCTTTTGAACTGAAACCTTGCCACCTTTTTAGCAAAGCGTTGGCCGATTCTGGAACATTATTAGTTTGTACACTGTCCCCAAAGCCCGCAGCTCTTGATGCTTTTGCTGAGACGTGATTCAGAATATCAGAAGACTTGTACTGGCGAAAATACGTCGAAAAACTAGGTGTCTTCTTGGTATCTTTATACTCCAGATAATCCCATTTGCTAGTTAAAGTATCGAGGTGATCTCTGTAATCTTCTACCGAGTCAGCCATAACCAAACCACCACTCCCAAAAATATCATTGATGATGATATCAGTTAGAGATTTCGAAAAACGCAACTTCCTGCATTTTTCTTCAATGTTTTTCTGAGCGTGTAACTTGCAAAGAAAAGAAAGTGATTTTTCAAACTCTTGTGCTAGAGCCTGTCTTAGTGCACTTTCAGAATCAGAAGAATAACCTTGTAGGTACAATTTAAGACCGGGCACTTGAGCAGTAAGCTTCTGGAAAAGGGTAAGATAAGTACTTTTATCTTTAAGCATGCACAGCATCATCGGTCCTACCATAAGTGGGCATGTTGCCGGATCTCGTTTGGTATATAAGGTGGTATTCTTGTATGTAAGCATCATGACGAAAAATGGACCAAGTTGAAATGTGATGTCTACATAGAGCAATGATTTGTGGCCATCAACATCATTACAACAGAAGTTTACAATATCGTCAACTTGATCATTTGTAAAGAGAATCACTTTTGGTGAATCTTCATCGAGACTATAGCATCTTATGAATTTATCTGTACAGTCCTCTACTGATTCAAGTTTCATCTTTTTGAGTAATTTCCAGAATAGGGTCAGACACGTTTTCTTTACCGGCAATTTTAAGATATTTGGCTTGATTTTCATTTCGAGGAAGTGATCCTTTTGATTTGCAGTGCTCAAGCCCGCCAACCGCTTCTTCTACCTCGTGCACTACTCTTTTCAATCCTTTATTTTGGTGAGTGAGTGTTTCTTTTATTTTGGAAACAGTGCTTTTGTACGTTCGTAAGTACGGAATTGTTGAGGTGGTGGAGTTCCCATGTGGTTTCACTTCAATTTTGTGCTCTTCGCCTTCAAAGTTGTAACGCACGTATACGAGGTTATAATGGGAACTATCAGGTAACATGACGTTAACAATGCACTTTTTCAGTGACCCATCACTTTTATTGATGTAAGGTCTTCTACACACCTGGTAGGATCCTGGTAATTTGTCTGCAACTTTGGTTACACCACACACTTCTTCGTTTGCATTCTTCTTGACCACATACCACTTGGATCTCGTCTTTGTTTGCTCCCATGCACCCAAATCGTCAGATAGCAAATCCTCTGGGTGAATTAGGTCATCAAGATTAATTATAAAACTAACATTTTTATCAATCAGAACAGGATGAGTTGATGCAATAAATTCTGGGTGGTTTCTGGGGGTATTCAAAAGTAGTTTCAACACCTCTTGATTTTCATCAGAAGACATGGCAGGGAGGACAGGTAAACCTTTGTAGAAAGCAGGTTGTTGTAAATCCTCAACCACTATTTCACTAAAATAAAAAATGCAACCAGGGAAGTAAATACTCCGTGAGTTCTTTTAATATACAATTGCTGGCATACAGTATATACTTATTTTAAAGCAGTCTACCTTGTAGCCATGCAATTTTCAGCCTTTATTCTCTTCTTTTTAGGAGAATCCGTCAGGTCAATAACTGTCTTTGAATTTCTATTCTTTTCACTGAACATATAGTATCAAAAAGAAAAACCTATTATTACATGTAAACTGCGTGAAGCGTTCCGCTTTTGAGTTCCTAACTCATTTGGAATTTTCCTCATTACATTTACAAATTTGAAAACTCTTCGAAATTCTAGAAAGAATTTGCAATGTTCTTTTCAGCTGTTGCAATATTCCAAACTTCCTTTTTAAATTTTCCTAACTTCCTGTTATAATTTTCTGAACTTTGCAACATTGCAAGTTCCCAGAAGGAATTTGTAATTTAGGGAGTTTTTTCAAATTGCAAAGATAACTGGAAAAATTGCAACCAATTTAGAAACTCAAAAGAGAAATGCTTGACATTGTTTACCAGTAAACTGTTCACCTGTGATTTAATTGAACCCAACCCAAATTTCCCTTGTTTTTTCTTGCAGCTTTAACCACAATGCTTTGCATAAAAATCAACCACTATACTGCATTCACATCCACTATTAACCGATTCTAAAACTACACATCTTTGACAATATATATTGGGACAATTTAGTTTTCACATTTATTTGACTGTAATACGGTATACAATTTTTTTATACATTTTCCCACCCTTCCTCCGGCCACCCATTTCAATGTTGGCGGCAACCAGACATCAAATTTTTGTCAGACCAACATTCAACTGGGAGAACGGGGACACTACACCTTTCAAATTATTTGAAATTACAGCACCTGTCCAATATAGGTTTTGTCAATATTGCAGCTACCACAATTTTGTATTATTTTATATTTTATGCATTACCAAGATAGACTGTTATTTAAGGCAAAGTGTAAGATTTCTTGAAAACAAACCATGCAAGTGAAATTATAGCTATTTGCAATATGCAAAAAGCACCAAAACAAGGCTAGTCTGGCTTAATGTTTGCTAAATGTAGCATAAAAATGTAGCATAAAATTGGGTATATTTAACATTTAGTTAATCAAAGAAATACATGGTATTATATTTATATTGTAAAACTGTTATAGTCTTGACATATTCTATAAAACGGCAATGATTACCTTGACAATGAAATTACAGTTAAAACACTAAAACCTGCACACTTCCGCTTTTGCAGTATGTTATCAGTTACCATATTTTGTTCTGTATTACTGTAGCGGTTACCAAATTATTGGAAAATACAGCAATAAAAGTTAAATTTTGCTACTTTTGTGTGGCATTGCAATTTATCATATAAAATCAAAGAAAAATAAATTTTACTGCCACATTTCTTCGTAATTGGGTAAATGCTACAGTAATACAGAACAACAAAGTACAAAAGTGGAAGTGTGCAGGGTTTAGTGTTTTGACTGCAATTTCGGAAGAGGAAAGAATGACAGCTATTTTTCGAATCGGTCTATAGTTAACAATTAGATTACAAGCTCAAAGTTTCTATGAGGTGATAGTTGATGAGGCCGTAGCCCGAACCAACTGTTACCTCATACAAATTGAGAGCGTGTAATCTAATTGTTTTAGGGAGAATCAGAGATCAAACATTAAATATTCCACAAAAAATTTATTTTTAAGCCATTTTGCTAAAAAATGTGCCAGGAAAATGATTGTTTTTGCTACTTGCCTTCTATTGAGGGATAGATAGCGAGTAGAGTAGCCAATCAAATGACAGCATTTGCAATAGTATACCAGTATGACTCTACTAATGAGATTTAACGCTAAGCATGCATCACATGATACATGTGTGGGGACTATTATGTAGCAACTGTGGTGGCTGCATGATTTTAGCAAAGGTTCTTTTATTTATAAAGTATAAGATAAATGTAATGCATTACAATTAACCTATAAGTTGCATTGTGCCCCAATGTACGTGCCCAACTATATATGTTACTCACTTTGTTTAATACCAGATAATTGCCAAGGTGCTCATTGGGTTTAGATAGTGATTAGTTCACAGTATGACTATGTTAGAAAAGGATTTGGTTTGAGGTACTTAGCCGTAGGTGCTTAAGGTTTTGGTTGGGAGGGGTTAGGTTTTGGGAAAGAGTTTAGGGTGGGGATATCTTTGGATAAATTTAATATCTTTTTTCAATTTTTGATCAAACGAATCAAGTTTGAAAATAATTTTGAAAATACGAAAAAAAACCTATTCTTCACAAAATGTATAAAAGAACGAATTTAATATGTCAAACACCCCCTTACTAGCAAAGGAACTGATATCTGAAATATGTTTGAGACTATATTAATTTCAAATCTATCAAATCCTTCACAATCTTTAAAAACAATCTAAATCTCAATTGCAACTGATTACACTTCATAACAAATGTCAAATATTATATTTAATAACTCTCATCTTTGTTCTACAACTAGAGGTTTAAAAAAAAACTTTCAGGGTTCTTGACGTAGACCTCTGGGACTACGGATTCGGAATCCGCATAATTTTGCAACTTTGGAAACTTTTTTACTTGTTTTCAAGTCTGTGAATCCTGTGTTATTTGTATTTAAAAGGTTTCGATCATCAATAACATAATAATTATCTAGTCTGTAAAGTGTAAATATGTAAATATTTCAACATATTTTAAATAAACAGCGTCTAAATGTAATTCTTCAAACTCACCTCGATCGCTTCATTTTTTGATTTTAAACACGATTTTCTAAAATTCAAACGTTTATAAACGTTAGAGTGTTCTCAACATTACTTTCGTTAAATTGCAAGACGACCATCTGCCCGTATTGTTAGCAAAAAGCTAAAGGAAACGACAAAAACTCACCCCACGAAACGATGCAGTTGTACATGCGGCTGACATTGATTCTCTCACGTGATCATGTGTTATTTGGTTGTTCGTACTTTATGTAATAGTCCATATTATGTACTAATCGTAAAACGCACAGGTGACTGGTCAAAACTTATTTCGTATTTTAATAGCTCAAATCAATATTATATAACATATATCAAACGTACATGAACTCAACACGTTAAAATAATTTTGACATAATTTACACATCTAAATTGAAGGAAAAACAGGTGGGCCAAGGGTAGGGCCATACACTGGGCCATGGCCTGGGCCATGGCCTAGGGCCATGTTTTACCTACACCCCTCCGAAGAATAACATCTTGTAAACTCAAGATATGAGCTATAACACAAGACAACAATTTTGTGGTGATATTTCGACTCTATTTCAAAGTCATTGTCAAACCAGAATAAGCTATTTACAAACTTGCTATCATATTATATACAAAGAAACAGGAAGAGATGACGTATTAGAAACATTACACTATTGACATACAATGATACTAAATTAAGAAAAGACCACGAGTTCTTTAGACGCTCTTAATCCGTTATTAAGCACGGGCTTTCTGTATTTAATATACAGAGCTTCAAGGAATAGGAGAAGGTTGGAATTTGTGTGCTTAAGAGTGTGAAGAGTTTGAGTGTTAGTCTGGATGAGATTGTGAAAAGAGAGCGGTGTGTCTAGTTTGACTGTGTCACTGTCATTTATGTCATTAAGGTTGTCAAACATGTGGTTCAAATTTAGGATGAAATTAGCATGTTCACATTCCGACACATGTTTTGAAATCGAACTTTTTTGTGGATCTGAGTGTTCCGATAATCGAGTAGCCAAATTTCTTTCTGTTTTGCCTATGTAGGAACTGTTGCAACCAGGACAAGTAAATTCATAAACAATATTGCTACACGAAGAATTAGGAATTTTGTCTTTTTTAGGCAAGAAATATGATATCTTCTTAGTGTCATAAATTACGACAAATTTGACCGGCTGTATGAGATTCCGCTGTATTTTCTTAAGAAGCATTTTAACCAAAAATTCTCCCTGCTTCCCCAAGAAAGGTATTCTTATCCAAATTTTAAGTCTGGTATCATCAGAAAAATCATTTTGAGATGGTAGTCCATTGGTGTTGTGTTTGTTACAATCCGCGCTAGAGTTGACTTCATGCTTGGCCTTTAGTTTGCGAATAATTGAAAACCGCACATTGGCAGGAAAGCCATTCCAAGACATAAATTTGGAAATCATAGAGATTTGTTTGTTGATAAAAGTCAAGTTACTACATATATTCACAGCCCGGTGAAAAAGCGACCTAACCCATGCCGTTTTGCGTGACCAAGGCTCAAAACTGTCAAAACGGGTGTACTGACCTGTGTGTGTTGACTTCCGAAAAATATCAATGCCGGAGTCGGAAATTTCTAAATCTAAAAAATGAATTTTGCCGTTCTCAAAATTATCTACCGTGAATTTCAGATTTTTGTGAAAACTGTTAAATTTTTCCAAAACAAAAGGAATGTCTTTAGGCTTGATCAAAACAAGAGTGTCATCTACATAGCGGCGATAAAATGTTATAATTCCAGTCTTTATTAAATCATTAACAATGGCTTTTTCAAATTCAGTTAGTATTAATAAATCTCATTTGTCGTAATTTATGACACTAAGAAGATATCATATTTCTTGCCTAAAAAAGACAAAATTCCTAATTCTTCGCGTAGCAATATTGTTTATGAATTTACTTGTCCTGGTTGCAACAGTTCCTACATAGGCAAAACAGAAAGAAATTTGGCTACTTGATTATCGGAACACTCAGATCCACAAAAAAGTTCGATTTCAAAACATGTGTCGGAATGTGAACATGCTAATTTCATCCTAAATTTGAACCACATGTTTGACAACCTTAATGACATAAATGACAGTGACACAGTCAAACTAGACACACCGCTCTCTTTTCACAATCTCATCCAGACTAACACTCAAACTCTTCACACTCTTAAGCACACAAATTCCAACCTTCTCCTATTCCTTGAAGCTCTGTATATTAAATACAGAAAGCCCGTGCTTAATAACGGATTAAGAGCGTCTAAAGAACTCGTGGTCTTTTCTTAATTTAGTATCATTGTATGTCAATAGTGTAATGTTTCTAATACGTCATCTCTTCCTGTTTCTTTGTATATAATATGATAGGAAGTTTGTAAATAGCTTATTCTGGTTTGACAATGACTTTGAAATAGAGTCGAAATATCACTGCAAAATTGTTGTCTTGTGTTATATATAGCTCATATCTTGAGTTTACAAGATGTTATTCTTCGGAGTATGTTTTTTCTTGTATTTTATTAAATTGTCTGCTGGTAATGGTTTTTTTTAGTTTTATCTTTCTGTCCAAGTTGTTCTAGTCTGTTATGGCCTGATAAGCGAGTCTAAGCGAGTCTTTGCTTGAGTATGTAGGGTAAATTGCTGAAATTATTTAAGTATCAATCATGCATGACATCTTAATTGTTACTTATAGGATACCTTCATTCATAGTGATTGTTGATTCATTGACCCCAAGTCACTTCCTGATTGTGCTGTTTGACCTGCAACAAAATAGTTGAGTAAATAGTCAAAATAGTTGAGTAAATAGGGTAAATTGTTGAAATTATTTAAGTATAAATCATGCATGACCTCTTAATTGTTACTTATAGGATACCTTCATTCATAGTGATTGTTGATTCATTGACCCCAAGTCACTTCCTGATTGTGGTGTTTGACCTGCAACAAAATAGTTGAAAATGTAAAATCTTTATATACTTTATATATCTCAAAAGACATGATGATGGGCTCTTAATTGTTACTTATAGGATACCTTCATTCATAGTGATTGTTGATTCATTGACCCCAAGTCACTTCCTGATTGTGGTGTTTGACCTGCAACAAAATAGTTGAAAATGTAAAATCTTTATATATCTCAAAAGACATGATGATGGGATATATTTAATAATGTACCTTTCAGAGAGGATGGTAACAATGTGACATAGGCTTCAGCTGAATATTCTGGAATGGACTTTGTTGGCTGTTCACAATCTGAAAAAATAGTATTAGTAATTACTAATCAATATTAGTATAAACCTACTAGTAGGCTATCACATTTCATGCCTTCTGATTGGCTAAGCTACTAGTAGGCTATTAGTGATAGCCTACTAATAGCAAATTCAAAATGGCGGAAAATTCGCGTTTTGCACTTTTGCCTAAGTGTCTGATGATTTTTTGGACAACTTGTTGAACAATTCTGTACTAAAAAACCACGAAAAAACCAACAAAAATATGGAATGGCAATTTTTAAGGGTAAGAAAATAGACAAAATAACATACACTCAATGAAATTTTAAAATTAAAACTGACTTTTGTAAAAACATTTTACGCGAACAAAAACTAAAATATTTGTTTACCTTTAATGGTTTTATAATGTTTTTTGTGTATTTTTGTATTGTATTTGCAGCCTAGTTGTAAATTAATGTTAAAGTTTATACTAAAACAATTAGACAACTCAGCTCGTTGTCTGTGAGCAAATAGTCAACTCGGCTTCGCCTCCTTGACTATTCGCTCATAGACAACTCGGCCTCGTTGTCTAATTGTTAAATAGTATGTGAGTATGGTATAGTATGGTTGATTAAATGTCACATACCAGATGTTTCATCAAGAAAAAGTTTTCGCTTGATGCCTAGTTTGTAGGAAAATATTGTAGGTATTGCCATCTTTACTAATCTGTTTCTTGAATGGTTTTGGAAGCATGCAGGAATCTTGAAAATGTTTTGCACATAATCTACAGTTTTCATGTACCGAAACAGCATCCTTGCATAAAAGGTTGCATATAAAATTTATCAAAATATTTGTATTAGGATTATGTAAAATACTGTTATTTGTTTGTATGGAAATATAGGATGCAGCCACAGAGTAGAGACTATAATACCTACTCTGTGGTGCAGCATTGACATACAAAAGCATACTAAGAAACCGGCTATAGAGTGATAGACAACAAAAGAAACATGAAAAAATAAGTATTTATAGTTATGACCAAGTGATACGTTTAGTCTTGATGGTATTTTTCCAAATAAAGATGTTAAAAATCAATGATGTTATCCAGCTGTCTACTTTGCGTTTAAAATACACATTTATTTATAAGGGAAAGTACATTTATTATGCCGAGGGGGGGGGGGATGAAGATGTTAAGGGGGAGGCTCCCGAAATATTTTCTGGCATTAAAGGGGGGCTCTGAAAGTTCTTGATATACTGAAGGGGGGGGGGGCTCTAAACTTTTCAAAGGTTTGACCCCAGGAAATTAAAGTTAAAATATTTATATTTTCAGGTAAAATTTGCATAATAAAGTAATTATTTTTGTGAAATGATAACCATCAGTGGCGTAACTACTATGGGCTCAGACCGGGAGAACCCGGGGCCCCCAACCCCAATGGGCCAAATGGCCCCCCCCCCAGGCTCAGGCTGTAGAGCAAATACATTGGCCAGGGCCTCTGATATGTTACAATGTCGTTTTCTGACCATCAGAATTCTGTAAAATCTCTCCCCAAAGTCCGGGAAATGGCATTTCGGAGAGTCTAGATTAAAAAATTTTCCGGAAAACTCATGCATATACGGCGCTCAACTCGTGCATTCGGCATTTCTACTATGGGGGGAGGGCCTTCGAAAATTTTGAACCGGGGGCCCCCTGATATAACGTTACGCCACTAATAACCATTTTTGTAAAATACAGTCAATTTACATGCAATTTGTTTGCGAAATTTGCTTTAGAAAACGCCAGAAATTCAGTCCTAGAGCTTCAAAAATGTAAAAATTTTCTGGGGGAGGACACCCAGACCCCCTTTTCTCCCAAAACTTAGTATGAGAGTGCCAATCAATCACAAAAAGCTTTATTATAATTATTACACGTATAATCCTCTGACATCCCCCCCCCCAAATGTGACGGTGCCATTTCATCTGGCGCTAGTGAGGTGAAAGAAGCAGCAGATCGGTAGTTTTATTGAGGAGAAGCACATGCTTGAGTATATCAGACATCTTGAGGAACTGCAAATTGTATCTATGATAAGAGAGAATTCCAGATTGTACTCCTTCGATTCCGAATTCTAGAGGGGGGCATTGAAAATTTTAAAAACTTGGAGGGGGGGGCATTGAAATTTACCGATAACCTCAACAGGGGCCCTGTAAAAATAGGAGCTTTTTTCAAGACATCTTCATCCCCCTCCCTCGGTGTAATAAATGTACTTTCCCTAATTTTGTCATCTTACCGACTGTCGTTGTTTGGGAAACGGAAAAAAGATATTTGGGTCTGAAATTTTATTGCTTTCCATAGTTTCCTTCCTTGGGTTTCTTTTTCCACAATTTCCATTGTTTCAATTCAAAGCACTTTGTTTTGTTTCGTATAAAACTTAAATTGTTTACGGCATTTAAATTTCCCACAGTCTTCTGGCGGGGGCAAGTTCATGACATGTTTGCTTCCAGTTTCACTCCCGGTCACCATCCTTTAGGCATGAGAGTTGAGTAAATAAAGAATTGTTGAATGTTTTTATAAAGTTCAGTATTTGATATATTAATATAAAAGAAATGAAGGGTAAGAAACGTTTTTGCATTTTTAAATATATACTTTTCAATAATAGTTTTCCCATTTAAGTAACAGTTTTTACATTAAATAACGGATTTAGATTACAAAAATATAGAACAATGATGAATCCAATTCGATAAAATCTCATTCTCAACCATCACTTAAGTCTGTGCATGCATGTGTTGTGGGGGAAGAGGGTGCATTAAAAGGTTCAATAAAAGTTGGACATTTTCACTGTCCCTTTAAAAATCTATTCTATCCATATGTACCATAGAAGGAATGAATAACAACATGCATGTGCATGTGACAATTTTACTTCTCCTAGGGGTAGAAGTGGTGAGGCTATAATAGGTCAAAGTGAGAAGTGAATCTGTAGATGCCAGGCTTTTGTTGCCTCACTTGTGTGTAATGAACTAGTATAGCTATTTGATTCTGCATCGGTATGTAAGGGCCCTCTTAAAAAAAATTGTCTTGTCTAGCCTTCAACTGTCTGCTTTCAGTTATTTTTTCATATAATTACTTTTATCGATATGGTTAAGCACCTATCAATGTTAAGCCACAGAGTGGGATTCAGGTTTACATTTGGGGTATTTGAGTTTTCAAATGAGTTTACAAAATAGTTTTTAACTTGTACCCACGTTGATAGGCCCGTAGGAGGTATTTTGAATATCCCGTTTTGGTCAAGAGTATAGTCGCAAAAAAAAGAAAAGTCCTCCAAACTATAAATTAATCTAACTTCACAATTTACTGTCGTGAAAAAATAAGACCACACAAAATAATTTGTGAAGCAATCCTTTTGTCAGTGGCATACTTGGAAAGGCTTTGCTATGTACTTGTCTTCACACAAAATTAAAATCCTTTTCTGCAGTTAGGAAGAAGATTGATTGGGGTAGAGTCAATCTACTGTACAGCTCATTCAAAAACGGTTGTCCTTTGCAAACCTGAACCCTTTAAGTGGAAGTGTGCCCCACTTTATTATGGTACTATTTCTAATGCCAGCAGGCTTTTAGCAAGGGTCCTACAAGACAGCGTCCAATTTTGGTACAATGATAGATCTACAATAAAGGTGGTGGTGGGGGTCAAGAAAACGTTCCTCTGGAAAACCTTAAAGTTTATGTTACTTCATATCAGTAGATACTTCATATCAGTAGAGGTTCCAAGCTTGTTCGAAATTTTTCAAATACACTTGGCTTTGTGAGTTTGTGCCGCTTTGCTTCTTTACTTAACTATGGCATTTTCATTCAGCCAGATACACCATCAAATTGATCAAAATGTCAAATGTATAATAATAATGAGAATTGAAGCTATTTCGTTTCAGATATATTAATATACTTAGGGAATTAACTGAAAATAATTTCCCTTTCTCCCCAGAATTTGGGCTTCCATTTTTTGTTCTAGAGGCGTCCCAGGACGCCTGGACGCCCTTCGCCATAAAAGCCTGATGCCAGGCAATTTTACTCATCTGGCGAAGAGTGCTGCCACTCAATAGGTTAATCTGGCCATGCACCCTGTTTAGCCTTTAGATGGCAATGTGCCCTCCCCCTGATTATGTTACTCTCTAAGGGACTGGTCATAATTTATCAGGGGGGTTGGGAGGTGTAATTCAAAATTTTAAGGAATGATATTTATACTTTACCTCAAAAATCTTGCCAAATTTAAAAAGACTGATTGACCTATTTTGTGGTGGCCAACTGAAATATTTTATTTCACAGTGGGAAGGTTTGACTTCTGACAAAAGTATACAACAGACTGTCAAAGGTGAAGTCATTGAGTTTATCGGAGACCCCCCCAATATGTTCTATTTATCCAACAAACTTGATTTCTAAAGATCATGAAATTAAAATAGCCGAAGAGATTTCTAAACTCTTGGCTAAAAACGTCATTGTCAAAACTTCCCACGGACCAGGCAAGTTCATTTCACCAATCTTTTCCGTTTCCAAGAAAGATGATAAAGTTTGACTTATCTTAAATTTCAAAATTTAATGAACATGTCAAATCATACCATTTTAATACCACCTTATCACTTATGACAAAGGAATGTTGGCTAGCATCCCTCAATCTCAAGCATGCATATTATATTGTTGGTATACATAAGGACTATCAAAAGTTCTTAAAATTCTTTTATAAAGGAAAATTTTTCCAAATATACTGTTTATCCAAATGGTTTATCAACATGTACACGAAACTTTACAAAACTACTTAAACCAGTCTTATGCACCTTATGGAAAAATGGTCATATATTTTATATTTATTGATGATATTTTGATCATATCCACCTCATATGAGGGCTGTATTACATCAATTATTGACGCTGTCAATCTCCTCACTAACTGGGGCTTTGTCCTTCATGTTGAGAAGTCAATGTTTTCCCTCAACAGAAGATTGTGTTTTTGGGTTTTGAGCTCAATTCCACAACAATGAAAATTAAGCTAGCTAATGAGAAAATCACAAAAATAATGTCTCATATTTCATATATACTAAATTCAGAGAGGTACACAAATTATTGGGTTACTTGTTTCCAGTTTCCCAGCCGTTCGATACGGAGAATGTCACATATAGAGTCATTGAGCTGGATAAGATTGAAGCATTAAAAATAGCAAAGGGAAACTTTGATAAATATATGCAATTGTCAACTTGTTCAATTGAAGAACTGAAATGGTGGTTATTGAATTTACCAAACTCATATAACTTGATCCATCCCACTCCCGTAGATGTCAGTGCTAATTCAGACACATCTCTCACAGGTTGGGGAGGTGTGCTGGATAGCTGTTCTACGGGAGGGTCTTGGACTGCAGTTGAAGCAAAACAACATATAAATTATTTGGAATTGCTCGCTGCATTTTCCACTTTGAAAAGTTTTATAAACCACCTAAGAAATAAGCATGTACAAATCACGATTGATAACACAACGGCACATAGATATCTTATATACACTGGATAGTGCATCTAATTATTCTGCAATTAAAAAATTGAAGCCGTGATTGCACTCTCAGGTCGTTCCCATGAAATGAGAAGATTCGTATGTTTTCTATTCCTTAAACAGGGAACTTAAACATTAAGTTAACCTTATTCCAAATACGTTTTTAAACTATTCAAATGATGAAAGTTATTGTTGTTTTTAAGCGTTTATTAGCAAGTGGGAATGACCAATATGGCTGCCATCCATTGAAATGGAGGTAACCGCTGGAACATTCTTGGCTTCAATTTTAATAAAAGAGATGTGCTATCTAGTGTATATAAGATATCTATGCAACAGCAGTGTCAGTAATTAATAATAAAGGCGCAAATCACAGTGAGCAATGCAATGAGTTGACACATGAGATTTGGGCCTTAATATGTGAAAAGCATGGAATTTGGCTCACCGCCACATACATTCCCGGTAAACTGAATATCCTTGCCGACAAAGAATCCAGAAACAAAAACCTTGACACTGAATGGATGCTTAATAAAAAACATTTGACTGAAGGCTCTATCCAAACTATGTTTTCACCTAATATTGATCTGTTTGCCTCTCGATTAGGAAAACAGTTCGATACAGACCCATATGCTAAGCATATCGATGCCTTTACTATTTCCTGAGCATATGAAAAATTTTATTGTTTCCCTCCTTTCATTTGCATTCTGAGCAGTGACATAGCCAGGGGGGGGAGTCGTGAGAGCTGTGGCTCCCCCCTTTGGAAATATTTATTGCAATCTATACTTACTTCAAACTTAATTGAAGTAAATTAATTCTACTCGGGTTTTCTAGTGTGCTTGTTTATTATGTACCAAGTCAACTTGATCAATTGTTCTTTATACAATGACGAAAACAAGAAAACAAACTTAACAAAGTGCTTGTGCTGAGGAAACATTCAAAATCAAGTAGTTTAATGCGTTGGAGCAGAGTTGCAGCAAACATTTGTTTCTCGTGTAAGAGGCAGGTTTTTATGTGATAATGGCGGATGAAACAACTGTCATATCAGCCGTAGAACAGCTCTCTCTTTGCTTGAGCTATTACGATTGCAATGAGAAGACAATTTTCGAAAACTTCATTTTCTTACTGGATGTTTTAGACAAAGAATGTGGTTCGAATCTGGCAATTCCAGCAATCCCAGCGAAGTTGTTGTAAAGCAAGACTCCATTCATGGGACAATGTATAATTTTCTGCAGAGATGCGAAGAAGAAAATCAAAATGTGTTTGAGGTTGAAGAACCAAAACTTACTGGTAAGGTCATTAGGAAAGCAATTTGGAATGAAATTCAACAATTCGGTTTATCTCCCAACGCAGCTGTTGCACAAAGCTACGATGGCGCAAGTGTCATGAGTTCAACGAATGTGGGAACATGAGCTTTTGTAAAGGAGCATTGTAAGTATGTATGCAAAGTATTATCACTGCTCTGCCCATGTACTCAATTTCGCACTTGTTAATGCGTCAAAACTTCCTGTTACTCGCAACATGATAAGCACTGTCAAGAAGATAACATCCTTTCCAATTACTGGCAACAAGAAGAAAGTTACCTTAAGATATGCTATTAACTTATCCAGTATCCGCTGTTCATCATGGCAGCAAAAATATTCAGTCATTGTGGGAGACATGATGGGTTGAACGAATAACTGGACTAGAAAATTTTGTAACAAATTACATTCCAATTGTGAGGACACTAATGGCTATCAGCAGATGGGAAGATCCAGATGCCAAATCACAGGCTTCCTCACTCTTCAAAGCAGTGACAAAAAGCACTTTTATTGATTGTCACTCTATTTTGCATTGTTAACGTGAACAATAACATAGGTATATTATCCAAGCGTGTACAGGAGAAAAACACCTCTGTAAAGGAAGCAATGACGGAGATCCAAGACATCATAACTATCCTCGATGAAGATTGTCAAGACTGAGAACGTCGTTTTGCCAAGATAACGAAGTGGATTCTTGACACTGTAACATGCCTCAAAATCAAAATGGAGTGTTCAAGAGTTTATCAAAGATCAGTGTATCGAGATAACCCAGATGTTTCAGATGTTGACGATTCTACTCACGGACTACATTATTTCCGCGTAGCAATGTATATCCCATTTTTGGATATAATTCCTGAGCAAATGCAATTTCAATTTAATGAAAAAACGGTGTTTGCTGTGTTGTTTGATCCAGTGCTTCCAGCTTACTGTGCAAAGAATGGTGCCGTGGAAGAAGAGTTCATGCAGCTTTATAGAAACTATTCTCAATCTCTTCATGCTAACAATGTTATGCCTCATGATACTAGTGGCATGAATGCCTTTGCGCAGTAACCTTAACTGTCTCGGTCTACAAACTCTCTGTTTCTTTATTACTCTGTTTCGCCAACTCTCCTCATTGAAGAAGACTCTGAGCAGCTCCTTGGTCAACGAAAACCCCAAATCAATAATAGTATTTTCCACAGTATATTAAGTTTTCTTTTCAACCACACCTTCATCCTGTTGCACTTGCAAATATTGAACACTTTGTTTGTCTGACTGTGAAATGTATGCATGGTTGCCTTTTTGTACCCTGTTAGTCTTAATTTGCATCAATTTAAATAACTAAATATGATAATTACGTCACTTTGCTGAGCGACAGAATCGTGTAAATAACTCCCCGTTTTGGGTATTTACAGTTCACTGATGAGGGCTATACGCCTGTGAACGTTAAACAAAGATGGCGGCTTAATGATTTGTTAAAGTGGTATTTGTGTAAATGCAATACACAATGGCATACAAAGACTATGTTTACTAGGAATGTGGGTTGCCAGTGTAGGTAGGTTCTTTGCTAAGCTTATGGGGTTGATAGGATAACTACCTCAACGTTTCAAGTGAAGGGTTTCCAATAGTTTTTGCTATAGTTTTCAGGTAGTTTTCCTATGAACCTAGAAGCTTATGTGTGACTATAATTTCCTCTGTTTTCACACCATGACATGTTAAGGCAAATTTTTAATGAACTAATTTGAATCAATTATCCAGGAAAATACAGTATTATGAACAAAACCTAATTGTTACTTTCCCAAAAATGTAATTTTAAAAGAGTACCATACCCTTAAACATCTATTGGAACTCTGGATTGTCTCGTTCTGCTTCATTCACATCCAGTTCCTTTGGCTTTTGTTTTGTTCTTCTTTGTACTGGATGGCTTCGGTAGAGATCTTTATGCGATGTCAAGATTTGACCATCAACATTTCTGATTATTCGTTGCCTTCTTTTATCAAGCACTTGTAGTTCTTGTTCATGCTCAGCAGCCTGTATTTCTACCGGAACCTCAGCTACAAGATATTCTTCTCCAACATCAGAATCAGAAACACATTACAAGCCAAACCAAACATGTTACAAGCACTTTTGTTTTTGCTTGAAGGGTGTGCATCTCCGACAGAAAAGACAGCTGCAGGGCTTACTTCATTCATTTTCTTTGCCTCGCTTGTATTTGATGCCCAAATTGCACATAATAGTCCCACATAGAATGTTTCAGACATATCGGTAAGTCTGTAGTGACGGAGAGAAGAGATACAGTTGATACAAAAGTGAAGAAGTCCAAAGCCATAAAACCTATAACCTGCATCACCAAAATCTGGTGTTCCTTCTTTGTTCAGTTCCGAGTGAGCACGCGGTTGTGATGGGGCTTGATCCAAGGAAACATGAATACACATTGCACTGACACATTGGACTGCATCTGAGTTCTTGCACTGAGTGCAAGGTTCCTTGGTTGACAAATAGGAACAGTTTTTAGCTTCCCCTTTAGGATGCAATTTGTACAAGAATTCACACAAGAAAGAGTTTCTTTGAGTTCATCTCTAACACTTTCAGAATCTCCCGCAGAGGAACTAAAACTTGTGTAAATATTAACATGAACTCTTCCAGAAGCATTGCACATATCAAATTCTTTTACTTCACTCATCCAAGTACAGTTCTCAGTTATATAGTTGTGGACAGCTGTGTTACTGTTTTGGTACAGTTCCTTCATCTTTTCCAGGCCAATATGTGGAATTACTCCATCGAAAAAAATTTCTCCATTTTCATATCTTGGAAATGTTCCAATGTTTATTGGCATTCCATCATAGTGAACAATGGTTAGAAATTTTTAACTCCAGGTGCATTGAAACACAGGACACCATCTAACAAATTCAACAAATGTAAAAACAACATCAAATTATGTATGTGTGGACCAGAATTGTACTGAGGTGTTCTTTTTCGAGTCTAACATGGAAACTGAAGGACCAGGGTTGCAGTATGATTTTGACTCTGCTATTGCATTTCTTTCGTTTTGCAGTCCAAACTACTTACCACCCAAGTAAAATCTGTATCCTTTTCTTGTAGCAACATTGAACAGACTCTCACAGTAACTGAAAAGAGTTGGGCAGTGTTCCCAGTTGTTCACAGGACCAGGCTGTGAACGTTGCTCAACCATAAATGCATCAAGGGCATTTACATGCATGTAAGATATGAAGAAATGTCTCAGCCTACAGCAGTTATGCAGTTGAAACAGTTCTCAATAATTGTTCATCAATACTACTAGAAAATACATGCATGCAGCAACCCCTCACCTTTCTTAACAGATGAAGTATAAAAACTCCACATAAAGTATTAAGACCATTATAAACAAACATAAAAACACAACTGATGCGCTAGTTTTATAATGAATGATAACATTCACTATAATTTCATGCATACCAGCTTGTATTAACGTGAATTATCGAGTTAAGAGTGGCTTAAATTTCGCAGATATGAATAAAACCGACAACACAAAGCAAGTTCCCGCATGAAATTTTACTACTGAAATGTTTATACATACCCAATCCGGCACAACAACGATTAAATTATCAAAGACATCAACATCAAAGCATCTAAACAATTATTATACAAACTTTGTTTCACGATTGAACAGCCACCAATTCATGAAACTGCAGGCTTATTTCCAGTTAAAATCGAGGAAAAAAACGTGTTGTACTTTTGTAAACTTTTTAACGAAATTTAAAACAAAAAATTGCTGTAAAACAGCAAAATACGTCCTTTCAAAATGAAAAACAATTACTTTGACAGAATTTGTACTCGCACATGCACATAATGTGGAAAATCGTCCATGACATAAACAAAATGGAAGACAACTTTGCACTCCGCCATGTTTTCATATACCTGGGTATAATTAGCCGTGCGGAATTAGTACCCTCGCACGGCGCTTCGTGCCACCAGCTCGGGAATATAAATGTAGGTACATGTTTAACAGGGTGTATAAGACAAGAACACAATTTTGAAATTCTGGCTAAACAGAATTTTCACTCATTCTAGGAGATTTTATTGTAAGCTCTAGTAGTTTGCAAGTGCAATCCAAATTTCTACCCATCCAAACTTTCACACCATCCAAACTTGCACATCATCCAAACTTGTACCCTATGAATTTCAATTCATTGTTCAAAATAATTTTGGTTGTTGAGTAATAAAAAGTGTCCACTGCTCGGGCTTACATAAAATTGAACCGGAATCTGCAAAAATTCTATTTAACGAGCATCACAAAATGTACAATATTTGGTTACTATACACTCTGCACATGCTTCACAGTATAATGGATCAGAATTCGAACACACAAATAAGATATACAATTACTTAGTATCATGACTTTTATTTGATTTAAAATAAAGTATCTATTAAGTTTTAATGTTTCAGGAGGTTTTGCTGTTTTTTAAGTCTACTTTATGCTGCAGCAGGCTCTTATATTTAAAATAAGACTAAAATTAAAGCTCTGTACTCTTCTGTTTTGTAATATTCATTATTTTTTTGTGGAGCCGGATTTAAAAACTCTGAAAATAACTTCCAATGTCTGCAAATATAGTTTCTATGAAAAATGCTCCAAATTTCCCTCAAATTTTTAATAGACATGCAACATACAAAATATCATATATTCTGATCCATATACTGTATGCATATATATGTACAATACATATAGGTGTTATTACTTCACCCAAGCTCCTAGGCGTAAAATGATAGGCACCGTGCTTATTTTTCAAGTGTTGAACCAATGCTCTTGACTGGTTCATTGCACTGAGGACAACTATAGTTGTGCAAATCGGGCATTTAACTTGAAAAGGGTTTATTAGAAAACCTGCATCTCTAAGGGCCAGTCCGATACCAGATTTCAATTTATCAAATTCAAGGAGGTGTGAATTTTCTACCATTAGCTCGTTGCATCTTGTTGTCCATTTTGCATCTAGGAAACCCCTTTTCTGTTGCCCCTCATCTGTGTGCAAACCCATTTCTCACTTAATTAGTTCCGATATTGTTTCTTTAGTTCTTATTCTTTTTCCATCAGGTAAAGAAAATTCTGTGTGATTTTGGACTTTTAAATCTACCATTAATTTGCCATAATTATCGAGAGCTTCAAGTGCATGATATAAACTGCTTTCATCTGATGGAGCTATTTCCACGTCTATAGACTCAGAGCAATTTGGAGGCTTGAATCTGTTGGTTAAAATAATCATATTTTTGTTCACCTGAAAGATCTTTGCAATTTTCTGAAATAAGTCATCGACAAACATCTTACTGCTGACCTGAACCATCTTGTAATTTTTGGAAGATGTTTTGACATTCCAAATTCTCGATATATCTTACAGCATATACAATATAACAGAAAGATGCAAGTCTTAATTAATTTGCAATATATACTTAAGCAATTTCTTTAAGAGTGATGTGTTCAATTTGTATAAAGTGTGTGCATACATCGCGAAAATGTACGTATGGATGTATGACGATGAGGTATGATGGGATGTCAAGATTTTATTACGCATTTGCGCTCTGTTTGGGCTAAGGCCAAGTCTATCATAATATGTGAACATTACACCTGATTATAAACACCTATTATCACATATTAAAGCTCACAGCGTTACCAGAATCTGCTTTGGCTGTGGTTGTTGATTGGCTATCTGCTTGCATCTGGATCCCAGAAAATGATGCAACAATTTTCAAAAACGTGGAAAGGATGATAGAACATAAAATTTTCCATGCCACCTAACACAGTGCATCATCAAAATGATTGACTGAGACATTTCAAAGAATAGATATTTGTATTTTCTGTTCACTTTAAGGTAATTTTAAACTTATTCTTGTGGCTAGCCAAACTAAATTAATTAGAACTATGTAATATTTCCGTTAGACATGTTGCTATTTTTTGTATGTTGTGATTTGATTGGCTACCAGCTTGCATTGCTCAGCAAAAGCTGTTATCGACCTCTCTCTTTCAGTTATGTTCTCCTTTTATAGTATATGATCTCTGATCTCTCAATCTGATCTCTTAAAAAGCTGATAAAGTGCTATTTAAGGAAAAAACTAGTTTCATATTAATCTGACACTGCAATCGACCAACGAAAAAATTTGTTGGCTCGAGCGGGATTTGAACTTGCATTTTCGGGTATATAGACCACCGCTCTACCTATTGAGCACTGATCTCTGATCTCTCAATCTGATCTCTTAAAAAGCTGATAAAGTGCTATTTAAAAAAAAACTAGTTTCATATTAATCTGACACTGCAATCGACCAACGAAAAAATTTGTTGGCTCGAGCGGGATTAGAACTTGCATTTTCGGGTATATAGACCACCGCTCTACCTATTGAGCTATCGAGTCAACAGGGATTGGTAGCAAGTCCCGCTCGAGCCAACAAATTTTTCGTTGGTCAATTGCAGTGTCAGATTAATATGAAACTAGTTTTTCATATCTCTAAGGATGGTTCTGAAATAGAATTGAAGTGCTATTTAAGCTTTCATCAGAGAGCTTTTGCATGTTTTACCATCCATTTTTAAATTACTTTAAAAATATGTTCATCAAGCACACAAATTGTTTATTTTCTAGAATACATATAGATTATAGTGACAAAATAATCAAATATATTATAACTTTTCACTCATATAGAAGCGCCGTCCATTCGTATGTTTGAGATCAGTGAAATAAATTAGGCTAATTATAAATAAAAGATGGTGGAAACATTGCAAGAAATTGTGTTCATGGTCTCTTGGATTTATATTCTCGATTACTCTTTATTACATTAGGTTAAGAAAGCATCCAAGGAAGATCCAAAAATGGGGGCCACTGTAATAGCCTAACTGTAAAGATTAGTGGGACATCAAAGTTTGCAGAGGCAAAGCTTGTTACCAAAGACCAACCTAACCAGTTATTCTTCCGAAAGACTTTCGTTTGTGGATCAAAGTATGGTCTTGGAGTGTTTGGATTAATTTCCAATGGAGAAAAGCAAATTGGCTGTATCCCAGAAAATGAAACAATTTTCAAAAACATGGAAAGGATGATAGAACATAAAATTTTCAATGCCACCTTACACCATGCATCATCAAAAAGATTGACTGAGACATTTCAAAGAATAGATATTTGTATTTTTTGTTCACTTTAAGGTAATTTTAAACTTATTCTTGTGGCTAGCCAAACTAAATTAATTAGAACTATGTTGTATTTCCATTAGATATGTTGCTATTTTATGTATGTTGCGATTTAATAAAAATAAGGGATACAGTTGAGCAATGCCAATAGTGATGTGGAATGTATTTGCATTTATACTTGCAAAACCAACAATGATATGTTTTATGATTATTGGCTTTCTGAAACAAAAAATGTTTTCTATAGACATATAATTATATACTATTTATATAAACGTAGTAGTTTAATTAAGTAGTGTCATAACCAATATGGTCGGAATTGGGTAATCCTGGTGTGGGGTGTTAAATATACATCCCAGATACGCCTGTCTGGAATTCTTCTTAAGTTGCCTTAAATTGCCTTAAGTTGCCCTAAATTGTCCTAAGTCGCAGCCAAATTTTCCTCAAATTTCCTTAAGTTGCCCAATGTTGCTGCAACTTAAGGCGACTTTTGGACCCGGAGTAGGCCTCATTCACACACAATACACTTCAAAAACACTTGGCTGTGGAGTCTCAACAAAAACCGTCTGGCACTCAAATAGATGAGAAGTTAGGCTATAGGCTGTTTAAAAAAGGATATATCAGTAATGTTTGAGCAAAGCCAAATATTCCAAATAGTGTGAGAGAAAAATAATTTATATTGAAAGCAAATGTACATCCATCTATGAAGAAGTTGAGTTTATGTGCACCTAAACCAAGTTACGGAGATGTTGTTCATGTAAGGCAGGAAAGGGAGGCCGATGTAAACATGTTGCTGCTATGCTATATCAAATTATTGACTATGTACAATTAGAACTATTAGAAGTCCCTGATTTTTTTACATGTACCCGGGTCTTGCAACAATGGAATATTCCCAGTGGGCAAGCATATGATGGCACTGTCCTTTTTGAAGATATAGTATTTAAAAAATCATCCTATCTTAAAGATTCAAAGCGAAAACATAGAAATGAGAGAAATGTTGACTTCAACCCAACACCACCTAACCAAGCTGTGTCCCAGAATGACATCAAAACGTTTGTCAATTGTTTGCAATGCAAAGGAAAGGCTGAATACTTAAGAGCGGTTGTCTGTAATAGTCAGGTAAGACGTGTAAAATGAGAAAATTCAAACTCGTTCAAACTTTGTCAGAATATAGGCCTATATGAAGTATTAATGTTGTGAAAGTTTTATTTCGATCGGATAAATATTGAAGGAGAGAGACGTCGAAATTGGTTTTCCCAGGCCACTTTCGATTTTTAGAGGTCATTTTACGGCACTACCAAAATCGCTCTATTTTGCGCGTTAATGGGAATATTTCACAAAACATGATTTCGTTTTATAAATTAGAGATATTTATTGATTAGCAGACGAAATTTAGAGACATTTCTGTAAAAAGTGAATATTTTACAGATTTTCTTAATGTTTTTTATTTTCGAACCTCTTTATTATATGCCATATTAGGCAGCGAATATCTCCATTGTTACATCGATTCAGACAAAAAATTCATAACCAGATCAAAGAAATATGTTTTCCCTTGCTATTGATCAAATAAAATTTTTGGGCAACTTAGAATTGAATTTTTAACGAATTTTTTCGTAACCCCTATTTGACCGGAATAACCGTATGTTAATATAATCAGCGTCGAGTCATGTAGTTCAATAAATAACCAAAGAGCTCGTCAAAAGCGTTTATTTCTTCGAGTAAACAAGCCTAGGCCTATAAAACTACCTTAGCTAAAGCTGTACGATTGGCTGAAAGCATTTAGGTCTAAATCACACTGTTTACAGTCGCTTATTGTTCAGCTAATGCGATACTCGATAGCCGGTGCCGCTGATTTGGCAGATTTGGTTTCAATTATATTTTATCAGGGATATGCCGCGATAAGTATAGCGAGTATATTTTCTCTCCCCCTCCCATAAACTCGTGTTCTCACATAAATAGTGCACACGCTTTTTGTAAAAAAACATAGGCCATTTGCAAGGTCATACGATGCAAACGTCGCATTGTTTTGATGTTTTTTTAGTCGTATTTCCGGTTGGGTAGCTCACGCGATTGTCTGAACAAAAATATAGACTAGCCATACCTTTCGCCGAAAATAACTTCGACCCCTTCAAACATATCGTCTTTGTAATAGCCTTGTTCGAATCCCCATCAAAAACACTATTTAGAGTGTTATTTGCAAGCCTGTATCTTCAAATTTGCATCTTTTATCACGGTATTTCCATTTCTTGTCCGGCTGTGAGCTCGAGGCTCGAAGTAATTTGATAGTATACGATCGCATTTGACTTTCAAACTCCCATAAATCGCTACAATGTTAATAATGACTATAACTATCGTTTGGAATTAGTTGATCTTTTATTTCTGAATCGAATGGTGGTATTTCTGTCTTCATAGGCATAGCATGTACTGATCCGAAGATATGAAATTTCTAGCCGCGTCAACCTCTCGGTGACGACCTCGCAAAGAGTTTTAATTTAATTAATATTAAAGCTGGATTCTTTCACCGTGATGTCATGCCAAAAGGCGTCTTTTCCATTTGTTAAAATGTCCTTTAAAAAAGATCCCGGCTCTATATATTGATTTGTAATTTGGTAATATTAATTACAGTTGTATATTTGATTATTTTGTTAGTGCTCAATAAGTTTGAATTTGTTCTGAGAAAACAGTCAAACTTCTGAGACCAAACTTCTACGCTGTTGCTTATTTAGTAGTTTAATTAACTGCCCATCACTTTTAAAACAGCAAGAAGATAAAGACAACGTGTACGGGTGAGTTATCCATGAAATAAATAGTTGGTTTACAAAATGAATTCCGTCTTTGTGGATAAAAATGAGTTATAAATAATCTCTCCTGTATGTGTTAAATGTTACTTGCAATCTTGCATGTATAGGGATTTCCCCCAGTATATCCCTTCTCTTCTGTATGGCTGTTTGTGATTATTCGTCTCTTGTCAGTTGTCACTGAGTGGTCATGTGGTGTCAGCAACTCTAATCCAGCCGATTCAGAATGCGTTCTTCGAATGATTGTAATAACAGAAATCAAGGCACACCTGAGGTCGCACGACGTTTGCTTAGATTCAAGTTTGAGAACAGAGTCTTGTCTTCCACCTGCACGAGCCGATTAGTTCATTATTTTCTATCTGACATATACTTTTGATCCAATTTCAATTAAATTTATCCAACCATTTCTGGATGATGCATTTACAACAGGCAGTACTCAGGGGCAAAGAAAAGTCAAGAAAGGCAGGCCAACTTTCCCAGAGGGTGGCCCGGAATGGTGGAATTGTGCAACGTGTTAAATATTAAGGAATATTCTAAAAATTGAGGTCGAAAAAAGTCTGAAAAGTATTTTGAACCCCCTCCCCCCCCCCCACGCCCATTATCGCAAAATTAATTTATATAATTAGACTGAGTTCCTTATCAGCATTTTGAAATATCCCTGTTACAAATAGAGTATTACTGCCAGGACGTGCCAAGCGATATCTGGTTGGGGGGGGAGGGGTGTGGATATTGACCTTAAAAATTTCGGCCCCCTTCCTTTTACGGGGCCCCCCCAAAATGTTTTCTGGTAAGCAAAAATGTTACAGTAAAATGTAAAGGGTGGGAGCAGGGGTTTGGTTGGGGCGACGGTTGGGGCGACGTTCCAAAAATTATTTTTGCAATAATGGGGGGTTCAAAATACTTTTCAGACCTTTTTTGATCTCAATTTCAGAACATGTTGCGCAATTCCAGCATTCCAGGGCCCCCTCTGAGAAAGTTGGGGCCCCTTTCAAGTTGACTTTTTTGGCCTGAGAACTGCCTGAGTGTTCTACATGTATCATCCAGAAATGGTTGGATAACTGTAATTGAAATTGGACCAAAAGTATATGTCAGATAACGCGTAACCACAAACAGCCATACAAAAGAGAAGAAATATACCGGGGGAAATCCCTACATGTACTGTAGCTTAACACATACAGGAGAGATTATTTATAATTCATTAATTTTATCCACGAAGACGGAATTCATTTTGTAAGCCAACTATTTATTTCATGGATAACTCACACGTACATGTTGTCTTTATCTTCTTGCTGTTTTAAACTGAAGTGATGGCCAGTTAAAACTACTAAATAAGTAACAGTGCGTAGAAGTTTGGTCTGAAGTTTGACTAAAGTTATTGAGCAACAACAAAATAATCAAATATACAAGACATACAACTGTAGTAAATATTACCAAATCATAAATGAACAGAGGGTCTTTTTTAAAAATAGAAAACTCTTTTTGGCATGACATCACGGTGAAAGAATCCAGCTTTAATATTAATTAAATTAATTACTGTAAGTAAACGAATTACAATTTCAACGTAAACTGACAGATGTTTTTGACAAAACGCGCGTGCACTATTTATGTTCGAACAGTTATAAGCACGACGAGTCGTAAAAGAACAAATGTTTATGGGAAGGGGAGAGAGAATACACTTAGCTTGCTATACTTATCGCGGCATATTCCCGATAAAATATAATTAAAACCAAACCGCCAAATCAGCGGCGCCGGCTATACAATATATTACAGGCATTACCTGAACAATAAGCGACTGCAAACAGTGTGATTTAGACGTAAATGCTTTCTGCCAATCGTACAACATTAGCTAAGGTAGTTTTATAGGCATAGGCTTGTTTACTCGAAGAAGTAAACGCTTTTGACGAGCTCTTTGGTTATTTATAGAACTACATGACTCGACGTTGATTACATAACATACGGTTATTCGGGTCAAATAGGGGTTACGAAAAAATTCGTCAAAAATTCAATTCTAAGTTGCCCAAAAATTTTATTTGATTAATAGCAAGGGAAAACATATTTCGTTGATCTGGTTATGAATTTTTTGTCTGAATCGATGTAACAATGGAGATATTCGCTGCCTAATATGGCATATAATAAAGAGGTTCGAAAATAAAAAAAACATTAAGAAAATCTGTAAACTATTCACTTTTTACAGAAATGTCTCTAAATTTCGTCTGCTAATCAATAAATATCTCTAATTTCTAAAACGAAATCATGTTTTGTGAAATATTCCCATTAACACGCAAAATAGAGCGATTTTGGTAGTGCCGTAAAATGACCTCTAAAAATCGAAAGTGGCCTGGGAAAACCAATTTCGACGTCTCTCTCCTTCAATATTTATCCGATCGAAATAAAACTTTCACAACATTAATACTTCATATAGGCCTACATTCTGACAAAGTTTGAAAGATTTTAAATTTTTTCATTTTACACGTCTTACCTGACTATTACAGACAACCGCTCTTAAGTACTGTTTTACAGTCTAACAATTACCAACCAGTTTTGTTCGAAGAAACTCACAGTATGCTTCCTTAAAAAAAACCACAGCCGAAAAATGGTGTTGGTTGCACAAAATTTGTGTGTATCTCCGGATGCAATTAGACCTAAATTAGATTAAATTAATTGAAAAACTGTCGTCAATCTGATTGTATTCACAGGACATAATTGAAAGTTAGCATGTGGTGTTCGTTTAATATTAAGAAATGAGTTACTTCAGTTGTGTGAGTGTGACGATATATTTACTATGACATTGTTTTAAAAAGACCCATTCAAGGCTGATCAAACTGTGTTTATATTATAAAGACTTAGGTTCAACTGATTAAGCAAAGATGACTACAGCTTCTTAACATGTCAGCAAAAGATGACTGGATCTAAACACAAGAGTTTCTGCTAAATTGGTCTTTATATTAATATAAACACAAATTTGTGCTAGCTTTGGCGTTTGCACACTGATTTTAAAACAAAAAGATTTTGTGTTCCATTTGCGGTCTCTTGATATATATATATATATATATATATATATATATATATATATATGGTTCAACAATTCGCGCGGAAATAAAGTTTGTTGAATTATAATGATAATAAAGACCTACTGTATAGAACTGCAACCGCAATATCATATAATGATTCATGCATAATAGGATGTGTGTTTTATTATAAAACATGATTAAACAAAGATGACTGTACCTTTCTGAACACAAGAGTGTCCACCACATTAGACTTTATAATATAAACACAAATTTGCACTATAGCTTTGGCGCTTGCACACTGATTTTAAAACAAAAAGATTTCTTGCACTGTTTGCCATCTCTTATACATTGTATATATTTGGTTGGCCGGATTCTAACTCACTGCAATTTGTGCAGAAATAATTAATAAGGCTTGTTGAATTACTGATAACTATGATAATAGAGACCTACTGCATGTATATAGCTGCAACCGCAATATCATATACAATGATTCATGCATAATAGGATGTGTGTTTCATTATAAAAATTTAGGTTCAACTGATTAAGCAAAGATGACTGCATCTTTCTCAACACAAGAGTCTCTGCTAAATTAGACTTTATAATATAAACACAAATTTGCACTATAGTTTTGGCGTTTGCACACTGATTTTGAAACAAAAAGATTTCTAACACTGTTTGCCGTCTCTTATACATTGTACATATTTGGTTGGCCGGATTCTAACTCACTGCAATTTGCGCAGAAATAATTAACAAGGCTTGTTGAATTACTGATAACTATGATAATAGAGACCAACTGCATGTATATAGCTGCAACCACAATATCATATACAATGATTCATGCATAATAGGATGTGTGTTTCATTATAAATATTTAGGTTCAACTGATTAAGCAAAGATGACTGCATCTTCTTAACCTGTCAGCAAAAGATGACTGCATCTTTCTGAACACAAAGGTCTCAGTCAAATTAGACTTTATACTAGTATACTTATCAGTAGTATGCTGACTTGCTCCTTAATTTGACAATATATAAAAAACGGCCTCACCTTTCCACATTAACAACTTACCCTAGTTTAAATACAATCTCGTAAGCTCCTAACCCATCGTAACTGTAAGCTCAACATTATCTTAATCGTTGTAAAGTCATTATTGTAAATATGAATAAATCCTTATTTCTAACCCTAGCTTTATTGTGTGCGAAACATGAGAATCTAACCATAAATGATTTTTTTAATCTTTCTATTCTACCATTACTCTAATATATGTGACATCAGAATGACAATAGTATGGAAACATGTACCAATTTTGGGAACCTTTTCACTAGACCACAATATCAGCCAATAATTATTTTAAGAGCACACAGATTTTTAATTACACACTGACAACGATCACGATTAAAGACCACAAACATTACTTTAAACTATCACAAGACCACAACTGTACAGTGAGTGCGGACTGTGTGTTATGTTCTATTTAAAACGCGACCAGGAGTGCTTCATCAGATATAAAACACAAGAGTGGCAGCTTGAGCGTTTTATCTGATAAAGCACAGACTTTTAAATGGCTTAAACATAAAAGCCTGGTTCACATATACCTACTTACACCCGTGCTATGTCGGCGGGCTATTGAGTATTGTCATTATAGTAGTTCAAGCAAATAATTCACAAAACAATTGCATCAACAACTGCTCTGAAAAGGTGTGAACAATGATAGGGTCTGATAGCACAGGCATATGCGAACCAGGCTAAAGAAAAAGTGAAGTAAAGTGCTTAGCTGATATTTTACTTCGCTTGAATATACTTCTTCGCCAAACTGCCTTTCTTTTGATTTTACTGAAGTAAAGAAGTTGTTTAATTAAGAAGTGAATACCGAACAACATGGTCATGGAGCAAAACTTGCATCCAAGGACGTCAAATTAAAGTCACATTACTTCGAAAGCTACAGCCCACAGGGTGTATCAAAAACCTGCAAACACTATAATTTGCATAATTCTGCTGCCTACTAGCATTTCAATGTCGGTGCTACTTATTTTTCTCCTGGGATTTGAAAATACATTCTATTTAACCCCGTTGATAGAGATTAGAATAACACAAAATTATTTGTAAAGCAGAAAACTAATTATCAGTTCGACTGCGAATGGGTCAACTATTGTGTTTACGCACGCTTGGGCAAGGGAGCACAGCAGTATTGTTTTCGAGACTTTCGTACCTGTATATGGCTGTAAAATCTGTGAATAGGTAGTCCTTGTCTTCTTTGGTTTGCTAATTTTCATATAAACACTAAAACACTGTTTTTAAATTCATAAACAAGCCAACAATTTCGTTATATTTTCGTATAAATATTGTCGCCGTATATTTTTACATGGTCATCCGCTGTACATTATATTGCTGTAACGGTTTTGTAAATACGCGCGAAAACTGTGGGCACGTGATCAATATTAACCAATAGCATTTCAGGATTTGAGAACCGCTTTCTCCAAGGTTTGTAGCAAAACCAGGGGGTGGGAGATTTGGCTCATATGCTGGAGCCTGAAAACGAAAAGCTTGTTGTTGTAGTGATCAATGGATCTCCCTTGATCTATGGTTATAGCAGCTCTGTGGTTATAGTTTATAGATTTAATTTTATATTTTCTATGAAATGATATGGCTTTAATATGGCGGCAAAATTAAGTAGCAATCAGCTCAAAGTGAGTAGACTAGTCAGTGAGGGTTACAGTATTTTTATATCTGGCAAAGGAGAATGTGGAAAGTCATTTCTTTTAAGGCAAATGATAGAGCGATTGAGGCAAAAAAATATAGAATATTTTGTTACCGCATCTACAGGGATTGCTGCAGTGAATATTGGAGGTACAACAATTCATTCGTTCGCTGGTATTGGCACCGGATCGAAGGGAAGTCACAAACTCATATCGTCTATTTTATCTAACACAGAAGCTCGTTACAATCAGATATAGTCGACTGTAAAAGCCTACCAAAAACTGACTTGTTCACAATTCGCAAACGTTTTAACTCTGACTCATGTTTAAATGCATTATAAGCTGCTTCTACTTCGAGAATATTACCCATAGCATATTCGAAAGTGGTTTTAATTCTATAAATATAAACGGATTTTGTCATTATTTATATTATGCCCGTTTTATACGTCGAATTTCAATCATATGCTGCTTTTTGCTTTGATAATTTCGCATTATCATATTTAAAAATGGCTTTAAAGTTATAAATCAATGCAAAATATAACAAAACATGACGAAATTTGCCCCCCATTGTTTGGTATAACAATCACTGAAATATGATACATATATTTGGATCAATCACATTTGGATCATGAGCAACTCACGTGTTAATATGTGAACTGAAGCCCAGTTTGAATAATTCCATGATAATATACAGAAGTGGCCTGTGCCTAGCAACGGTTACTGTGCCTAGCAATTTGCTACAGAGTCTGTCGAAAGATTTTAGCGGATTTGTTTGAAGTTTCACTCCCCTCTATTACAAAACCGTTACATGCGATACAATATGTCAGCGGAAGACCATGTGAAAATAGCCTGCAAAGAAGGTGCGTGGAAGGGCGAAAATATTACGAAAGTTTTGGCGAGGTTATGGCGAAAGTTATGGTATTTAAAAGTATTTAAATGCAGTGTTTTAGTGTTTATATGCAAATTAGCAAACCAAAGAAGACAGACTACCTATTCACAGATTTTACAGCCATATACAGGTACGAAAGTCTCGAAAACAATACTGCTGTGCTCCCTTGGCTTGGGATCAATTAGTTCTGAATCATGCAAATTCCAGAAACATTGTACTACAGGGTGTCCCCCCAAAAATTATCCTATTGTTGTTAAGCACAGGATTTCATGAGACTGGTAATTAAAAATTCAATTCAATTGTGTTTACGCATTCTTGTGTTCAGCATAGCCATAGTGCTCAGGCATTCAAATTATAACAATAGGATAATTTCTATAGAGGGTACTTTTTTGGGGGACACACTGTATATGTCAAAAGTTTGCAGGGTTTTTTTATACACCCTGTAGAGTTGAGGACATTGTTTTTAATGCTTTGACACATGCCTAACATTACAAAAGCATGATCAATTATAAAAAATATTCAATGCACATACTTAGTCTACTGACTTGCAGACTTGCTCCTGGTTGCGTTGCATGCTTAAACAAAGCACATGCATAAATTAAATGATGTTGTGTATACAGTATAGCAGTATGCTTTTTGGTAGCCAAAGCACATTTAATTAACCCATGAAACAGCACGCAAAGCATTGTTCTTTTAAAACACCATGCTATAATATAAACATAGACAATAGTTGGCAGTTGCTGGACTGTTGATGCCATGTCTCCGTGTGAATTACCTTATAGTCAAATCATATTCAAACAAAAGGTCTACAAACTAAACCCAGTTTAAATGATAGCAAAGTGAAACTGATGGACAAAAATCGAGATGAAATTGGTTCGCTTTTAATGCTTGAAGTACAATGTTGATTTTACTGCCAAGACTAAGACCTAAGTGCTAAATGAAATAAGAAAAGACAAAAGAAAATAAGGCGAAGAGCACCAACGCATAAATTTGCTTTCGAAGCATTATAAATTGTTTGTAATAAACAAATTCAGTACATATAGTGTAAGACCCGCCAGAAATCAACAGACCAGACAATGAATACAAAATACACCAAAAGAACTGCATCGTTACCAGCTTATATATAAACTGACTAATGAAATTCCCCGTATTTATAGCATCATGCATGCAATGCATTCTGGTCGGTTAACAGCAGTGCATTCTGGTCGGAGAAACGGAAGTAAAATCTTACTTTCAGAACCCAATACGAATTAGAACTGCTGACTTGCTCCCTCGCTTCAGGCTCGCTTGCTGCATCAGCAAATATAAACTTGGCTTGATAGGGGCAACAGCTAACCCCAAACGCCACTGCAAACTTTGCTCTGATAGCACTGATTCTAATGCCTTAGTTGCCCCAAGTGTTGAGAATTACATAATGTCTGGCAAAGAAATGGCAACGCAATAATTGGTGACCTTCGTCGTCTCGCAAGTCTCCAAAGTTTGACCTGTTTAACCACTGATGGAAAACACTTGAATGTTTTACTAAGAAGCGACTTGTTGTATGTGCTCCAATTTTTCTTATCATCTACGTTGTGGGCAAACCACTTGCTTAAACATCGTCCATTGATGCACCTCGAATGCTGTGTTGGCATGCAATATTCAAATTTGGCACACAATTTTTGGTTTTATATGACAACAACAATTGCAGTGTGTAATATGAAGTAGAGATATTAAAGAACCTAATTCATTAGTTAATATCAAACAAAGTTTTGTTTCAAGGATACTATTACAAATAAGTACCAAGGTTCGATAATTAATTTGTGTCATCAATTCATTAACTTTGACACAACACTATGGTTACCAACACCTGAAATGCTAATCCTTTCACACATCGTGGGGATTCTCATGTTGCATTGAACAAGCTCCATGCAACCTAAATGATGGTCATGTTCGAGATGAAACACTGAAGCATTTAGAGCACAAGTGTTACTTCTAAACCCATGACCAGTTTCTGGAAATAGAAAGAAACACACACAGACAGGCCTCTTGAGATAGGTGGTGGAATGAAAGAAAGCACTGTGTCACTGCATCAAATTTTGGAATGGTGATAAAAAGGAGAGAACAAAATCCAAAATCAATACTTAATACACTATTTAAACAAATAGTACAAAGTCATCATCATGTCCAATGAAACTGAAGCATTGAAACAGTATATTTCACATAAACAAAACTGTGTGAATGTCTGCTCGTTATGCAGTTTTGTTGTTGCGCATGATGCTAGTGAGCCCAGCCCATCTATCGGACTTGGAGAAATTAAATGTCCATACTCAAAACGTGATATTACTATTGATGAAACTTGTGAAGACAAAAATTTTTACCTTTCTCTAAACAATAGACTGATACACCCACACTGCCATAGCCTATCCTTTTCAGCCCACGTATAAATACATGTAGTAGCTTGATCATGCTGTTCAATTCATAGTGGGCTGAAAAAACAATGAGGTTTTATTTTACCGTATACACATGTAAAAACAAACATGCAAGATGAATGAAAATGAATTAGATAACTTAAGATGATTAGCATTTATACATTGGGATCCTTAGACAGATAAATAACCACCATGATCAAATTACCTTACAAAGCCTTGTCCACAGTTTTTATAGTCCTCTATACTTAAAATTTACATAAATTAAACTAGTAATAATTACTTTCCTCCCTCATGTTTAATCCCAATGGACAATAACAATTGATTCTCTCTATCCAATAACTTTCCTTTTCTGCAGGGTTAATAACATCAGTACTATCAATAATTTGAACCCTAAAGTCACTTAAACCCGAATGCCCCTCCCTGAAAAAATGCTCATACAAGTGCTGACCACTAATATTTCTTATACCTTGCCCATACCTATTTAGAGAGCTTTTATGATTGTTAAATCTCAATCTAAATGACTTACAAGTAATATTACAGCCCACATATTGCATCTTACATGCCTTAACAGTCAAAGCGATGATTAATGTGGAATTTTCTACCCTCAACATGACTCTCAAAAAAAGATGAGCCAACCAAAACATCACAAACTTTACATTTTCTACTTCCACACTTAAACACAAGTAATATTACAGCCCACATATTGCATCTTACATGCCTTGCAGTCAAAGCGATGATTAATGTGGAATTTTCTACCCTCAACATGACTCTCAAAAAAAGATGAGCCAACCAAAACATCACAAACTTTACATTTTCTACTTCCACACTTAAACATACCCACGACTGCATCTTTTTCCTTAGACAGCTTTGATCAAACTAGATGATCCTTAAGATTTTTACATCTATGGAAACTTATAGGTGGTTCTGGCATCACGCTTAAAAAGCTATCAGACAAACATGTGTTGTAACTCCCTAAATATTCCGTAGAGAGCACTTAAAACTGGGTGATAACCGACCACAAACCAATTCCTATTTTTTGTTTCAGGGCTCTCTTTACGCATAAACAAACTAGTTGAGATTAATTAATGCTTGATTTGAAATTTTGTTACTTGTTTATCACATATTTAAAATGTTCTATTGTATGTACCTTTCTCACCAATCTCCACCTGATCCCCATCACCGTCCACCTGATTCGGCGGTAGCATCAAAAGTACCAGTTCCTCGCCATATTCATCACCATACCAAACTAATAATTCGGAACCAGCTTCTATTTCCTTATACACTCAATAATAAATTTCTCCTTCATATTGATAAGCAGTGCAGTTCTGTTCATTTTCACATTGTGCGCAATTGACATATCGTATCCAGTTGCTTCTCTCAGTGTTGATTCCATCAATTACATGCATGGTTTTTCCTCCATGAACGATCTGAAATACAAAAGAGTAATCTCATGATTTGTTTACAAAGAAATTGAATTTTTACCCACAGTCCTGGTAAATTTGACCAATTGAAGCAGGCTAAGTAGTTACATTATAACTCAAACTCAAATTGTCCAATCAAAATCCGCATTTGTACGACACGATTCTGCAATGCAGCATGTATATTTAGGGGGGGGCGAGGGGGGGGCATACCAAAATCACAAAGATCATTTTTAGATTTTTAGTCACGAAAAACAAAATTTCATTTTCAAGATTTTTAAAAACACAGAAGCATAACAAATTCTGAAACCATTTAACGATTTACTAGACAGCAGAACTCAATGTTAACATTACGAGCATCTTAGGATGAAACGAAGAAAGCTCAAGAAAGACAACGCAACGCGGGAAGCAAATTTATCCATTCTTTAACCTTAATATTAAATTTGGGCCGAGTTTTAAACGTGAACATTCACATGTTAGGGTAAATATTGGTAAATTCAAGACCCTACAATCCTGTGCAAAAATTATTGAGAGAACTTCGTCATTGCCCCCTTCCCCCCATAGACAATGTTGGACAAATGATACAAAGGTATATTGTCAGGTCAAATTTTTTCTTCAACATTGAATGTGTTGGGGGGGGGGGGAGTAATCACAGAAGTAGAATGGAATATCGAAAGTCTCAATATTTTCGCACGCGATGGTAGCTAGTCTTTTAGCTTTCACAATTCATGCCTTGAGCCTGTGGCACAGAATAGATACTAGACCAGAAGTGTCACTCAAACGATATTTCGTCCGAAATTTTACGAGTGCTGACGTGAAAATATGCCATCATAGGATGCCATCATAGCACATAAAAAATTTCGGACGATTTTCCCAAGCCAAAACACATTGGAGTGTCCCTCCTGGTCTAGTAGATATTCTGTGCCTGTGGCAAGGGTGTGAATTCTGCCAGGCAATTTACACCTGGGGAAAGAAAAGCGTATTAGCGAAGTCTAAAGTTCATCAATAACCGGGGCGCATGACTATGGTTCATGGGTGTGATAAATGGACATCCTCACTGATCTCAAAAATATAGCTGTTTGCCAGGAGTGGGGTAAGCAGGATTTCAATTTTGAAAAACATATATTCAGAAAATGGTTTCATACAATGAGCTTTTTGAAGCAATTTTTGTTTGGGGAAATGAGAAAAATTAATTTGCTATGGGAAATCGTGAAATTACTCCCAACAGTCTCTCTGAATAATTTCCCAGAAAAATAATACTGTAAAGTTTAATATAAAATAAATCCCATATTAATCCCGATACCGAGTCACTCGCTTCGACTCCTCACAACAACGACCCATGTGCTCCCACCAAAAATTCCCCAACCCGATTTTAGGGTGGGTGTTTCCATGCAAGTGTTTCCAACACACTCCCCCCCATATGCATTTTAGACTAGATGGATATGTTATATAACTGTCCATTGTTCTATGATCTAATAAAGTTCGGTATAACCTTAATATTACTAATAGCTAATAAATGTCAACGTTAATAAGAATCCACTGCTCTCGTTAATGATTAATGTTAAGTGTTTATATCTCGTCTTCTTCTTCTATCTCTCGTCTAGCTGCTGCGGCTTGCTTGGGTCAAAACCTTGTTGCTCTTGGCATCACAAGCTAACTCAAGTGGATAAAACAATTGAACTGGCCTTTCTATTGTTCCCTTTCCAGTTAATGCCTCGAATAACTCCGTCTTTACCAACGAATGTTTTAGTAACCACTGCTAGGGGCCAAGTTCCTCAATTCTTGGAATCGAAGGACTTATCGAACCAGTGACACTCGAAGGTAAACAAATCTACCGAGAAGTCTGTGAATCTCAAAAGGCGTGAGATGCCTTGTTAGACGAGAACCTTCAACAACGTTGGAAAAAATGGGAAGAAGAAACGCTTGGGGAATATTCTGTTCAATAATTTAGATTATAATTTTAATATAAATCTTTGGAAAACAATATAAACTTTATATTTACATCTCGAGCACACAAACATGAAAAAACATGAAATGTAGATGATATCAAACATGAAACAAGATATCCGCTACCATTTCATTGGTTGGACAGTACTTCAACTCAATTGTCTCATCTTGAGTTTTCTCCCGAACGAAATGATATTTGATATCAATGTGCTTCGTCCGCTTGTGTAGCACTGGGTTCCTTGACATCGCGATAGCACCTTGATTATCTTCATATATGGTCGTCGCTGTGGTACAATCCACCTGTAGATCTTTCATCAGTTGTCGCAGCCATACTGCTTCTTGGGTTGCAAAACATAGTGCAATGCATTCTGATTCCGACATTGAAAGAGGCCACCGTTGGCTGTTTCTTGCTAGTCCAACTGATTGCACCACCCGACATCACAAATACGTTTCCGGACGTTGATTGTCGATCATCTGAGTCAGATGCCCAATCTGTGTCAGAGTATCCCTCTACATTAGGATCAGTTTCTTGGTACTGCAGGCATAGCTGAGCAGTTCCTTTCAAATACCGAAAAACACGCTTGACCGCTGTTAGATGTGCCTCGGTCGGTGATGAGTTGAATTTAGCCAATGCTGCCACTGCGTAGGCTATGTCTGGACGAGTAGCTATCGCCGCGTATATCAAACTCCCTACCATCGACTGGTACTGAACGACATCCACTGGTTTGCTATATCCATCGTCCTTAACTAGTTTTACGTTAAGATCTATTGGCGTTGATACCGTTTTGCAATCTTGTAATTTGTACTTTCGCATAATCTTACCAATGTACTGTTCTTGACTGATTTGCAATACACCGTCCTTTATAGTAACACTAACTCCTAGACAGTAGTGGAGTACACCCATATCCTTAATCTTGAAGTGGTCTGCCAGACCGGTCTTGAGATCGATCATCTCTTCTTCAGTATCCGTTAAAAGCATCAGGTCATCAACATGAACAGTAACAATCGTCAGCTTATCCTTGAGGACACGAATGAATACACATGGATCTGCAACACTCTGAACAAATCCCAGTGATAACATAAATTCTTTGAAGATGTTATTCCAACAGCACGGGCTTTGCTTCACGCCATAAAGCAATTTCTTGAGGTGATACACTAGCCCTTCTTTTCCTGGTTCTACATAGCCTTTGGGCTGTTGCATATATATTTCCTCGTCCAAAGTACCGTTTAGGAATGCTGTTACTACATCCATTTGATGGATGAACATTTGTCGAGAAACACCAAAAGCCAGAAGAGCAGGGATTGACGAAAAACGAACCACCGGAGAGAATGTTTCATCATAGTCAATTCCGTATTTTTGCAGGAAACCTTTAGCCACCAGACGACCTTTAAATCTTTCTACCTTTCCTGTCTCATCGTGCTTGACTTTGAAAACCCACTTGCAACTGATAGGCTTACGTCCAGCTGGCAGTTCAACTAACTCCCAAGTCTCATTCTCTAACAAAGACTGGTATTCAGCATCTGCAGCTGCTTTCCACTGTGTTGCATATTCACTGTCAAGAGCGTCCTTTAACGTTTCTGGCTCTTCGATTTCAGCTACATAAAGTGCTGCATATTTCGCTGTAGTGATTGTAGCATACTCGTCGTGGTAGTACATTGGTGGATTTTCTCTCGTCCTGAGCGTCGAGGATCCGTTGGGAGATCTTGCTGTTCATCCACGGTTATCACATCTTTGCCCTTTAATTCCATTTCTTCTTCAGCGCATTCAGTACTGCCTTCGTTGCATTTGAACTTTTGTAGACCCAAAGTCTGTTTCATTAAAGGTTATATCTCTGTGAATGAAGATTCTTTGTCGATTTTCATCATATAGCCTGTAGCCGACAAATCGCAGTCGTGATGACTCGATTTCTTACATAGGCCGCATTGCAAACTGCTTCTGCCCAGAAAGCTTTGGACAGTCCAGCATGCAGAATCATAGAGAGCTGCTTCTTGAAGTGTTCGGTTCATGCGCTCAGCTACCCCATTCTGCTGGGGTGAATGTGGCACTGTAGTCTCATGGCCAATTCCTTTCTTCTTTAGAAAATCTTGGAACTCGGTGGATGTGTATTCACCATCATTGTCTGTCCGAAGCGTCTTAATCTTGCATTCTGCCTGGTTTGTCACGGCTGCCTCCCACTCCTTGAATTTTTCCAACACTTCAGACTTATACTTCATTGGGTAAACCACTAGTGACACATCTGGAGTAATCATCGATGAAGGTGACGAAGTACTTTACACCTCCAAAGCTTTCAGTCTTCATCGGTCCGGCAACATCACTATGGACCAGAACCTTCTCGTTGACTTAATTTCTCCCACTGGCTTAAATGGCGCTCGGTGAGCCTTTCCTTCAGCACAGGCCTCGCAAAAACTTAACTTGCCAGTTCCGGGTATGTCCGTACCTGTAATAAGTTCCTTTGAAGCCATGATGTTCATGTGACCGGCATTTAAATGCGCCATTCTTTGGTGCCATAGATCCAGTTTGGCACCAGGTTCATTAGCAATTGATGCTCAGTTTCCATGTTTGTCAACTTTGCAATCAAGATGATACATGTTCCCAACAAGTCGACCACGAGCTACAACTTGTCCCTTCGAATCCTTAATCCAACAGAGGGTGTGGCCAAATTGCACCACCTTGCCTTTAGATGCTGCTGCACGTGCACTAAAAAGATTTGTAGCTAATTTTGGAACATAGAGTACCTTTGTTAGAATTGATTTCCGTTGGTCTTTCTCTTTATTTCCAAGTATCATAGTGATGTCTACTTGTCCATATCCGTATGCATTAACAGAACGACCTTCGCCAAGAGCAACAGGTTCTGGTTCAGGGAATTCACAATAATTTACCAATAAGTCACGATTAGTAGTCACGTGCTGCGAAGCACCGGAGTCGATTATCCAACAACTATTCCCTTCAGCTGCAATCAATCCTACTACGAATAAATTACCCCCAGAATCCTCGTTCCTTTTCCCATCAGCATCTGCTGGAGTTGCTTTATGTTTGTATGAACTTCCCTGTTTATTTCGGTTTTCATGCTGCCCTTTCTTTTCAGACAATTTCTGATCACATGATTCTCTTCCCCGCATCCAAAGCACTTGATAGGCTTTCAACTTGTCTTTTCATGCCGTAAGGCAGTTTCACCCTTGTCGACTCGACCACCACCATCTTTGCCCTTGTGTAAGCCACGTTTTTCTTCTTCACTCATGAGTGCTTGATGCACTTGAGTTAGGCTAAGCTCGTCTCCTTTTGCAGTCAGTGCAGTTGTTACAGTGTTATATGATTGTGGAAGGCTGAGTTACAGGGCTACGATATGTTCATCTTCAGGAATAGGCACCTTGATGGCTGCCAGTTGGTCAGTAATTTCTTTCATGCGGCGTAGATGATTATCGAGGGAATCACAATCTTTTATTTTCAAAGAAAAGAATTTCTGCTTCAAAAACAATTTGTTTGCTACAGTGTTTCTTTCAAAACGTTCCTTCAGTTTGTCCCAAATTTGAGATGTACAAGATCCGAATTTATACTCGTAACAAGTAGAGCTTTGGTGTTCTTCTGAGCCTTTTTCGAGAGCTGATGAACTTGATGAACTGCTTTCTGATAAAGCCGGGCTGGTTGCCATTCCATCAACGTGACCCCACAACTCTCTAGCTTCCCATATAACCTGCATTTGATATTTCCATACTTGTCAATTTTTAACTCCCTCTAGTTTGTCGATAAATAACTTGTCTTCTTGAGCCATTTTGAACGTTTAAATCCAGCAGAAGTTTCTTTGATTAATAACACGCAGTTCAGAGAGTGTCTGGGCCCATAACCTGTTCAATTTAGTTTATAATTTTAATATAAATCTTCGGAAAACAATATAAACTTTATATTTATATCTTGAGCACACAAACGTGAAACGTAACACGAACGTACAAAACTTGAGCCCGCGATAAACAACGCGGTTATTAATAAGAACACAGCTAACCCAATATAGTGTTATCAATTAAAACGTTAAAACGTTTCTAAACTGTTGAGCGCTATTTACAACATATTCAGTACCAAGATCAATCACTCGTCATCAGGAAGAAATCAAAGCTGTAGAGCTACATGTATTCAGTGACGCCTCTATAAAAGGAGTTGGAGCGGCTGTTTATTCAGTGGTTCGTCAACCTTCTGGAACCACTCAACAACTTGTAGCAGCGAAAGGTTGTCTTGCCAAGAAAAACTTAACAATACATAGGTTTGAAGTGGTTGGCGCACACATGGCTACTAACCTACTTATCAATGTACAAAACGCCCTTGATAATATCCCAACACCACAACTATTCTAGTGGATTGACAGTACAGTTGCCCTACATTGGCTTAAAGGGAATGGTCAGTATAACGGATACGGATACAGTTACACAAAGAGATCCATTGGAGATATGTTGCCCACAAGTGATAATCCCGCTGATCTGGCAAGCAGGGGTGTGGTCAAATTAAACAGAAAGTGCTTTGGGAGAATGGTGCAAAATGGCTTCAAGACAAGAGTGAGTGGCCAGACAGTCTGGTGACGAAAGCTTCACCATCTTCAGAGATGGAAGCAAAAGCAACAAAAGAACTATTAAATGTTGTAAATGTCAAGGATGATGCCGACGAATTCGATCGATTACTGGAACGCCTAAACTTAAGACGAGCCTGTAGAGTTGGGGTGTGTAGTGTTGGGGTGTGGATCAAGAGGTTCATACACAACTGCAGAAATAACGACAAAAGGTCAGGACCAATCACAATGGAAGAAGTAATCAGAGAACGCGATTGGTGGACTCGGTGTGTCCAACAACGAGTACAGAAAGAACCGCACTATCTGAGGGTGGTGGAAGAGTTAGGATTACGTACTAATGCAGATAATATACTGGTATGTCATGGGAGAATTCAAGGAAAATATCCAATATTCCTTCCAAGAGGTGCAAAGTTTACAGAGAAGTTAGTACAATGAGTACACAGTGAAATGTTCCACGGGGGTACCTTGGTTGCGAAGCTTAGTCAAGGTCATTTGTAGCAACTGTTATGGGTGCAAGAGATTCCGTGCGTCAACTATCACTAAACCAGTACCAGGTCAACTACCAGAAGAACACACCACGGTTGGAGGGGCCTTTGAAGTCATCGGTACAGATTTTGCTGGTCCTATCAGATATAAGAAGAAAGGCACAACAAGGAAGGAAAGGCATATTTGGCTATTTTCGCATGTAGCCTTTCTAGAGTTGTGCATTTAGAGTTATTACCAAATATGGAAACGGAAACGTTCATACCATGTCTTAACGTTGTGGAAGACCACGTATCATTTACTTGGACAATGGTGGAACATTTATTAACTCAATTCAATCCGCCAATATTAATTTCTGGCGTATATGACGTGAAGATTAAATATTAAAGAACTTATTTGCAGTAGACATGCGAAAATACTGTTAAATGGTTTCTTTACTATGAGGAAATAATACTCTTTCTTGGTTTGTCCACTTTTATTTTACTTTTAACATACGAAATAAACCTTTAAAAACTATATATCTCGTTTTGTTTACTTTCAACATGCTCAACCGTTTTTCGCCCGCGGTCCTACTGACCATATCGCGTTCCTATAAACGTCATGTTATACTAACTGTTCTTTGAACACTGTCTAACACTCTCCCCCACTAAACAAATGGCATCCGTGACATTTGTCGTATTTACGAGTATCTATTTTAACTCTAAATCAGTCTTCGTTTACATCACAGTTCGTTTGGCATAACGTCCTATTCCAATAGGACAGTGGTTGGGTTGATCAGACCTTTCCGTTGCCAAGTCTCTAATAACTTCTTAATATAACTGATTTTCTTAAGTATCCGTAATACTTCAGATAGTCCGGATCAACAAATCCTTGGATGTGGAACTTTCAACCAAGTTTTTTTCTGTTTTAATTTTAAACTAGCAATATAATATAATGATATTACTGACTTCAACTCAGTCTTCGTATCCTATCACAACTGCATAGGAAACATGTGGTAATTGTAAGACCATGGATGTTGTGTTGGCATCGGGACTTGATAAAGTTGGGGGATTGGTTGTTGGAATTGGATAAGGTTGTGGGATTGGTTGCTGGAATTGGTAAGGTTGTGGGATTGGTTGTTGGAATTGATAAGGTTGTGGGATTGGTTGCTGGAATTGGTAAGGTTGTGGGATTGGTTGCTGGAATTGGTAAGGTTGTGGGATTGGTTGCTGGAATTGGTAAGGTTGTGGGATTGGTTGCTGGAATTGGTAAGGTTGTGGGATTGGTTGCTGGAATTGGTAAGGTTGTGGGATTGGTTGCTGGAATTGGTAAGGTTGTGGGATTGGTTGCTGGTAAGGTTGTGGGATTGGTTGCTGGAATTGGGAATGATAACAGGATGCATGTCCAGGTGCATAATACACGAGACGTTGTGGAGGTTGTCTATTTCTCTGGGGACGATTTGCAACATTAGCATCTACTGTTTCTTCTGTACCGGCTATAAGGTTGTGGGATTGGTTGCTGGAATTGCGAATGATAACAGGATGCATGTCCAGGTGCATAATACACGAGACGTTGTGGAGGTTGTCTATTTCTCTGGGGACGATTTGCAACATTAGCATCTACTGTTTCTTCTGTACCGGCTACAGGATCGTTGTTTGGAACGTTATCGGGTTCTGCTTCATCAGGTTGGTCTTCACCATCTACGAGTTGTTCCTGAACTGTATTATCTTCAGAACCGCTTAGCTGGTATTCTCCATCTACCAGTTGTTCTTCAACCACATTATCCTCAACCCCGCTTGATTGGTGTTGTCGCGTTTCTGGTTCTTTCACGATTGGTCGTTTTGCATCACTCGAATTTTGCAGTTCCACTCGCAATCCACGTGACACGGAAGGAAATTCATCTTCGTCATCGGATGAGTCAACAACGTTCTCGCCAACGGATGTGTCTTGAACAGGTATTCTGCGTTGTCGAGGTTTTGGTTTGGCTGATTCGCTTGTGAGGTAATCACATGGGAGTAACATGTTTCGGTGTAGTGTACGGTTTTTTCTCGTTGAATTGGACTCTGATCGAACTTCATACACAGGGCTGTCTGGCCCTTTTCTTGACACCACTACGTGCACCTCCTCCTCCCAAAAAAGCTTTCCCGGGCCTCCTCTAGGCGAGAAATTACGAACCAAAACTCTGTCTCCTTCATTTAACATTGTTGATCGAGCTTTCTTGTCGTAGTGTTTCTTCGCCCGTTTTGCGTTCTTGTTCGCTGCCGTTGAAGCTTTCGCGTATGCTTCTTGCATTGCTGTTTTCCATTTGGCCACGTACTGAGGGTACCCGGTTGGATCATTTGCCTTTTCCATCTTAAATGCAAGATAATTGGCAATCGTGGAGATCGACCAAACAGCAAGAAAAACGGAGAGCAACCAGTTGTTTGATGACGAGTACAGTTGTATGCATGTACTAACTTCGCAACGTGATCTTTCCAGTTTGATTTATGTTGTTCAGGAAGGCTTCTAAGCATGCCAAGAAGTGTCCTATTCATGCGTTCCACTGTGCCATTCCCTTGCGGGTGATAGGGAGTTGTACGCGAGTGACCAACTCCTGACAACTTCTCTAACCTATTGAACAAGTTATTCTCAAATTCTTTACCCTGATCATGGTGAATTCGTTCAGGAAATCCAAATCTGGGAATAAAGTCGTTGTATATCTTGTCAGCGGCCGTAATCCCCGCTTTGTTCTTAGTAGGATATGCTTGTGCGTATCTTGTGAAGTGGTCAACCACTACTAATATATATTCATAACCTCCCGAGCTACGTTCAAGATGGACAAAGTCGATACCAATAAGCTGAAAGGGGGAAGTTGTGGTAATGGATTGAAGTGGTTCTCGAGTTGGTAAATTGGGTCGTTTTTGTCTTAAGCAGCCGCAGACGTGGGTAACGAAGTGCTCGATGTCCCTTCTCATGTATGGCCAGTAAAACCGTTCCCTCGCGAGATCCAAGACTCTCTCGGATCCCAGGTGACCCATGTCCTCGTGTAACTCTTTAAACACGCGTCTACGGAATTCTTGCGGGAGCACCACTTGTGACCGATGGCACAAGATATTAGACTTCGAGTCAATTCATAGTTTCGGCAATTCAAATAAAAACCGTTTCACCTCAGCTGTTTCATGTTTTCGTTCTTTCAAGGCGGGAGTTTGCTGAGACTTGATGATATCTTTTACACGCTTGATGTTTCGATCTCTGTCTTGGGCTTGTGCAATGTCTACGACGTTGATTTGACCACAGCTAGGGTTGTGCAAAAGAAACGTTTCATCCTCGTATAGCAAGCTTTGATCAGTGGTAAACGATGATAGCCAAGTTACATCACCATTGCCCTGAGCACAGATGGATGTTATAGTAGCTCCTAACTCTTCCTGCGAAACTGCTTGAGTGCACGACTCCATATACTGTTCAAAGTATCCAGGAAGTCGAGATAAACTGTCAGCATCGGTATTACTTGCACCGGGACGATATTTAATGTTGAAATTGAAATCAGATAACTCGCCCACCCAGCGTAATCCCGTGGCATTTAATTTGGCAGTGGTTAGAACATAAGTGAGTGGATTATTGTTCCGTCACCGCCCATTTTAACGCCAGGAACTCAAGCTTACCCAAGTGGAGATGGTAGTTCTTTTCTGCTGGACTTAACGTTCTCGAAGCGTAGGCAATGACTCTCACAACACCAGATTGTTTTTGCGATATACGCCCAGAAGACCCATTATTTTACGTACTTCTCCGACAGTTTTGGGTCTAACTCCTTTCAATTTCGTTACCGCCTCTGTTGCTTTGGGATCCATTCGGTATCCGTTTGCTGAAATGATTCGCCCGAGGAATGTCACTTCTCTCTTAAATAATTCGCACTTCTTCGGCTTTAGCTTGGCGCCATGTTCCTTCAGTCTTTGCAGAACTTGTTGTAGGTGGTGTAAGTGTTCGCTGAAAGTCTTAGAGTAGACAATAACATCGTCCAAATACGGTATACAGATATTATCCCTTAATTCGTCGAGACAGTTCTCCATAAACCTCTGAAAATTTGCTGGCGCGTTGGTCAACCCAAATGGAATCCGTATCCATTTGTATAAACCCCAAGGGGTTATGAAAGCTGTCATTGGCTGGCTCTGCCTATCAACAAAACCCTGATGATAAGCTTTACCTTGGTCAAGTGCACTAAACCATTGGTTCCCACCAAGGTTGTCCAATGTTTCTTGTATACGAGGTATCGGGTGACGATCCGGAACCGTTTTCTTGTTCAAACTTCTATAATCCACGCATAAGCGCATTCCACCATCCTTCTTTCGCACACACACTACACTGCTAGAATACGGTGATCTTGATTTCCGGATGAAATTTCTATTTAGCAGGTCCTCGATGTATGCTTTTACCTCCGGGTATAACGGTTGTGGGATGGAAAGATAATTCTTCTGTACTGGTTCATGGTCCGTCAAGTTGATTTTCATTTGTATATCTTCGTCATCTTGTGCAAAGGCGTCCGCTTCCTGACATAACATTTCTCTTGCTTGTCGTCGTTGTTCGGTTGTCAAATCACTCAAGTCTACTTCAGGAACTTTAGATTCTTTGGGTCCATTCGAGTTTGATTTACAACTTGTTTCCGACTTATCAGCAAGACTGTTCTCCTGGTATTCCGTACCCTCATCACTTAATTTAACTTCTAGCGGAGTTACAGAACGTACTAACTGAAGACGACCAAGTTCTAAGCGTTTGGGCAAAACAATATCACGTCCAGTAGTATTTGAGACTGGGATATCTATAATGCTGGACTTTCCCCTTTTGATGGTGGTTAAAATTTCCTGGATTGTCAGACCAGAAGGCCAATTGACTTCTTTGTTCGGCTCAAATAGCACTGGGCTATCACATTGCACCGGACCAGTGTTAGCGCGGCACGACACACTAACTGACTCGCCTTTTGGAATAATAACATTCTTTTTTGAGGTTCTTATGGCACATAGACTTTCACTACTGTCACTTCGAATAAAGTTAATCAGAGCGTTTGCATCCGTTTTCACAAAACTTCTCGTTACAGCTGGTAGCACCTGTTCGGGATTATTATCCTTAATAAACAGTTCGATTACGTTATAACCGATAATTGGAATGCTAAGTTCTTCTTTGGTCACTAAGAATGGTACTGAAATTTCACTTGTCACACCATCCAATAGTCTAAAGTTTATTCCTACCCGTCCATTGTAGGGAGTCCGAGTCCCATTAGCCGCCTCTAGCTTTAAGTCTGCTCCACTTGCTAGCAATTCTCTAATGTCCTTAACCAAAAGGTTGGGGAAATTTTCACGCAGGACTCTTTCTGGTATTATTGAAACCTGGGCTCCTGTGTCCCATAACACGTCAGTTTCTGTACCATTAAGCTCACATCGAACGTGACACTTTTCTCCTACTAGTTTCGCCACAGTATTTCTTTGACTGGGCGTAAGGTGACTAATAAAAACATTTTCATCAGCAGAATCTCCTAATCCTCGCTCTGTTGAAGTATAAAGGTTCTTAATAGCTGTACAAAGTGTTTTGTGTTCATCCCAGTGTTTCTTTTGGCAATTACGTGAACAATATCGCACAAGTTTACACACAGAACAAATATTAAATTCACCAGACACTGTTTCTTTCGTTGAGCAGTTATTACAATGATGGGACTTTGTTGATTCTTTTGGTGGGGCTACTCCCTGTCCCTCGGGGGCAGCCCTTTCCGGTTTCCCTGATTCCTATTTTTAAGCCTGCAATATCGTGCAACGTGGTTTGAACCACCACAAATGAAACAATGATCACATGCATTGGGCATACCCTCATCTTGACATTTCTGACATCCATGACGCTTCGGCTGACTAAGCGGTACATACATACCACTTTCCTCTCTGCTTTCCCGTTTGTGTCCTTTAGATACTGTCTCTTGCAGTGTCTTCATTTCGGTTTGCATGGTAGCCATGTCTGACTGGACTGCTTTAAGAGCAGCTAACACTCTTCCGTCTTCCTTCTTTTCCTTAATGTTACTTTTTGCCATTTCCAGAGAAGATACACTTGCTTGTTTAGCTCTGCCCGAAGCACCAAATTTATTGAGGCGCTCTGTTTCGGCCGACATTGCCATACTCATTGCCTCTATGAGATCTTCATCTGCAATACTTGGGTTCTTGAGTGTAGGTCTCATCTTAGCACGGATAGTCTCGTCAATTAAACCGGTTTCTAAGGCATGGAGGCAAAGTCCTTGAACAGAACTTTCGTCATAGGTGATGTTACTGCCCGACTCCTTTGATGCAAATATAATTTTCTGTCGAACAGTTAGTGCTCTGATTAGAAAAGATTGAGGGTCTTCTTTTGGAAGTTGTGTGATGTTAGCAAGTGTTTGATACAGTTCTGTAGCGCTTTTTTCATGGTAATGGAAGCGTAGAATTTTCCTTAGTTTTGGCAAAGTAAGGTTGGGCACACTTTCTAAATAACTTCTCAGCTGCAAACCGGGTTGTACTGCTCTAATTACAGCATTGATCACTTCAACTTCACTATATTTCTTTTTCAGACCGCCTTCTATCTGCGAAATCAATGACTGATACCCTAGTTTGTCCTTTTGTCCTGGCTCTCCCACTACCCCTTGTATTTTAAACTCTCGATGTAGGAAACTCTTCTCAATTGCTGCTACTGGCACTTTTAAAACCCCTGGCTGTAGCACCTCCACAACCTCTGCTTCCTTAGATGTCTCATTTCCCCCTAATTTTGCTTTAATTTCCTTCTTCTTACTCATCAGCTGTTCAATTTGTTGCTCTAAGTCTACAATTTCTTTTTCTTCCTGTGAAACCTCTTTGCTCTCAGTCGGTTCAAGGGGGGGGGGGACCAAGAAAAGCGTTAATGCCATTTAAGTACTCTATAACAGCTTCCTTATCAGACAAGTTTCCAACCTTTTCTTCTATATCTTGCCTAATAATTTTTATCACTGAATATATACTCTTATCTTTGACTTTTGACTCTTCAAGCTTCATGCTACTAGCAAGTTGTAGTGCATTTTTAAGATTTAAGGTGAGTATTTCCGACTCTATAACCATTAACGTTTTTTCTATTTCTTGGTCTGACATCTTGATATTGTCACAGTACAAAGGTCGTGTCTTTTTTTATACTATATTATCCAATATAAATATTTAACAGTACCTTCTGTTAATACAAAAAGTCAACACCGTCCAACATCGCCGAGTACTTGAAACATATAAACTCTTCACAATTCTCAGATTTCATCCATAAATATGTTAAACAAAGCCAAATATCATCAAATATAATTTACATCCGGGTCGCTTTCTCACATTCGCACCGTCTTTTAGCGTTGATTTTCCTCATAAAACAGTCAAAATGTTTCCCGCCTGAGCCCCCAAATGTTAAATGGTTTCTTTACTATGAGGAAATAATACTCTTTCTTGGTTTGTCCACTTTTATTTTACTTTTTTAACATACGAAATAAACCTTTAAAAACTATATATCTCGTTTTGTTTACTTTCAACGTGCTCAATCCGTTTTTCGCCCGCGGTCCTACTGACCATATCGCGTTCCTATAAACGTCATGTTATACTAACTGTTCTTTGAACACTGTCTAACACTACCACCAAAAAATTCCGCTTGATCGATACTATATATTCAGAAATATTCATATAATTTTATTGTTTCTCGCTCAATTTCAAGCGAATTTCTTACCTTGAAATGATCAATGCGGTGAAATTTATGCAAATGACACATTATCAATTTTGCTGTTGCATTTTGAATGTTCCGCCTGATTCAAATGCTCGTCTTTTTGCTTCTTTTCAACGTATAATAACAAATATACCAAAAGAATCGCCATCTTCCATTCTATAGCTTGGAGCAGTCTCGGGAAATTGCAAAATAATCTAAGCCTATTATGGCAATTCTCGTGATCGGAGAGTGTTCGGCCAACTTCGGACGCCAAATTCTTGGTAAAGCATTACAGTTTCCTGGTAAAGAAAAGCAAATCTGGATGGTTGGCTTGCCAAGGTAACCCCGTCTCGTACCAGCCTTCTTTGTTATGGTGAACTTGCTCCTTGAACTCAGCATGCATGATAGTTTGGTCATTCTCAGCTGCATCAGCAAGTCCAAGAATGTCCATTCGACATAAACCTTCGTAATGACTTTGTGAAGTTTGCATCAACAGGATCTGGTTCCGGTCGAATTCTGTTCCATGGCTCATTATGAACCATACCATCTTCATCAGCTCCACGATTGGGCCACCTTCCTTTCTCACACAAGGTTTTGTCTTGATGCGTGCATATTCGCCACTTCCAAAGATAACATGCACAGGAAGTTGACTCTTGGTATCTTTGTCTGTGAATTACCACCTCAGACAGATGGGCAATGTCTCGTATGAGGTCTGCGTAATTTATTCACTTTGATGAACTTCACTGGCATTTGGTACTGTCCGTCAACAGATTCAGTGTTCAATTCGTATATGTCCATGCGTACACTCTTTGAGGACATAAGCATTTCATTAATGTACATCGGTATCCGGTAGATTGTTGCATGAATAATCGGTAATTTCCGATTGTGGTACACTCGGTCATTCTCTATAAATAATAACTGTTGAGAAATTCATATCCAATTCAGAAAATCTTTCATTATTTAAAATGTGTAGGGAGCAACCTTACCAATGACACTCGATACTACAATGACAATTCCTATTCAACCAAAGAACAGAAACATACGTCCCACATGTAGGAAGTGTCCATGCCATTGATATTTTTTAAATCGATCCTCTCACCAACATACGGCCCAAACCGTGTATTAGTTTTTATTTTCTCTTTCATAAAAACCCCTCTTCCATCTGGTACAGTGTTGTCAATAATTTGGAATATGTGTCTGTTACATTGTGGATCATGGATATGTTTCTCACATCGATCACAATCTGTTAATTAAATTAGAAAATTATCGGAAAATAACTCGCTTGTGTTAAAGTTTTAGTTACTATTAATGAGTTATTTTTATCACTTGAGAATATCTGGAACGGCCTATAAAGAACAAATATTTATTAACATAAAACAGTATAAAGTAACAATCATTATTGCAAAAATGGTTGATAAAATAAAAGTTACTGGCTCAGGTTATTTTAACTACACCGTTCTATGTCAAGAAAAGTAGGCTTGTCGCACTAAAGATAGAAAAATTAGAAATGCTGGATGCACGACCAGGATTCATAATAAAGTTTCTGTCGAAGACGGTTAGAGAACGTAGGTCAGAAACTTTATAAAAAAACTTCCTATGCGAGCGTTGATGACAAACCGGGATTTTTTTTTACTTACAGGGTTTTATTTTGAGAGTAATAGAAAGACCCTGAATAATTATTCAACTTACAAACATAGTTGTCATTATCGGAGTGATACCCATCTTCTGCAATAATTTAAAAACAAAATTAGTAAAAATGTCACCTATGACCTCAACTTTAGATTCAGATGGACAGTCAAAAATTTCCTGGCACTTTCTTCACATATTACAAAGATTATTAATGTGGGGGCCAATGGCAATGTGTATTCTCAGACGATTAATTAACAATTAGACAACAAAGCTGAGTTGTCTATGAGCGAATAGTCAACAAGGTGAAGCCGAGTTGACTATTCGCTCAGGGACAACAAGGCTGAGTTGTCTAATTGTTTTAGTATAAACTACATAAAGAAAACTGAATTTTTAACTTGATTTTTATGTAAAATAATAACTTTTTAACGAAATGAGCGTTTAAATGGCATCCTTTAGTGACATTTTGCGAGGCCTTGTTGACAACTATTCAGTGTTGGGAACTCCCAAGAATGACTTGAAAACTTTGAGTTTTAAAAAATTAAAAACATGTCGTAAAACAGTATAATAGCAAGGGGCTGTTACATAAGCAAAGTTTGCCTAATTAAAAGGAAACAAGGCTTGAAAAGTCCAAACTTTCGAACACAAAATGGCTTCCCGAATTGTTACTAAATAAAGTTTACGTTAAAAAGACGAATAAAAATGCGCGCAAAAGAATCTGAATGTCGTTCAAATCTCTAAAATATCTGGAAAATAAAGAGGCCAACCATTTCCATCTAGTATACATCGACAAAAGTCTTAAGATTAAAATTTAATAGAAAAACTCGATTAAAAAGGCAAAAACCGACATTCCAATAAACTAAAAAAACTCTTTAAAATGATAACTAAATACATGAATTTGTGCTTAAAAGAAGCATACACTAAAGAGGTTGAGAAAATAGGGGTAAGTAGGTACGAACTTTTGTTGAATTTCAACGATTCTGCTTGGAATATTAACTCTTTCTCAGCGGGTCCCTATAAACGTAGACCGTGCAGGGTCTATAGCACGGTCTATGACTTCGCTGATTCATATTTTCGGTTTGGTGCATGCTATGTAGATGAAAATACCACCATTCGATTCAGTGAAACAATATCTCCTAATTCCTATTGATAGTTTTATTCAAATATAGTTTTAGTAAAATTGTATAACTATTTATGACCTTTTGAGAGTCATGCGGTGTCATATTTCATTATATTAATCAATTGTCTCGAACAATGTAAACTATCCATACCTTTTGCCGAACATAATTCCGGCCCCTTTGAAGATATCGTTTTTGCTATAGTCTTATTCAAACCAGAATCCAAAACACTATTTAAAGTGTTATTTGCCTGTAGGATTAGTTTTTCGTCTTTTATTTCGGTATTTCAATCTGTTGTGATACCAGTGAAGTCAGCGGGATATTTTTGACCGTAAATACACTTTAGATTTGCTAAAACATCGCGTGTTTACATCCTAGCACTCGGAAAACATCGGAAATCAATTCTATAGGTAAAATTACATCTGCAGCATGATTTTCACATGCATTGGGCTAGGGGAATTCCTTATTGGCCAATTTTACATGCAGCACGGGCATACGAGTAAAAAAACCCGATGAAACCAGATATTTTGAAAAATTCAAAATAAACATTTCTACTCGCCGTATTGAAACGAAACTTTCTACATAAGAGTGCTTGAATACAAGGAATATTTCACTCATATTAACTTTGTGGCGAATTCTCAAGAGTTTAGATGCCTTTAGAAGATATTCAACTTTTTCTCCATATGAAAATACAGAATGTTTGGCCGAGCGGTGAGTAAATATACGATTGTTTCGGTTTGTTTATTTTGTTAGGATTTCAATGGTGTTCTTTGTTTTAAAGGGGGGTGAATACGTGCTGAAATATTTACGTTATAAAACAATTGAATCAAAATGTCGCTTGTCATGAAAAATGTAGCCGGTCGAGAAAGAGTTCAAACATTGTGCATATATTTTAAAAAATCGCCTGTCACTTTTATGCTCAAAACAACGAGCAAAGTTGAGAAAACTTAGAAATTTTACCGCATGTGTCAGCAGTTTCCAAGAGTCTTTGTGTGTAATCCAGAACCAAAATTAGGCCATTTTGATAAACTTTTTCCCTTAAAATGCAGCTTTTACTACTTAAAAACCGGCTGTTTGAAACTTTATATATTTCTAATATTATTACATGAAGTATTACGATA